AAAAATGTGTATATTAGGGTAATGTCACACTAAAATGTAGATGATTTTTCAAAAGGACTTTAAAAATAAATTTCATTCTGACATGTGGAAGACTAAATTTAAGGCTAGAAAAATGAGAAACTAAGAGGAATAGAAAATGACAGATTCAGCCCTTCTGAAATTCAGAGTCTGATTTATTTCAGATTTTGGGCTGGGAGAACACGTTGCTATAGGTCAGCTTAGCTAACAAGTGACCTTGGTTTTGTCTGGGCATTTCTCTTCCCCTGCGTTGTGTGTTTCCACTTATTGGCTTAAACCATCTCTGCTCTGCAGGTAAAGGTAAAGGGACCCCTGACTATTAGGTCCAGTCATGGCCGACTCTGGGGTTGCAGCGCTCATCTCGCTTTATTGGCCGAGGGAGCCGGTGTACAACTTCTGGGTCATGTGGCCAGCATGACTAAGCCACTTCTGCCGAACCAGAGCAGCGCACGGAAACGCTGCTTACCTTCCCACCGGAGCGGCACCTATTTATCTACTTGCACTTTGACGTGCTTTCGAACTGCTAGGTTGGCAGGAGCAGGGACCGAGCAACGGGAGCTCACCCCGTCGCGGGGATTCGAACCACCGACCTTCTGATTGGCAAGTCCTAAACTCTGTGGTTTAACCCACAGCGCCACCTGCATCTGCAATTTTCGTGTTCCTTCTCTTGTCTGGAATGTACTGCCATTGACTGTGATTGGCAAGAGGAGCAAAGAGGAGGTGGGTTCTGCTTTGCAACCAGATCTTCGTAGCATCCTTCTGTTCTGCTTCTCTTAACATGTCATCCAGGAATGTAGTTCATGCAGCCATTCTGCAGGGAGTTCAAGAGATGTATGCCAGCATTATCTGGAAAAAATAAATGGCACAGTTCCTTCTTCCTTAAGCCTAGACAGTTGCAGCAGGAGTAGGTCCAGAAATGAAAGGGACACTGCTGAAAATGGCCGTCCCCTGGAGAGGAGCTTCAATTCCCCATCCCACACCCTCCAACATTTCATAGCTGAAAATAAGGCCATGCTTGTGCCCACCCCTTCCTGGTTATTGCTTGTCGAGTCCCAGCCCCTCCATTATTTCACATGCTTACAGGCTTATGCCTGCAGTATGCTGCATTCATTTATTCTGAAATTGCCCAGTGGGTGCTCCTAGAAACCATAAGAGTAACTGATGGCGCTTTACAGAAAACATAATTGTCCTAGAATATCTTGTCAACTCAGCAGTGGAAGGAGCAGGCTATGCTCATGCTTTGTGATCATGCCTAAGGCTTGATGCCATAGTGTTTGTGCATGTGCCTTCGGTGCTGTGCAGCAGTTGCCAACGTGGTGCTCTGCCACCAAGTTTTGCGCTACAACCCCTATCAGTCCCAGCTGAAGATCAATGATCAGGGATGATGGGAATTGTAGGCCAGAGCATCTGGCAGGACAATGTGCACCCATTCCCCACTTAGAGATGATGGCTGCCCTGGCAGCTTTCATTCTGGAGGAATAAGATCTGGAGGGTGGGGTTTTTTGTTGGTAGTACAGGAGAAAGAGGTACCCCTCTGTCCTCATCGGCTGTGGTCCTAACTCTGGTTGCTTCTTCTACATCTTGGCTTCCTTCGTTCCTTCCAATAGATACATGAAATGCAAACACATATTTCACATATTTCTGGATTGACCGTGAAACACTGAATATTTGCAATGCCAGCAACTCAACTCACACAGTGGTGCACTTAGGTAATTTTTAGGCCCTGGACTTCCTATGGGGTGCGCATCTTTAGGTGGCAATGGGTATTACTTGGTTTACTTAATAATGTAAGGTAGCAATGCTGCATTTTTTTGAAGGGGTCTGTTTATTCAGATTGTTGGGGTCCTGGATTCCGCCCCCCCTCCCCCAAGTCCTGCCATGAATACCACACAGCTCACACTCCATTAACATTTTAACAAGGCATCTCATTTAAAAGCAAAAATTAGGGACAAGAAAAGAAGATTGTCCATATTTACCAGAGTCTGGATAATAGGGGCTGTCCCTGGCAGTTGGAACATATAGCATCCTAGTTACTCACTAGGTCACTCACCCTTTTCAGGTGGCTTCCAGGAACTTGGAGGGATGTGGAGGCTGTGTTTTTTTAATTCCCAGTGGCAACTATTACTTATATTTGGCATGGTGGTTTGGCAGGCAAGAGAGAGAGATCGAGAGAGAGAGAGAGAGATCATTTTGTCGTCAATAGTGACCTTCACCTCTTTTTCCTACACACATGGTCACACATTGCATACAAAAACTGTCAGGGATTTTTTTTTCTGGAATAAATGCTTGTGTACATGACCTTTGCTAGCAGCTGGCAGCTATACTTTGCATATGCAAAAACTGAAGGTTTTTATTTTATTTTAGAAAAGCGATGATTAACACAAAGGGCAATTCTGTGCCCAGCCATTTTGTTCACCTTTTGCCTCGTTTTATCTTTTGTAATCTTTAGCTTGCATGCAGTTTGTAAATCTTCCGTTTGTATGCTTCTCTCCTCTCTTTTCTTTTTGTTTTAAAGCACGTCCAGACTGTTAGTATTTTGAGAGAGGGATTCATGTGCATACCAGGGAAGTTTGGTTTGATCAACTAAAGTAGATCAAAGTCATTCTAGCATATCAAATGCACTTTTGAAAAAGAAACCAACTTTTTGCAGCTAGGAAAGTGACAGGGAAATGGCTTGAAAAATGGGAATTAATGGGAAGACAAATGCACACCCCATAAGCAAATTGGAATGAATGCTCAGTGTCATATAACCTTCCCACAACCAAATCAGAAGAAATGCTCAATAAAGACTGGATATAATCTAAGTTCCCCATAAGCTTTGGGCAACCTGTTGATTGAGTATTCCTATTTGATTTGTTTGCAGGGACAGGGAGGATTAGTAGACAGTGGCTATTTAATCAGCATTCATTCTGAATTTTTTGCAAGTGCGGTTAGATGACATTGCATCAAAGCAAGTGTTATCCCTCACTTTCCGGTGCATTTTCCCATTGCTTTCCTCATTGCAAAGAAGTCTGACCTTTGGGGGAAGAAGGTTTGCTCTGCAAGACCTCCTAATCAACTATAATTGTGCAACCTGCAATTGCAGGGATGTGATTGTATCCTTCCCCAAAATGATGGAAGCACCAATTCACTCAAGCAAATCAGGATGAATGCTCAACAAATAGGTTGACTGGATGAGCCCTAAGTTGTCTTTGTCTGGTTTGTGATCAATAATGAACATATTTGAAGATGGTGATTATTGAAATGTTTCTTCATATTTAGTCCCAATGGCTTTATTCTGTGGTTGTGCCTGATTTTCTCAGTCAAACAGTTCTGATGTCTTTTCAAGTCTGTAATAGTAACTTTGATAACCAGCGACATGGGCTTGAAACTAGAGTCACTCTAGCTCAAAGTGCACTGGGTAGGACTCACTGAAGGGCATCATACTCAATACTAAATTTCCTGGTTTTGTGTTGCTTTTGGATTTGTGTAGCCTTTAGATTTACTGCCTCCCTTTCCCACACGTTACCTAGTGAGGTAAAATCCAGTTCCCACCCAACATTTTGTCACCTCTTTGTTAATCTAAGGGGTTGAGTTGACCTCACTTGCAGATATTTGTGGGAACTTTAAGGCCCTCCTCAGAGACTCACACCTCCCCCCCACCCCATGTTCCTTTTATTTCTCTCAGTTTAGGCGCTGGTGTTGTACCCCAACCCCGTCACCATTGCTAAGGCTCCAGGGGGAAATAGGCCTGTTGCCTAGCAACAAGCCAGGAAGGGGTTGGGGAGCACTTTGTGACAGAAAGGGGACTGCTAAATGTTTCCCATCTTTATTTGTAGAGGAGCTTAAAAATGGAGGCACAAGACATATGGTTTTCCCTTCCACAATTTCATAAGGCTGAAATATGCTTGGCCCCAGTCAGTCTAAATCTCGGCCTAGGCTCTCTCCCCTTGAACTGGCAAAATGGTTGGCCAAAAAGCATGGGGTGGGGAGAAGAGGCTACATGTGAGTGCTAGCCGGTGACCTCAAATTGCTGCGTCCCTGTCAAGTAGTGCTCCTTTGTCTTTTAAGAGCTACATGAAATGCAGAAATTCAACAGATGTAGACCTTCCAAGTGTCCCTATTTTCCAGGGACGTCCCTCATTTAGATAAGCCATCCCAGTTTCTGAGTTGATCCCAGAATGTCCCACTTTTCCTTAGGGTGTCCCTATTTTCATTTGCGAAATGTTGGAGGGTAGGGAGTTATCCGGCCCCTAAGCCATCTGAAGACAATCCTATGTAGGAAAGTTTTTTTTTAAAATGCTTAATGTTTTATTATATTTTTATATATGTTGGAAACTATGGCTGGGGCAAGGCAGGAAGATGTGTGGGGGTATAAATAGTAAAATTGTGGAATGGGACATCCCCGTTTTCACTGGAGAAATGTTGGAGGGTATGCAGATGCAGCCAGAGCCCTCAGTTCAGGGGGCCCTCAAGACAGTGCTACTTGTAGGCCTTGCCCTAGTTAGAGCGGTATGGGCTACATTTGTAGTCCTGTTAGAATGGTAAAATCTGAATTTGTTGTGGATTCCCTGCATTCCGAATCGGCACAAGCTCTTCTTGGTGTCCTTCTACCTGCTAATAGCGGACTGTAAGCTATTGTAATTAGAAACTGACTTAGAGCAGACATGTCAGTGCTGGGAAAGCAATGTATGATCAAAAATGCCTACCTGCTGTGTTGATCGCAGTGGGTCTCAGGTCATGACATTCACCTGGATCCCATTTAATGACACCCCAGGTTATCAAAACATGACGTACAGCCACTTTGGATGGGAGCCAAGGTTTGCTTACATTAAGGAGTTTCAGTGCCACCCACCCAAGTGATGGGGATGTCCGCAATTTCATCTGTGGAAAAGCCCTGCTAGAAAGAGTGGCAACTCTAAAACCGTCTGCAGCAGCACGACCAGCGCACCTCAGAGGTCTGTTTTGTTTCTCTCTGTTGCATGGTGAGCACAAGTTCACACTGTTGTATAACAAGTGCAGTTTATTATGTACAAATCAATTTACACGAGTATTCAGTAGCATCAGCTGTAAACCTCATTCCAGGCTTGTTTTTCAGTTGCCTTATGTTTCCATTCTCTTCATACACAGCCCCATGTCACAAGGCCTCGGGGCCTGGGACGAATGTTGCACCTGCCCATTGTTACGATTGGCTTCACCTTGCTTCCTGTAGCACCACCAATCTGAGGATATGGTCAGTTTTTTTGCCTGTTGCACAGCTCAGTTCTATGGATGAGTTGTAAGAAAGAAGGCTGCAGTTCTACATCAGCTTCCCTGGGAGTAAGCTCCGTTCAGCTCAATGGGACATACTTCTGATGAGATGTGTAGGACTGCATTGTAAGCCTCCCTCATCAAGTTAATTTATGTTTACTCCAAGTAAGAATGCATAAGATTGCAACTTTAAACTCTTTTCCTTCCCCTTTTTAATTTACTTGAATACAATCCCTTTTGTGGTGGAGGAATATTTTCTAAGCATACAGAAAGCTGGTGTAGCATAATTCGTAAGATATGAACTGCAATACAGTGGTACCTCGGGTTAAGCACTTAATTCGTTCTGGAGGTCTGTTCTTAACCTGAATCTGTTCTTAACCTGAAGCACCACTTTAGCTAATGGGGCCTCCTGCTGCTGCCGCGCCGCCAGAGCACGATTTCTGTTCTCATCCTGAAGCAAAGTTCTTAACCCGAGGTACTATTTCTGGATTAGTGGAGTCTGTAACTTGAAGTGTATGTAACCTGAAGCGTATGTAACTCGAGGTACCACTGTATAAGATCAGAAGTCCTTGGTACAGATTAACTTCCTTGAGCCACATATGCTCTCTGGGTAACCTTAGCCATTCACTGTTTACTCAGACTCAGCCCTCCCCTCGTATATAATGGATAATTCAAATCTCACCTTCCAGGGCTATTGGTAGGATCACTGCAATTAATTTATGTGAAGTGTACTGAATGCTTGACACCCTATATAAAAACTACTGCATGAAACTGCCTTCATGTTTAAAAAGCCCTCCAGTGGTATCATGTTGGCACTGATTTGTCAATCCAGCCATACAGCTTGATGAATGGAGAAAAACAAGGGGTACATAGGAAATTGACTTGCATGTTTTTATGACCTGAAAGGGATCTCTTGCTCATCTGGGGAGCAACAAAGATAGAAAATAAATAGAGTACAATAAAATAGCTAGCTGTTGGCCATAAGGATACTTAAATTCCCAGGCCCGATCTCTGTTTCAAATGTGGCTGGTTTCCTAGTTGCTTGTGTTGATTGCCTCTTTTCCATCTGTCTTTTCTGCACTTCCAAGAGGCCTGCTGAGCCAGAACAAGAAGAGAAGGAAGCATCTCATTGGGGAATGTATGGGTTGAAGGTGTGCTCAACAAGCAGGTATTTCAGATACAACTCTTTTGGGGAACAGGTGGTATTGCAGATAGGTAGGCTCTGTAAGAAGAAAGAGAAGGGAATCAGCAAAGCTGTTTGCAATGAGGGTTGGAATTTAATGAAAATGGACCCTCTTGACTATGTATGGGTCCCCCATCCCTCAAACAGGGGGTGGTGCAAATCCTCTGTGAAGCTAGCGGAATATCTAAAATAGGAATACTAAGATTTTATGCTATGCATTTCCCAATCCCATCTCAAGCTCTTTGATCAGAAACGAACGGTTCTATAATTGCGGTTAATTACTCAAGTGTACTTCGGTTCCTTTGCATGCTGATTGCACAATTTTGGTGTTAGAGGGATGAATTTTTTTATATACTTGTCAGACTTCAAGTTCGTTTTAATGAGGAACTGAACTTCTCCACAATGAAATCTGGAAGTGGAGCCCCAAATCGAGGACAGTGCCTGGAATATGGCACATACCGCACCAGTCATGAGCTCAATGTTCTGAGATATATTGCAAGAGAGACTAGCTTGTGGAGACCTGCCTCCTAAGAGCATAAAGCAATAATATTTGTAACAGTTCCAGTCTCCTGCCCCCAGTCTACCAAAACTTAACACCCAATGTTGTTTTGTGCAGGGTTGTTTTCTGTCTCACCATCGTAGCAGTCGGGCATCTTCAACACACCATCGAAACACTGGCTGTCGGCCGTAAAACTGCAGGTCTTGTTCTCACTACGGCAGAAAAATGTGACAATTTCTCCATGATGAACCAGACCATCAGGGATCTCATAGACCCAGAGCTTACGCCCTTGGTAGATCATCCGGCTCCTCTTGGCAGTGATGGGACAGCGGGCTGGTAAGGGTAAGAAACAAAGCCTGTTAAGTATGGTTGACAGACCCATTGGCTTTTCACCATCTGGAACAGCAAAGACAATGGGGATGCTGGTATGGAATCTGATGGATGGGTTGGTAAAGTAATTGTCAGTATGTAAAAAGCAGTGGGGATTAGGAGGAAAGTACCTCTGCAGTAGGGTAGTTGGGACCAGTTTCCATTCTCCAGGCAAACCACTCGGTTAGAGCCATCTAAGAGGAAGTCCTTGTTACACAAGTAATAGATGACAGTTCCCACGGGGTATTCAGACTGATGCACAGCAACCAGGGTTGCTTCAGCAATATTGGGGGGTCGGGAACAGGTCACAGCTAGGGAGAGAAAAAGAAAAGTATTGTAAGTATGTGTGTGTGTGTGCATAAATGGATGGAAAGGATGTACAGATGTACAGATAGAGAACTCATGGATGGGTGTTTATTTGGATTTATGAACAGAGAAATAAATATGGAGTGATCTATAGAAGGATGAGGGATGCTTTATTGGGTAGGTCAGCATGTGAATGGATAGATATATCAGCCTATTGGTTGGTAAACGCAGAAGTTGCTTGGCCTTTGACTCAGAACTTATAATGTACTTCCAGGTGGAGTTTCTTCTGGTTTATTTGAGGTATATGTGGTAAAATGTGTGGACCTGTGTTACCAAGGAATAGAATACTACTGAATACTAATCAAGTGGCCAGAAAGAAGCTCGGTCCCCCACCCCAATAATCTTGACTACTTACGGTGGCAGGTTGGGGCTGCGTGTGACCATTCCTCATTCTCTTGGCATAAAAGAGAGCTGGGTCCCTCTAGGCGATATCTGTGAGGTAGGAGGAAGAAGAAGAAACCAGAAGGAAGTATTCAGTAGCTTTCCACTTGAGGGCAGATATGAGATAGTATTTATTAGATTTATATTTTGAGGCAGACCATGTTTTTATGCTTTTTAAAAACAGCTGACTGACTTTTTGGGTAAATGTTCTACCTCATTTTATGAAATTGTAACATTATATATATATGTTCAGACACTCTCAGTGGTGTTTTTGCACAAGAATGGTATGATAAAGGTAAAGGACCCCTGACAGTTAAGTCCAGTCACAAACGACTCTGGGGTTGCGGTCCTCATCTTGCCGAGGGAGCCGACGTTTGTCCACATACAGTTTTTCTGGGTCATGTGGCCAGCATGACTAAGCTGCTTCTGGCGAAACCAGAGCAGCGCACGAAATGCCGTTTACCTTCCCCCTAGAGCGGTGCCTATTTATCTACTTGCACTTTGATGTGCTTTCGAACTGCTAGGTTGGCAGGAGCTGGGACCGAGCAATGGGAGCTCATCCTGTCGCGGGGATTCAAACTGCTGACCTTCCAATCGGCAAGCCCTAAGCGCCACAAATATTAAATTAAATTAAATTAAATGGGATGTGTATGCTGATCAGCGTGTTGGAGTAAGTGATGGAGTTGAGGATAGTTTTATTTACATCATTTCTAACACACTCTTTAGCCCAGAAAGACTCTCTGAGCCACTTAGAACAAATCAGTTCTAAGACAGTCCCTGCCCTCAGGCTCACAACCTGAACAACTGACTTACCCATAGTCACACCAGTAGTGCACTTCCCTTCCTGTGTTGTAAGGGCCCCCTTCATGGGATCCATTTTCGATCTCTGGTGGAGATTTGCAGTGGGATGGTGGGTTAAGAGCATCTGATAAAGAAGAGGAAGGGGGAGGAAAAAAAATGCTTGGTAAGTCTGTATCCTTGGTGCATTAGACCAATTGTTGGATTTTGTTTGTCACCTGGTGGAGGCACTGTAGTGGTGGAGGGTTAGCAGTGGATGTTCTAGATTGAATAAGAGGTGCTTGCGAGCTTGGTCCCTCCTGGTAATTATTGATGACAATGGTAGGAAATGGTTGATTACCTTCACAGGGTAAAGTGAAACTCCACTTCGCGTCTCCTTGGCAGCGACTTATTGCCACTTCCTGCCCATCAGCCATTAGAAATCCAGCCTTGCATGTCACCTCCATTAAGTCCCCAAACATAGTGGATTCCTGGACCAGCTGTGTCTCAGCATTGTCAATTGTCACCGGCCATGCACACCTCAAGCCTTGGAAGAATACAGAAAGAAAGATGGCGGCTGATGAGAACCCTGAATTTTGTGGGAAAGAGTTGAGCCTGGATTCTCAGGGTCTAGTGAGCCATGTTGGAAGAAGAACTGCTGGGTTCTTGTGAGGAAACAGAAGGTCTATTGGACAGAAAGAGATGAAAACCAGGAGTTCTGATCTTTTGGGGTGTAGTAGGTTGAAGCAACAGGGAACTGGCAATCAGGAATATTGAATTTTCTTAAATGGGGCAAAGGAGGGGTTAAGGAATCTGGAGGCCAGGACTCCTCTGGAAAAGGAATAAATGGAAGGCTAGATGCTAGAGCAGGGCTGGGAATACTAGAAAACAGTTCTTCGCACCTAATGGGATGGTGAATGTGGGCTAGGTGGTGTTTTGGAGTTATGGGAGCCAGAAGAGGAATGAAACCTGTTTCATAAGGAAAAATGAGAGGCTATGACCTAGCGTCTTGGGATCATTGCAAGTGGAATGTGATTGGAGATGTGCAGGGAGGAGAAAAGCATCTGGGAACAATTATTGATTATTTATTGAATTTTTTTTTAACCAAAGTAACTCAAAGCAACTTTCAGTATATAAACAAACACATACATATCTTGAAACTGACATAAAACTACAAATCTTAGGTTCTTCTGGAATGGGGGATGAAGACTATATGGCTGAAGTTTGGAATTTGGGAATCAGAAGTTTCAAGTTCTCGAAACTGGTTTAAAGGATTTTTTTTCTGGTAACGGAGCACTTCTGAAATCTCTATAAAGTGGCTAGGGCAGAGTTAGGTAGGAAGGACTGGGAAGCATGTAATTGCCTGGATTTTCTGTGAATATTCCTGTGTGTGGACTAGGTGGTCAAGTTTCTACCTGTAGAAATGCAGCTCATTCCACATTCCCCGTCACATTCACACTTCCTGCTTTTAGAGCACCTGCGGCGCTCACAGTTCTTCTGGCACGTCTGCCCTGTCAGCATTGTAAAATTCTTCTTCCGCAGTGGACATTTGGGGTCGGTCAGATTCCTGACTGCAAATAGAAGAAAAGATAAGTGGTTACACAGATATGAGGGGATGAGATCGGGGAAAGAGGCGAGTGATATACAGTCCTATTTAAGAGCTACGTCTGTGTGTCTGTAATGGGGGAGTCGAAGGTAAAGAAATACCTTCCTTCCCTTCCCTAACACATAGCTGTCAACATTTCCCTTTTTTTAGGGGAAATTCCCTTATTCCGAATAGGATTCCTCACAAGATAAAAATTGACAGCTATGCCCTAACAAGAAGCTCCAAGATGCTTTGTTGCCTCAAACAAAAAATTCAAATAGTGTCTCCTCCTCTTGAGGCGATACAAAATATCACAGTAAACTAAATAATTGGCAATTGGCCGTCCTTTAACGTTGTTTTGAAATCTCCCATCTGAGTGGGCTGTCTCATGGTAGGCCTGGTCCTGCTTTTCCCTGTGGTGAATGAGATAATTTCGGCATCGTGGCTCATTTCCTGCTAGCGAGCTTCTCAAATGTCCCTCAGCTGAACCTAATTTTTAAGCTGTGCCTCATTACTCTCACAATGTCTCTGACTCCTGCCGTGTGCTTGTTTGCTTAGGTTTGTGTACAAGCAGGATGTCAGACTGAACCTAAATCTGAACTCAAAAAACCACGCAGAACCTTCACCCCCCCAACCGAATTGTAACAGAATAAGAATTATTATCTGTAGAATCTGTTGACCGCAATCAACAACAATTGGGTTACCTGTTAGAATATGAATCTAGCTTTTTTTAAAAAAAAGGCCAAATCTTTTGTTTTTATTATTTTTAAAAATTCAAAACCATTTAAAAACTGCTTATTATTAAACCAATATTTAAGTGATGTACAATAGAACATAACCCCCCCCCCCCCCAAAAAAACCCCCAGCGTGTTGTGCTAACCCCACCGGCTCCAACCAGAATGAATCACGATGAGCACATAAAAACAGAATAACATCTGGAGATTTGGGGAAAGATATTTGGGGGCTGCTCAGTGAAGAGAAAGGCTGACAGCAGGGAATATCCACTGAGGTGGGAGAGAAGTGAGAGACACAGGCTCCCAGATGCCTTTGGGAAGCCTGAGAGCAAGGCCCCTCTCCCTCCTGTGGCTGCCACCAACTGGTATTCAGAAGCGTACTGCCTCTGACTGGGGAGGCAGAGTGTGGACTTTGTGGCTTGTAGCCATGGAAAGCCTCTACCTCAGCGGACTTGTCTAATCCTCTTTTAAAGCCATCCAAGTTGGCGGCTATCACTGCCTCGTGTGGAGGCAAATTCTGTAGTTTTACTATGTCTGTACTGTGTGAGGAAGTACGTTCTTTTGCCTGTCCTGAATCCTCCAAAATTCAGTTTCATTGGATGTCCATGAGTTCTAGTGATATGGCAGAAGGATTTCCCGCCCCTTCTCTATCCACGTTCTCCATGCCATGTGTAATTTCGTAAACTTCTAGCCTTTTATTCGCCTCTTCTCTAAACTGAAAAGCCCCAAATGCTGCAACCTTCCCGCATCAGGGAGTTGTTCCATCCCTTGATTATTTTGGTTGCGCTTTCCTTAACTTCTTCCAACTCTACAATATCCTTTTTGAGGTAAGGCAACCAGAACTGTACACAGCATTCCAAATAGGATTGCCCCATGGATTTGTGTAACCACTTTATAATATTGGCACTTTTAGTTCCTTTCCTAATGATTCGCAGCAGCAGCAGGAGGAGGAGGCTGGCAGCCGGTGCCACCCCCTTGGAAGGCAGACACATGGGGGCTGGCCAAAGGCAACGGGTTGGGCAGTGCCCCATTCACTCTAATGGGCTGTAGTTCCACCGGCTGTAGTTTCCCAGTCCAAGGTAGACGACATGTTCCGGTCAGGGTTGTACTCCCTCTAAAACTCTCATTATCACATCATTCACTTTCCAAAGCAAGTTGGGTCCATCAGTTACCCTGGTTCTCTTACAGATGACAGAATCACTGGTGGCCTGAACAAAAGTCCCAGAGTTGTGTTCCCTGTCTGCTAGGCTACCGTATTTTTTAAAAAATAGACATGAGCCTTGACTGTGTACTTGCAGTCTCAAATGTGGGGCTGAAATTCTACATATGCGAATGTCAAAATCACTGATCCTGATTACGGGAAGGGTTACAAATGGACCAGAAAGAAACTTCTTTGGCATGCTGTTCCCATAGTTTTAACAGCCTTTTTGCATGTGCCAGTGAAATCAGCCAGTGGAACTTTCCACGCTATGGAGATAATAATATCACCTGCTAATTCCTGCAAAACTAAATGTGAGCATGACAGCAGTTGGTAGGGTGTTAATGGGAAGTAACACTCATTTGAAGAGATCTTGAGACTTTGGCTTAAATATATTCTGTATGGAAGGGCATGAGGGTTAAAAAGAGGGATATTTAGAGCTTTGTATCTTAAGCAAAATGAACATTTCCTTCTTTTCCAAACTTGAATGAGAAAAGTTGTGATGCTGGCAATGGCCACCAGGTGGAGAAACATATACTTGGCTTGAAAAGCTGCCTTATACAAGAAATGCTGTCTACCTGTTTATTTCCATACGTGTTTTTTCTATTAAAAAAAATATTATTTTAATGTTTAGACCGCAACACTCGAAGGTGCCATGTGAGTAGCAATATATCCAAAGGTAACACGCCTAATTATAGCTGACCCAGAAATGAAAAAAACCTCCAAAAGCTGGATTTTGGAAAAAACACACACCCCAAAGATCCACTTTTATTAGGACCAACCAAATTAAAAAATAATGGCAAGCTTTTACATTCTCCAGAGCTCTGCAACAGGCAAAGTGTTACACAAAACAGGAGTCAAAGGGACAAAGGGAAAGTACAAGGAAAAGTACAAGAATTAGATTGGATGTTGTAGCTCTAACATCAGCTTGTAAACTCAGTTCCCAAATTATATTGCACCGAGGTACAAATTTTAATGGTCCTGTAAGCTAACAAAATTAAAATAAAATGCACATTATATTGAAAAATCAATCAAGTATATAAAAAGATACTATTATTAAACAGCTTACATTTAATAACATGACTTATGCAGTCTGTCATGAGGATGGTTTATTTGTGCAGGTAAGGACCTAGCTATGTAGCAGTCAATGTGATTACCCTGATGATCTGCAAAGTGAGCCTCAGTTGCCTTGCTTGCTTTGTATAAGCCCACAGCTAAATTGCAATAGTGCTACATCCATTCTGCAGTCACGTTACTTCACATAGCCCTCTAAATTCAAGAACTAACTTGTGGGGGAGGGACAGGAAACCTATTTTCTGGGATTGATAGGATATATATATATATGGTTTTAATTGCAGGGGAAATGTGATATCCTTGAAATAGAAGCGTGAGCTTAAAAGAAAGATGTCTGGATCTTTCTCAAACCCATTAATCCTCGGCAACACATTAGTAACAACTGTGTGCATTTTAAATTTTTTTTTTGACAATTTGCACCATGAGTAGATGGATAGATACATTGATTTAATAATAGACAGAGATAAAATTAGGCATAAAACCTTGATACTTCCCATTTTAGAAACTGTACACAGGATGGAGAGAGAGAGAGAGAATATGTGTGGGAATAGGGAGAAGAAAAGTGAATGGAAGTTAGGAAAACAGCAGAAAGAAAGAAGCCCTACCTGGCAATCTTACACAGTAGGCAGAGAATAAGGTATCTGGTTGGCCACTGTGAGAACAGGATGCTGAACTAAATGGGCCACTGGCCTGATTCAGCAGGTTCTTTTTAAGTTCTTATGAGTAAGGGGCTCAGAGTAAGCTAACTAGATTCCTATCGTAGCTCAGCCCAATTCCAGTCTCTCTCTTTGTAGGCTTGGCTTTTGCTTCAATTTTCTTTCTATAAAATGTGTTGAAAGTGACTGCGAGGGAAGGGATTCTGGTTATACATCCTCAGTTTTAAGACGAGAGAGCCTAGAAATCTAAATATACGCAAGTGTCTTTATGAGGGTACAGCATGTTAGGTAAATGGAAAACTATTTGGACGCAGGACAGGTCTGAGAAGGTTAAGAGCCCTGGTGTCTTAAAGTATGTGTCAAAAGCCAACGGATAGTTGAGGATATATAAATTCTACAACTCTGTGGCTCTACAGTTTTCCCACAAAGTGGTGCTTTATACTTTGGGCTGCTTGTATCCTATGATCCTCTCCAAACACAGAACGAGATCAGAAAAATCTGGCACCCTGAGCCTTTAGTAAAAAATGCTTTAGGGAAAAGTACAAAGGGGTGAGAGAAAATGAACAGATAATAAAGTCACCCTCTAGATGAACATGGGAATCTGTCTTATCCCAGGTCAGACCATGGTTCATCTAGTTCAACACTGTCTGCACTGACTGGTAGCAAGTCTCCAGGATTTCAGACTGCTTTCTCTCCTAGCCTTACCCAGAGATGCAGAAATTGAACCTGGAACTGTCTGCCTGCAAAGCAGCTGCTCTACCACTGAGCTTATGGCCCTTCCAACCTACTCATCTTTGGGGGCAGGGGAGAGTATATTATTCTCTCCTCCTGTGTGTCCTCTTTGAGGCGCACAGCTGGTACAGCTGGGGGTTTTCTGCTCCAAGTGGCTGAGCACTACAGTCAGAGCCCCAGAATACTCCAGGACCCCCTGCAACATTGCAGCTGATGCCAGGATATGTCATTTCACTGATGGGCCTAACAAAAATTGTTGCTGTAACTATGTTTGGCTTGCTTGTGCCCAGCAGCCTGGATTTATATAAGATGGTAGCTCGAGTTGCAAATGGGCAGAAAACAAATACAATGGTACCTCGGGTTACATATGCTCCAGGTTACAGACACTTCAGGTTACAGACTCTGCTAACCCAGAAATAGTACCTCAGGTTAAGAACTTTGCTTCAGGATGAGAACAGAAATTGTGCTCCAGCGGCACGGCGGCAGCGGGAGGCCCCATTAGCTAAAGTGGTACCTCAGTTTAAGAACAGTTTCAGGTTAAGAACGGATCTCCAGAACGAATTAAGTTCTTAACCTGAGGTACCACTGTACAATTTTTCCACAATGTGTAGAGATTGAGCACAGGTCTAGAGCCGGTCCAAGACATTTTTCTCCCTGAGGTAGAATAGCAAATGCTGCCTTCCCTTGTCCCTCCCTCAGCAAGTCAAGAGCTTTGAGTTTCGTTAGTGGCTGGAAGGTGGAGCGGAACTGGCCCAAGACATTTTGATGCCTGAGAAGGAGCGGCAGATGGCACATAACACACCTGCCCTGCCAAAGTGAAGGCACATAGTAGTTCCCAAGGATTGCTTTGGCACATGAGGCAGAAAATCTCTCGCACACGCCTCTCCCAGGAAATGGGGGAAAAAAATCACAATAATAATCTAAATCGCTGTTGTTATTTTAAATCCTCATTATTTATTAATTTATATAATCCCTAATGAAAAATAAGTCTCCCAAGCAGTTTGCCAAATATAAAAACTAATTACACAATTCTGTTGCCCTTTCATGATATCCCAAATCATGACTGCCTCACACTTCCTAATGGTAGAGCCGGCCCAGCATTGCTCACTGCTTAATGTGCTGGACGTCCCAGGTTAAACCCCTGTCATCTCCAGTTAAAAGGATCAGCTAGGAGCTGATGGGAAAGACCTCTTTCTGCCTGGGACAGACTCTGGAGAGCTCCTGCCTGTCAGACAACAGAGGACTAGATGGATAAATAGCCTGACCTGGTATATGACACCTACCAACGTTCCTAATATAGCAGCTTGTAAGGGACAACTGAACAAGGAATATGAGGAAGGGGAGGTGAAAAGTCAGGTAGAGGGACTGAAAGCAGAAAAGGGGTGAAGCAACTGTGGGGACTCACCTCCCACTTGTCCAGAGCCTTGTGAGAACCAGAGAACCGCCAGCAGTGCCAGGAAAAGGAGCGAGGACATGATGCGAGGAAGATGCAACCCGCGTCTCTTGATTATACCTATGTTTTGGGGAGACAGGTTCTCTGGGAGAGAGGCAATGGTTAGTTGGTCTGAGGAAAGTTTTTGGGAGTGGGTATTAGCGCCTCCTAGATAATGCAGAATGAGACAAGGGTGCAGAGATACAAGATTCCAGGGTGCTCTGAGAAAGGAACCAAAATTAATGGGTGCCAGGGTGGCAACCGAAGCTCCTGGATTTTGTCTTGCAGGCTGACGGGATGGCCTTATAAGTAACTGGGATTTGAGCACCCCTCTGAAATATATGTCCATTTCTCCCACTGTGTGTCCGAAGTTATTCATTAACAAGGCCTGGATGGGACCTTGCCAAAGGGCAACCTGCCTTCCACATTTGTCACAGGGAACTCTGAACTCCAAAGCAAGACAACAGACAGCTGGGGGGGGGGTTGTCAACATATGGAGAGAGGAACCCAGGAGTCCTAAACCTCCACAGATCCCACACCTGCCTAAGCCCTACTCTTCTCAAAAAGGGATCACCCTAACTCTCTCCACTCTGGATTTCTCTGCTCCCCCAGAAAATCCAGAAAAGCTGGCTCCCTGTTGTGAGTCTTCTTTAATAGCACCGCTTTATTCTTCCACAATCCCATTCAGGAGGCGATCCTTTTAGTATCTCAGCTTCTCCCCTCAGCTGCTTTCACCAATCTCTTTAGATTTTCCTTACTCTTGCTCAGAAATTCTGGTTTCTTCAGGGAGTGAGAAAGAAATCCGATGGGTGTGTGCGTGTGCCTGGTGTGTGGGCGAGAGAGGGGTGGATACCAAGGCACCTGGTGGGTTTTCTTAGTGGGCAGCACAATGTAGAAAAAGGGTTAGAGGGGAGAGATCCCCGGCTGCTTCTGTGGGGGGAGAGAAAAGCCTTTCCAGTGATTCCTCTTTAAACTCTGACTCCTCCCCCTCCTCCCCCCTTGCTCAGCCTCAGCCTCCCCCGTCCAAATCTCCCATTCCTGGGTGAGAAACAGACACAGCCCAAATCCACAACCTGTTTGTGTCTCTCTCTCTCCATCTCCCTCTGTCTCTCGTTCTGTGGAGCTGTTGCTGGGAGCTTTCCCCTCTGCCTCTTCTCTTTTTTTCCATCAGCAGTTTTGCCATTCTCCCTATCACTATCTTCTTCTCTTTCTGTTCTCTCTTTCTCTTTTTTACTCCATTCACCTCTTCGTTGCCCATCCCTCCTTCATCTCCCATCCCTCCCCATTCCTTTTTCTCCCCATCCACCCTTCTACATCCCTCCAGTCCTTTTCCGTCCTCCATCAGTTCTCCACTTTCCACCTCTTCTCTCATTCATTGCACGATCCACCACCGGTCCCTCTTCCTCATCCATCCATCTGCTCCCTCCAGCTCCCATATCTTTCTTGCCTGCTTTTAATCGCCTCTTCCCTGTGGTTCTTTCCTACCCCTCCGTCCCTCCCTCTTGAAGACCCTAGCAGTTAAGGTGCTGGGGCTTCCCCCAGGTGGCACCATGGCGCTGCTGAGCTCCCCAACAGAGACTGAATGCTTGACTAAGCCGCTTTTCTGCCGCAAGGGGGCGCTACGCCAGAAGGTCATCCACGAGGTGAAGAGCCACAAGTTCACCGCTCGCTTCTTCAAGCAACCCACCTTCTGCAGCCATTGCACAGACTTTATCTGGTGAGAGAACCTGACCCTGTGATGTGACCCTATTTGCATTGACCCCCTGTAACCCTTTGCCTTTGATCTTGCCACCCCTTTTACTGCTGCTTGTGCAACCCTGCGCCCCACATTCCATAACCCTGTGGTCCTATCACTCTTCTCCATAAAGGGCTACCTTATTCAGGGCTTCCTGTGTCCTGTAGTTCTGTCTAGATGCAGAAACAGTAGCAGGCACAGAATTCAGCACTCTGATAACCTGATTGCTCTGTTTTTATTTTTTAAGGTACCTTTCTAGTCCTCATTGTGGTTGTGCAGATTAGTCTTGGGCCATGCTTGGTGAAATCTCTAAAACTCTGGGGTTACTAAGTAGGAATTCTAGTGGTTAGGGGGTAAGGCTGCAGTGTCCTGTGTAAGTCCTTGCTCATCTCTGTAACAAAAAAGTGATGCTAATTTATGTAAAATTTAGATAGGTCATATAATTTCTTGCTGGAGAATTTGGGCAGTCTTGGTCCTGAAGTTGAGTTGACCAATGGTCCTGTCCTCCTCTACCATTACTGGTTTTTATTTCAGGTTTTTCTAAGTAAGGTATCTACTTTTACTCTGCCACCCAAGATGATGCCAAGGTTCAAACGGAGGAATTCATACAAGCAAAGTGATTTTCTCTCTCTCTCTCTCTCTCTTTCTCGTCTTTCTTCTGGCAGATGTTCCTTGTCCTATAATCCCATTACTCCTCTATATGTCTCTGAAGCCCCATAGATCTATATGGTCTGATCACCTTTTACCACCCTAGTTTTGTTTCTATAGATTTTCCTCAATCTATAAATCCATACTTCCATGCATGCAGCCTCTTATTTATATTTATTGCATTTACATGTAATACCAAGCCTTTGGCACAATCGATCTAGTTAGTTCTTTCCAATATATCTCTACATCTTGCCATATCCTCTGTCCCTCCATCTCTCCCATAACCCATGGCCCTATATAATTCAGTTTGACCCTGCAGAGCCTTTAGTTTCAGCCAAGAGCCCCCATGACTACCTGTGTGTATTCTGTGCTTCTCTCTTTCGCCCACATTTCTGCTTCCGGGAAATCTAATTCTGCAATCAGAATGTGTTGGGCGAATTGAGTGTATCAAAATATATTATGCAAATTAAGTGTATTTGCGTAATGTGTCTAGTTTTGCATAATTCATCTTACTTTCTGTGATTCAGCTGTGGAAATAAGTAGGATTTATTTGTGGCAAAGATGATGTTGATGGAGGTGAATAGAAGTGAGGGAAGGGCAAGGAGCTGTTTCAACGCATAATAACCAGGACTAGAAACTTGGATATATATTTTTAAAGGATGTGATCCTTAGGATGTCAAAATCCACACTAGAAATAACTGTTTAAATAGTCATCTCCAGGATCCATAATCCTGACCCATATTTTGGAAGTTTGGAAATAGGTTCTGAGTTTATACAACAATGCATGGCCCATGCATTGCCTAGGAACACTCAGGTATTCTGGAGAGATATTGCTGGTCAGAGATATCCCTGGCCTTTGGTTTCAATGTGTTTTGTTACTGGTTGTCCTCATTTTGGGATTGTTTTCCCACAGCCTGTAGTTCTGACAGGTGCACAATTGTGGTAGGGTTGCTGTGTTTGTAAATTCTCAAATGGTGGACTATCCCTCCATTAAACCCATTTAGTGGGGAAGAGCATTTAAGTTTTATATAGTAGGACATCAGGGGACTTGCTAAAATCACAGTACTCTCATGGGCTTCTTGTCATCTTTAAGAGATACATATGTTATTAAGTATGGGATATAGGTCCCTGCTGCCTAATACAGTCCTTTATATACCAAATGGAAATTTCAGCTTTCAGAGTGGGTGTAGCAAGACAAAACAACAATGTGATGCCCTATATTTCTAAATATCAATGTGCCACAATTATGTATGATTCCCCCTCCGCAACCTTTCTTATTTGGGGTTCCTCTTTGCTGCCTCCAGAAGCGCCTTTTCTCAAACACACACACACATTTCTCTCAGACATATTCCTGAAGGCTGCAGAAGTGATGGAAATTTGTTCTGACACATGGTTCTGTGGTCACACACACACAACGCGCACACACCAAACAGCACATAATACATTTTCTGCTTATTATGGGCAGAGAACATGAAGGATCCGTAAAAATATAACCAACAGGTGGGAGGCAAAGCAACGGTTGTAAGGCTCAGGTAACAACTGTTTTTCAAGTACGCAGAAAGGTTGGATTGCTATCAATAGACAAGGAGAGCAAGCCATATTCCTCTGCAGCTGAATGGAGAAAAACAGGGGGATGGAAAGAAAGTGTTTTGTGTTAAATATATCATGCTGATGAGATCTTTCTCATGGTTAAGCTGCTCCCTTTATCACTCTGCGCTCAGATCCCAATACAGATCCCCTCTCCAAGACGATTGCTCCTTCAGCATCTTCACCACCCTCAAGCTGAAGCCACACCATCCATTCAAAGGACTTTTATAGCGCTTTTAACAGTCCTGGCTTCCGGCCCCACCCAAAAGAGAGAGAGTGCTGGGAACAGCAGCTCTGTGAGGCCTGCATCCTGAAAAAACCTACAGCTTCTAGGCTTCTCTGGGACTCTTAAAGCTATAAGAGTGCTTTAAATGGATGCTGTGGATGTGACCTCAGTCATCCAAATGTCTCCTGTTCCCACAAATGACTCCAGCCTTTCTCCCACGCTGCAGTCAGTAGGGGACATGGCTCGATGGCAGAGGATATGCTCTGTGAGGAATGGATCTCAGGCTCAGTCCCTGGCATCCCCAGGTAGGGCTGGCAAAGACCACCTGAAACCCTGCCAGTCAGACAATAGACCAGTTCCCCAAACTTGGGTCTGCAGCTGTTTTTGAACTACAGTTCCCGTCATCCCTGATCACTGCTCTTGTTAGCTAGGGATGATGGGAGTTGTAGTCCAAAAAACAGCTGCAAACCCAAGTTTGGGAAACCCTGCTACAGGCAATGCTGTATTTAGGCCTTGCAGAATTCCTGTCTGATGCTGCTTCTCTCACTTCCTTCAAATTTCATCTCAACCCTTCCCCTCAACCTTTTCTGTAACCCCTTAGTCCAGGGATGCAGAAGCTGTGGCCCTCCAGATGTTGTTGAACTACAACTACCACAGAATAGTACCAAAAGGCGCACAGCTATAGCAACGATATACAGTGGTACCTCGGGTTACATACGCTTCAGGTTACATAGACTTCAGGTTACAAACTCCGCTAACCCAGAAATATTGCTTCAGGGTAAGAACTTTGCTTCAGGATGAGAACAGAAATCGTGCTCCGGCGGCACGGCAGCAGCAGGATGCCCCATTAGCTAAAGTGGTGCTTCAGGTTAAGAACAGTTTCAGGTTAAGTACGGACCTCCAGAACAAATTAAGTACTTAACCCGAGGTACCACTGTACAATCTTTATATTGAGGTAGACAAAATACCAACACAATTGCAGCATATACATTTCAGCACAGCTTACAAAGAACCATATGGCTCAACAACAATTATTATTGCATTGAAGACGGCTCTGTAGTGCAGCTGCCTATAAGTTTGCACCCTAGCAATGGTGTTATCCTCTTGGAATCAAGCAACTTCTTTGGAGATATAAACATTCTGGTTGTGAAAACTGCGGCTGGGGCCTCGAAATGCTTTTTGCGGGTTTGTCATCTGAGGAAGGCCTTCGAAGCAGGACCTTATCCAGAAGCCTGTCTGTTGTCAACTGCTTAGAGCATTCTTCGATGCAATAATAATTATTGTTGTGCCATATGTTTCTTTGCAAGCCTTGCTGAAATGTACATATTGCAACGATATTTTGCATTGTAAGCTTCTTATTGCAGTTACAGCTGTATGCCTTTCCACACTTCTCTGTGGTGGTTTCATCTAGGACTGTGTCCTTGTATGTGATGTTGAACTACAACTCCCATCAGTCCTAGTCATTGTCCATGCTGGCCAGGGCTAATGGGAGCTGGAGTCCAACGACATCAGGAGGACAACAGCTTCCACACCCCTGCCTTAGTCCCTGACCCCTACTGAAACTGAAGCCTTAGTACAAGCTCGTGAAATTCTTAGCCTACATCTCTCCCCCTCTCTTTTGACTCCCCGAGGTCATTTGTTAAGAGCCGTGGATTTTATTGATTTTTAAAAACAACAAGCAAAAGAAGCATAACAGGTGCCTCATGTCAAATTTTAGATGGTAGGCTCCTTGCAGTAGGAACCTGTCTTCTTGTTCTTTGTAAGCTGCTACAAAACTTTGATAGCTCTATATGAACAGAAACAAACAAATTCAGGTAAAAGAGCAAAGGTGCTGGTCCACTAGAAAAACAAAAAAACCCTCCGATATCCACCGTAGGGTATTAATTTTGTTAGGCCCAACCAAACTGTCACAGAGTTGTTGCAAGCTTTTGAGTTCTCTAGAACTGTTTACAGTGGTACATCGGGTTAAGTACTTAATTCGTTCTGTAGGTCCGTTCTTAACCTGAAACTGTTCTTAACCTGAAGCACCACTTTAGCTAATGGGGCCTCCCGCTGCTGCTGCGCCGCTGGAGCACGGTTTCTGTTCTTATCCTGAAGCACTATTTCTGGGTTAGCGGAGTCTGTAACCTGAAGCGTATGTAACCTGAAGCGTATGTAACCCGAGGTACCACTGTATTGGGCAAGATGTTGTAGGAAATCAATGGGCATGGAGGGAACAGGGCAGAAGGACAAAAGAAGAAATCAGGGTCCCCACCAGACTGTCACTGTTTTGCAGGAGGGATTCAGCAGCATACTGGCAAAATTCGGATTGCACAACTAAAAGTGGATCAAAGAGCTCTTCTGCAACAAACCCACTTCAAAACAATTCAGACCTTTTGTAGTAACGAAAGTGATGGGAAGATGAAATGGGGTGGTATGGTGGGCCAGACTATATTTCTTGGGGAGGGGGGATGAACAAATTCCTATGCCCCACAAATAACCTAGAGATGCATTTTAAGTAAAAGGACACATTCTGCTCATGTAGAAACACGCTGATCCCCATACTGTCTGCGGGCCGGATTGAGAAGGCAATTGGGCCGCATCCGGCCCACGGGCCTTAGGTTGCCTACTCCTGATTTTGCTGCTGTGCCATGCTGAGAAAATCTATGGCTTGGCTTAGTGTGTTCCCCGAACCTGGGTGCTTGCAATTTAGCTCTCTCTAGGCTAACCAAGGTTTGTACTTGTTTTAGCTCACCGTGGCGTAGCAGCAAACTCCTCCCCTGCTTTCGAAAAAGACATCATGGGTAGGGGGAAAGCAGAATGATGTCACAGATCCCAAATGGGAACCTGCAACAAAATGTTGAAGTGCTCTGGTTCACTGGGTCTGTCAGTCAGCCATGATCTCCTCTAAGATTCCTATTTCATGCTCTCCACCCCCAAGAGACAGTCTGTGGCCACTGAACATGATAAATCCTGCTTTGGGCTGCTCTTTTTGAGGGTGGGTGTGCCCATTAGGTTGTTTTTCCTATATATTATTTGTACTTTTTGCAGGTTAGTGTTCACCCAAAGGTTCTGATGCTACCTTGCTATTTCTTACTAGCACCGTTTTAGGTAGCGTCCTGTTGGCACTCACCAGCTGAGTTCATTATTAGAGGGAACGATGACAGGGTCTGTCACATTTAAGGAGAACTTGTACAATTGACAGCAGAAAGTTCATGAAGTTACAGTATTGGCCACACCATCTGGTTATGTGTGCATTTTATGCAGCTACCTCTTCCTTCAGGCAGCTCAAGGGCGTAAACATGGCTCCCGCTTTTGTCCCACTTAACAATTCTGTGTGAGGCAGGTTAGGCAGATTACCGATGACTGGCTCAAGCTCACTCAGTAAGTTTTACAGCTGAGCAAGGATCTGAACCTATGTCTCTCCATTCCTAGGTCCAGTACTCAGTACTTGCATCGCAGGGGGTTGGAGTAGCTAAATTTGAGGGGAGCCAAGGGGTGGAGCTTGTGGATTTCATTAAGGACACCCTTGCTTTTCCCTCCTAAGCCCTGACAACACTTTCACCACTGCCTGACACTACGCTGGCCCATGCTGGCTACTCTTTAGATAACACAGCAGCTTCTGTTTGTAATGGGGTGTGGAGTGTTGACTTGGTGGGTGGGTGGTGGTGGTGGTGGTCCTGTGCTCTCACTGGTGGTGGGTGGAAGAGATGGGAGGCATCCGGGTCAACATGGCTGCATCATGGCCAAATGGCCAGAAGTGACTGTGCTGGCACTAGACTCTGATCTCACTGGGGTGGGAAGGAGCTTCAGTTCAGAACAGGTCAGAGAGGCAGTGAAGTGTAACTATTTTGCTCAATTAAAACAATCTCTTCCCAAGTGGCAGTTTGTCCCAAGTGGCAGTTTGTCCCATGGAGGAAAACTTGCAGGTACCTATATGTTTTGCCCAGCAGGCCAAAAAAATATTAGGACTTGGAAAAACCCCCTGATAAATCTCTGTTCTTGAATCTCCTGTCATGCCATGCCAGACATGGCCCTGATTCTGTACAATATTTCTCCCTTGTTAACCATTGCCTTTGCTCTGTTCTTTTATCCTCCATACTATCTAGATTTGTAAGCTCCACAGGGCAGGGAGTTCTGTTACGATTATGTGACTCTATAAAGTGCCACATACAGTAACGGCACTTTATGTATAAGAGGATCCTTCCCAAAGACCGATAAGGATGTGATGAGGAGAAAAGGCTGTTGGAAGAGGTATGAAATTCTGTTTGAAGTTAGCCGAAAAGGCAGCTGTGTGTCAGCTTGTGGAAAAACCTGGAGCTTCGACACCAGCACCCCCGCAGCCTCGGGAGTTAGTGTCAGGCGAAGACAAAATATGCTAAACCCCTCATCTCTGTTAATGACTCACATAGCAGAGGGCACAGAAGTCTTTATAATAACTACTAACTCCAAAGACATACAAACATTTCCATCCCCATTTGGGGGATGTGACAGCTGGGGACTTGCCACATAGAAACCCAGATCTTACCCTCGTATTTATTTCATTCTTTATTTATTTATAAAATCTCGTGAGTCAACGTTTGTAGCCCAGATTGGGTGCTCAAAGTGACATAACACAAACATACAGAGCATCTATTTAAAACGCATTAAACACAGTAAAAGCAGAAAAATAAAAATGATGAAAACCGTCAACCCTAAGCTCTGCTAGAATTTAAGGCAGAGAAGAATCAACAGAGGGACAAATCCAGTTCTCAGCTCATAAGGCAAGAAGCAAAGTTGTAGTCTGTTGAAAGTAAGACTCCGCTGTATTCAGTGAGACTTACTTAGAGTAAATGTGCATTTGCTTGGGCTGTAAAACAGAATGCTGGCAAAGGCTGAAGAAACCAAACAGTTCCCACTAGTGTGTCAAATGCTCATTCAGGAAAGGAGCCAACCAGCCCAATCTCTCTTGGGAAGAAGGTCTTAAATGGAAGTTACCACCATAAATATGGTCCTTCTGAAACTAAAACATTTCACCTGTTGATCTTACAGAGCAGGTGCAGTGGCATATAAGGGAGAAGATGCTGGGATAGCTCAGTTGGTAGAGCAGGAGACTCTTAATCTCAGGCTTGTGGGTTTGAGCTCCACATTAGACAAAAGATTCCTGCATTGCAGGGGGCTGGACTTGATGGTTCCTTCCAACTGTACAATCCCATGATACTTTGAGCAACAGGACCTAGGACCACTGCCTTGAACTGGGCAAGGAAGCAAACTAGAAGCCAGTGCAGATGGGTCATGCACCAGAGTAAAAACATTCTTTCCTACTCAAGCTGGCTAATGAGCACGTTTGCTGCATTCTGCAGAACCTGAAGCTCCAGAGCCATTTTCAAGGGCAGCCCAGTGCCAATGCATTGCCATAGCAGTTAAAACGAAAGGTTACTGTTGTGTGCGTGAGAGCGTGCTGCATCTCCTAGTCAGAAAGGAGGGATTTCAGCCGGTTTGTTGGCCAAAGCTCGTGCAAGGTGCTCTTGACTGTGACCTTCACCTGGATAACTACCAGCAAAACAGGACTGAGGAGTAGGGTAGCCCCTTTTTGAACCAACACTTACTCCCCTGCTTTAAAGTGCAGTTTGGTCTGCAGACGTTACTAGGCAGTTGATACTAGGTGTTTAGCTCTGTGTCATGAAAAGCTTTGCTTGCTGATTTCCGTAGAACAAGGTCTCGCTTCCAGACAGCCTGTTTATTGAACGTTCATCCTGATTTTTTTGTACACTGTTTGCAAGGAGGTTAGACAACACAAACTATTCGTGGAAAATTCATTCTTTTATATGGGGAGGCTTCACAATGCTATTGTTACCCACAAAAAGTCTGGGTTTTTTAGGAAGTGGATTTGTTGCAAGAGTACCAAGTCAACTTTGATTATGCTACTTTAATTTGCCAGTATGTGATTGAATCCCACATGAAAACATCAACAGTCTGGAAGTGTCCTAAACCTCAGTTAAAGACAGAGACACAAGACAGGTCCCCCCACCTTGGTTAAGTAGAATAACTACCATCTCCTGGTTCCATAAGCACAATTGCAAATGATATGTTCTCCCCACCGGTCATTTCTCTAATAAGCATGCTTGTGTGGTCCATAAGAAAAACCACAGCCATGAACATGCCACGTGAGTTCTGAGATTTTGCTAAAGCATGGGGCCATGTGTGCATTTTGACATGGTGTGCAGAAGTTAGCATCCTGAGAATCTTCGCTTTCAAGTAAAATGAACCAAGTTTCTAGTCCTTAAGGCTGTAAAGCTAGGCCTTGAAAGAGTGTTAATGTTAATGCTTTGCAAGTAGAAGGCCCCAAGTGCAGTCCCTAGCATCTCCACGGAGGGCTGGGGAAGATTTCTAAATGAAATTCTAGGAATTTAAATTGGGGAAAACATCATGGCTTTCCTGTATAACCTATGGTTTGGTTCTTAAAACAAGGTCTGCAGTTCAATTTCAGGTTACCACTGAGAGCACAATGGCAAAAACAGAAGGCCTTTTTCCAGAGCCAGGAGGGATTGAGTCCTGCATAAAAATTCAACTCCTTCTAGATTCTAGTGCTACTGAACTGCAGCATGCAGAGCGAAGGGTGGGGTAGGGGAGTATTGCTAGATGTTGCTAGAGCTGCCACTTCCAGTCCGTGCCCTTTGCTACCTAGATGCCTTTTCCTTCCACCCTGTCTGTTTAGTAGAGCTGCACCCAAGTGTTGAAAAACATGAGTGTTAATTGCCACAACGTAATAAAATAATTGCCACCACGTGCAGCAAGGAAGCAAAGCCAGCCAGCCTATTGGTTGGTTTGTAATATTAGAATAAGAATTGCTGACATATCTGTTTAACAGTTCGTGCTTTGTTGGATTTTAAGTAGTGTGTGTGTGTGTATGTGTACACCCACCCACACCAATACACAAATTGTACTGTGAAGCCCCTTTACCCTGGCCATGGGTTGGACAAACCATGTGGTCATTCTTTCTACCCACCTGCCACCTTGCCCCTCCTTGCTTACCTTCAAAGAGGTTGACAGTTAAACTTTTGTTTCTCCTTAGGTCTGTATGTATTTATGTGGCAGCAAGTTCCTTTTAAATCATCAGGGCTTACAGTTTATGGTTACAGATTCTGTTGACATTCACCTACTATGATGGGCATCTGCAGATGTTTGCCTGTTCTCCGTTCTATGCAGACAGAACTCTCTCTTGAACTTTATTCCCAAACCGCCTTCAGTTTCCAGATTTATCAGTGGGGAAACCCCCTGACCTCCTCCTGTACCATTCACAACACTTTGATCTGCAAACATCAGCAAATACAGTAAAATGTTTCAAGGCCTGGTGGCAAACATTATCACCTGCTAATGTCTTCAGAGCAAGCTGCTGTTAAATGCAGAGCAGAGGAGCAGGGGGCCGGTGTGAACCACACACCACACAGTGCTTGTTTATTTTGGCATCACTTTCCAAGATTATGCACGCCCCAGCAAAATCAGAAGTGTCTATGTAGAGCAAGCATTGAACTGTTTGCAGTTTTGGAATGATTACAACACATGTTCTCATGGACACACAGACTGTCCCCTGCAAAGAATAATCCAGCAGTCATAGAAAAATATTTATATAAACCCAGTCTTTTCCTGTTCATCAGTGGCAACTAATTCTAATGTCTCTTTTCTAGCTCCTCTGTCAGAGGTAGTATGCTTCTGAACACCAGTTGTTGGAAACTTCAGGAGGGAAGGGTGCTCTAGTGCTTAGGTCTTGCTTGCAGGCTTCCCATAGACATCTGGTTAGCCACTGTGAGAACAGGATGATGGGTGAGATGGGCCATTGGCTTGATCCAGCAAGGACTGTTTATGCCCTTAGTCTCAGTGTTAACCCTTATAGAGCTCAGCAAGGAAGAAGATGGGAAGAAATGCTGCTTGTGGGCTTCTCTGAGGCGTCTGGTGGCCTAATCCAAACAAGCTTTTCTTTTGTTCTTTTGCTCAGCACCCCCTAATAGGTGGGGTTATTGAGCTGGTTATAGGGCATAACAGGCACGAGACTAAAGGCTTATCCATACTTCCTCATGTCCCATTGGTTTCCCCCAGGGAAAACTGCTCTTTGGCGCTCAATCAGAACAAACAGCAGTTCAAGTTTTCCTCGGGTCGCCATTTCTTCTGATCTATCACTAAAGAGTGGGTTTTCCCTCGGAAAGGAGCGAGGCAAGGGGAAAACTGCTCAGACCCCTGCATTCTAGGCACAGGACAAGTATGGATGAGCCCCCAGGGTCATTCCTGATTGTTTACTTGCAGGCCCGGGCTCCCTACTTGACTTAAAGGAGCAAGGGTGAATCTTGGATGAAGTTTCAAATATGTCTGCCCCTTCAGATAATCAGTGAACGACCTTAGATCATATTTCCATACAGCAGAGAAACTGCCTCATATGTGATGCTGTAAGGAGCTGTCCAATTTTGTAAGTGGGTTTTCTTCAACCCTCACATTAAAATAACAATTATAATAAAGGGTTCGGGCACTGCACTCCCAAATAGTCCTTGGTAAGTCTTCATGAGGTACTTCCTGATCCTAGAGTCCTTTATAGTTGTGATTTTAACATTTTTACATACAACCTATTTGAAAGGGTGTGGACTCTTGCACCAGTCAGTAGATTTTACACACACACACACACACACACACACACGTGTGACAATGTCCCCATTATAGGGATATATGGTTTGGGGTGGTCCAAATCCTATTTTGGTGTACAACTGTGTTTAACCCCCTTCCCACTTTCCCGTAGTGTTCTGAACCTGTTTTTTTAAAAAAAACAACTAAAAAAATAGGGAACTAGGAACTGCAGATAAGGAACTAGGACAGGAGCCATCTTCAGCTTGTCAGCCTTGTTTGTTGTGATCCCCATTAAGGGATCTCTAGGCTTCCCCCTCGCTGCTCCTCCACTGAGAGAAAAGCATCACCTGTCAAATGTCCGCTTGTCATGAGGCAGCTGTGAAAGGCAGAGAGGCTCTGACAGGGACTGGGGAAAAGGCTGGCAACCCGAACTGTGGGGCAGAATCTATTCTTTTCCCTGAATTCAAAGCCTACAATTCTGGGTTATATCTCAGCATCCTTCCTGGCCACCTCCTGCTCCGTCTTTGTCCTCACATTTTAAAAGCTGTAAAGATGTAGAGTGGCTTTGATCCATCCCTGGAACACCAAGGGATCTGGAAACTCAAAGACATAGACCTGTAGTGAGGGGAAATAAAGAAAAACACCAGTCAGAAACAGAGAACTCAAACCCTTTCACTGCACCCATTAGTCTTTACTCCCTTCCCCCCCCAAAAGGTGGGATCAAATGTTTCAGGGTCTTCACCACCACCGCCCCACCCCGAGAGCTTTCCTTTTCCAAACATTTGTCAGACCCAGAGATATGAGCTGTTTTTCTTTCTACACCCCCTTTTTTCTTAAAATATCTCCACAGAATCTCTGGGTCAATTTCTCTGGTTGTATTCACCCACTCGGGCCTGGGAAGAGAACGCCCCTCAGGCATATATATCTTCAGGATCTCTCCTTGTGGAGTAATTGCTACGAAACATATTTCAGCTCACATTTCTTATCCATAGTTGGGTAGGGAGGGGGGGTCTCTGTGTGTGTTTAAAAATAAGTTTGTTTTTCCTCTTCACGGTTTTTTGGTGATAAATGGGAGACACACTCCCCTGTTGTACTCACATGTTAGAATGTGGGAGGGGTGAATTCCTATAAAGCAGGGTGGAGATAGAAAACACAATACCGGAGAGATGGAAAGGGGCATGAATCTTCCCAAGTCTCCTCCACCAAACTTTTCCATCTACTTACATTTCTTAGAGCGCCAGTGAAGAAAAAGTTGCTTGGGAAATAGTGCTGGTTTTGTGCCTGGGGGAGGCATGGGTGTGAGGAGGATTCAGCCCTCCCCTCCCTCGCATACTATGCTTTATGTTGGTCCTACATCTCTACCCCTCCCTATAGGAATCCAGTTTTAAAACACATGTCTGCTGTGATTATGTATCATTTACCCCAAGAGGAAGATCTACCTTAGAAGGAAGAGCCCACCTTTTGTGCCTCCGCATGAGTCACTGTTCTGTTATTTATTTAAGATATTTTTAGGTTGCCTTTTAGGGCCAAGCCCTCACAAGCTTCCAACTTGTAAGAGCACAATATACATAATAAAATTATATATATATATAAAATCATCACTAAAAACAGCAGTACAATCCAATAACTGTTTTGCTGAATAAGAGTACCATTCAACCCAGCTGTGGGCATGTAACCCTGCTGCATCTCTTGCTGTACGAATTCATCCTTCCTGCAGCAATGACCATAGAACTGTAGAGTTGGAAGTGATCCCAAGGGTAATCTAGTCCAACCCCCTGAGAATGCATGCAGCAGAATGACTTGCCACCAGTAGAAGGTGATTGGAAGAGGTGAGGCAAGAACAGGGACTCATTCAGAGATGCACTGGGCAGCCTCCTTTTGCAGTAGGTTCACAAGGTGCATCTATCTATCTATCTATCTTGTATGAAGGTGCCCTGTTACACATCTTAGGAATTACTATCCTTGCTAGCGATCATGAATTGGCAGGCAGTGGTAATTATTTTGGATTACAGTGCAATCCTACCTGTTCCTATTCAGAAGTAAGTCCTATTGAGTTCAGTGGCACTTACTCCCAGGTGAAATGCAAATAGGACTGCCTCCTTAATCTGGAATAAAAGGGTGGTCTCCTGAATGCCAGCCACCTTTATGCCCCCCCCTCCAAACCCACACTCCTCACATCAGATTACTGTCTTCCCTTTATGGCAGAAACTCTCTGCTTTTAACACACGCTTTCCTGCCCTGCAAGAAATTCAACAAGTGGAGCATTCCCCCACAAGGATATGCAAGGATGGGGGAAGTTGCACACGATACGCACACACTCCTGTTTGCTCTGCATCCAGTGAACTCCCACTGCTGGTTTGAGAAATGGTATACACATGACTCCAGCCACAATCCATATCCTGTATCCATACAGTTCTTTCTTGTGAAACACAGCATTTCGAGTTTTGACGCATCTTCCTCACAAACCAGCTTTGGTTCAAACTGAGAAAAAGAACAACCTTGCTGTGCTTTAAGCCAGTAATGCGTACACAGCATGTCTTATTTGTTTCTAATGGCACAAAATCTTCTACAGCTTCCACACAACACCTTCTTCCTCAAAGTCCATTCCCATATCCTCCCCCCCTTTACTCTGGATTTACCATTTCTACCTTTTTTTGTTTGCGTATCAGAATTTCTGCAGATATAGTAAAACTGGATGCAATGGGAAATAATGCAGAATAGCAGTTTGGTGAGGACAGTGTCATGTGGATGCTGAGAAAAACCCTGCATGCATGAGCAGGGTCTACAAAAACTATTGTGTGGAACTGGACATGCCCCGTTTTTGTTTTTGTGTGGATGGGTGGGCAGGAGGAACAAAATTTGTGACCACCATTCCTGGCCCAGAATTCCTTACTCAGAACTCAGGACTGCTGAATCCTAATTCTTGCCCCTTAGCCCCTTTCCTTCACAAACAGCCAAAGAGTCCTACATTTCTCAGGCTCCTCCCCCATACCCCCCCCCATTTCCTATTATTTCTCATTTATATTTAGACCCGGAGTAAGCAGACTCCACACCTGCCGAAATCCCTTCTTTTAAAAGGCCTGGGAGCCCTGGCCTCTTATGCTTCTGGCTATCCTGATTAGCACCCCACTTTCAATCCTTTGGCATCTCTGGGGAGGGTGAGGAGAGACACCTGCCTGAAACCCTGGACAGCTGCTGCCAGTCAGTGTGGACAATACTGAGCTAGATGGACCAATGACCTTACTCAGTACAAGGCAGCTTTCTAGTGCCCAATTAAAAACTTACCATGAGTTAAAATATGCGTGCATTTGTGTATGTGGCAGAGAGGAGATGTTTGCAGCTCGCTTTTCTAGCACCTTGTTTCCCGCCCCCCTCCTCATGTTCCCAGTTGCTCTTGTCATCATAACCTCCTGCTTGGCTAGTTTATTCCTTTTGTGCATTTTTAATTAAAGCCAAATGCTGAACCTTAAAATAAAAAAGCGACATCATCAGTATTCTAATGACTACAAAGAGAAGTACAGATACACACACACACACACACACACACACACACACACACACACACCGTATTTCCCTACATGCTGAAAGAGGCTTTGCCATCTCCAGTGTCTGTTAGAGCTGGTGGAACATTAAGATACTGGCTGTCAATTTTTGGAGACTATTACCATGGCATGTGCGTATGTGTGGATTTAACCAGCTGACATATTTAACTAAGAATCCTGGCTGTTCCACTCCCCCCCCCCTTTGCTTCAGTCTAAAGGTTCATACTACAGGAGAATCCTGGGTACTGTAGTTGGTTAAGAGTGCTGGGAATGGTCACTGTGTGGATGTGTAAGCTACAGTGCCCAGGATTCTTTGGGGGAAGCCATGGGATGCGGGTGGCGCTATGGGTTAAACCACAGAGCCTAGGACTTGCCGATCAGAAGGTCGGCAGTTTGAATCCCCGTGATGGGGTGAGCTCCCGTTGCTCGGTCCCTGCTCCTGCCAACCTAGCAGTTTGAAAGCACCTCAAAGTGCAAGTAGATAAATAGGTACCGCTCTGGCGGGAAGGTAAACGGTGTTTCCGTGCGCTGCTCTGGTTTGCCAGAAGTGGCTTAGTCATGCTGGCCACATGACCCGGAAGCTGTACGCCGGCTCCCTCGGCCAATAAAGCGAGATGAGCGCCGCAACCCCAGAGTTGGCCACGACTGGACCTAAGGGTTAGGGGTCCCTTTGCCTTTACCTTTATGTGCCTTAAATGTGTAGCGTGACTCTGACTGTGGTCAACCTGTCCCGGTGAGGAGGATAAGGAGCAGCAGTAAATTGTTGGACAAGAGATGTTCAGGGCCCTGTGCCCCCTAAGCTAGCATTCTGCCCACAGGAGAACACAATTGCCCATTGTCAGTGTTGAAATAAGATTTACCTGTTAGTCTAGTGTTGGCTTCTGCCCATGGAAATGTGGGGAGAGAGGGTGCCATCTTGTCCTTTGCCTCAGGCAGTAAAATGAGCTAAAAATGTATCTGATACTAATTTAAAGACTGTTTATCCCCACATGAACCAACCTGACCCCTGTGCTCATCATCTTAGACCCTTCTCCATGTTCCCCCTCTGAGGGAGGTGTGGAGAACACCAACACAAGAGCAGGCCTTCTCAGTGGTGGCTCCCCACATATGGAACTCTCTCCCAGGGAGGCATGCCTGGTGCTGTCGCTACTTATCTTTAGGCATGGGGGGGGGGAGATTTATCTTTCCCCAATGTGGTGTAGTGGTTAAGAGCGATAGACTTGTAATCTGGGGAACCGGGTTCGCATCTCCACTCCTCCACATGCAGCTGCTGGGTGACCTTGGGCCAGTCACACTTCTCTGAAGTCTCTCAGCCCCACTCACCTCACAGAGTGTTTGTTGTGGCGGAGGAAGGGAAAGGAGAATGTTAGCCGCTTTGAGACTCCTTTGGGTAGTGATAAAGCGGGATATCAAATCCAAACTCTTCTTCTTCTTCTTATTCTCCAGGCTGTTTGCTTTTAATCATCTGTGGCCTCCTTCTGTGGCTGGAATTAGTTTATTTTAAAAATACAAATGAATTTCAGATTACATTTTGTTTTCGTTTTATGCTGGTTTTAATGTATGTGTTACTTTTCTGTTGTGTGTAGCTTTGAGTTACTTTTTGATTAGAGAGAGCGAGAGAGTGAGTGAAGTGATTGATAAATTTAATAAATAATAATGCATGGAGGCTACAATCCTGCACCTGGGAGTATGCCCCCCCCGCCCAAACACAGTGGGACTACTGGTAAGTAAAATCCATCGGATTGTGCTTTCAGTCACCCAGTGATAATTATCATCAGTGTAATAGAATGGAGGATTCTGTTCCCACCCTCTGCTTATGGAGACTGTAACCCATGTCAGGGATTATGAGTATGTAACCAGGAGGATTATTGTTATTGTAGGTTAAATTATCCAGTTAATGGACATAAATTTGTATTAGGGTTGCCATATTTCAAAAAGTATAAACCAGGACACCCCTTTTTTTAGGAAGACCCCAAAAATGTTGAGTCCCAACCCCCAAGTGACTTGTCTAAGACGTATGGCAACCCTAGCTTGTATGGGCATGGCACAAGAGACTTTGCATTTTTGAAATCCACACTGTTTTCTGGCATTCTAACCACTCAGCATGACTCCCTTCCTATAAGTCTGTCTTATCCCCCGCCTCTCCCTGGCACATGAATGTGCGGCTAAAGTCACATCTAAGGGATTTGCTAGCTGAGTGCGCCTTAAATCCTACGCTTTGTGAGAGCTAACCACCTGTTTCTTTTCTTCCTTCTTTTTATTTTAACTTTCTATGCAGGGGGATTGGAAAGCAGGGGCTCCAGTGCTTAGGTAAGAACTTTTTTTTTGGCTTTCCTCTCTGGGTTGGTCCTCCTTTCATGAGGAGAGCACCACATGTTGTGAAAGCACAATCAGGCATATGAAGCACCCCAGCAGGGTCACAGCGGGGAAGGAATTGCAGTTTTATAAAAGAGAGGTTGCGGGAGCGGAAGCCACATGCATCCCTCAGCCCAGATAATGTGGTGGATTGCTTGTGGCACGTCAGTGCTCAGGGAAGAAGTGCACTCTGCATGTACCTCAGAGGCACTCTCTCCACTCAGTTGCTCTTGGGGGAAAAGGGCTGCTGTAACTTCAAATCTTTCTTCTTGATGGCGGTTCCATGACTTTTACAACAGATCATAACAGGAACAGTGTTCTTGTGACATGGAATTAGGGAGAAGATACACCAGTTGAATTAGTTTCTGTTGGGTAGCTTTTCAGTTTACAGAACCTCTGTGGGAAGACAAAGCAACATATCGAGTTGGAACAGGAAAGCTGGGAACAAAGGGCAGGATTCACCCAGTATACCTGAAGGAGTGTCTCCACCCCCATCGTTCAGCCCGGACACTGAGGTCCACCACCGAGGGCCTTCTGGCGGTTCCCTCACTGCGAGAAGCGAAGTTACAGGGAACCAGGCAGAGGGCCTTCTCAGTAGTGGCACCCGCTCTGCGGAACGTCCTCCCATCAGATGTCAAAGAAATAAACTATATGACATTTAGAAGACATCTGAAGGCAGCCCTGTTTAGGGAAGTTTTTAAATAAGAGCCAGGGCACCTGGGTTCTTTGGGAGAAGAGTAACTTCCTGTGGAGTACAAGCTGGCATGTAGGGGACAGAAGAGCTGGGATTCAGGACTCACAGGCTCTTAGTAGGAAGGGAGAGCTGGATTTGTGTGGGTGCTGGGCTGGGTTGCTTCTAATTTCCCTAATTCCCTTTTTAATCAGGCAGTTCACACACACATGGCCCCTGAGCCAGGTTTTATTGTTTCGCTGAACTAGATTTCTTCGTCTATTTTAGGGCTGTGAAATCTCTCTCTCATTCTTCTTGTATTTTATATACACTTCTGTCTCTTCCGCTCCCCTTGTACCTGACACTTCAGTCCAAATTTACCTTCACATTTGCACCTGCTTCCAGCTTCCTTGTGTTCTGCCCCCACCACGGTCAGGGATGTGTGTGTGTGTGTGTGTGTGTGTGTGTGTATGCTAGTATACATATGCACAGTAGTGTGGAAGATGGCAATTACACCGTCCACCAAGATACTTGTAAAGTTAGCCATAAATCTTCACCTCATACTTAGAAGATCCTACCTCAATTGGTTTCAATATGTTTGGAGGGCCAACAAAATCCACCACAACTCAAAACATGTTCAAAGTATGTTTGGAGTTGTGTGTATCCACTTCACATTTTGCGCATTTATCAGGAGTGTTTTCTTCCACCGTGTGTGTTCATGTCAGAATACCCCCTGCACACGCCCCCAGAAACGAACCCTGCGCTTTATGCCATTGCTGTATACACATTTCCCCCCTATATAGAAATGGTGGTTTGTTGTTGTTTTTTGCATGTTGTTGTTGTTGTTTAGTCATGTCCAACTCTTTGTGACCCCATGGACCAGAGCATTTCAGGCACTTGTCTCATCCACTGCCTCCTGCAGTTTGGTCAAATTCATGTTAGTGGCTTCGAGAACACTGTCCAACCATCTCGTCCTCTGTCGTCCCCTTCTCCTTGTGCCCTCAATCTTTCCCAACATCAGGGTCTTTTCCAGGGAGTCTTCTCTTCTCATGAGGTGGCCAAAGTATTGGAGCCTCAGCTTCAGGATCTGTCCTTCCAGTGAGCACTCAGGGCTGATTTCCTTAAGAATGGATAGGTTTGATCTTCTTGCAGTCCATGGGACTGTTTTTTGCATAGGAAATTATAATCTATGAAGATGCACTAATTCTTCGGATCAACCTCCGCATGAACCCGTCATATGTGGTTACCTTGCAACTCCCTACTCCCCTGATTTTAAACACATATATACATTTATTGACTACATTTTTATCTCTTTCTCCTTCTCCAAAAAGCTTAGGACTGCATACGTGGTTCCCTCTCCGCTTTATTCTGATGACAATCTCACAACACAGGCTAGACTCAGGCCATGTACATATTAATGGCTGACAATGCAGCAAGATCATCTGTCTCCACCCCCACCCCTTTGCTTCAAGAGTTGCATTTGTATGCTGTCGTACACACCAGATGTCTGCACCCGATGACCTATTTGCTTTCCCTGCCCCTGCAAGCCCCTGCAACCCCTCTGACTCATATTCATGAAGCTGCCATCTGCCCATGTGCAATGGCTGCCTCAAGTGTACACACCTCAGTTTCACTGTGAAGTGAATGTGGCTTCAAAGCAGCAGTATTTCTCAAGGAAGTACAGAATAGCTCTACATTGTGGGTAACATTGTGCATACACAGATTCAAAAGCCTGTGGTGAGACTGCACTGGAGGCAGAGTAAATGATAATGTAAACACAATCTAATACAGAGTTACTGGTTTATGGTCACCCAGTGGGCTTCATAGCTGAGTGGGATCACGCAGGTCCTAATCTGGCACTCTAGCCACTATTTGATCACACCAGATCTCCAGCACTGTGAAGTATGCAGCCTTCCACTAAAGACCAGAAGAGGACAGTGGCTCCTTATCCCTTTATCCTCCAGTATCTTCCTGTGGAAAATCACACACAATTTGGTTTTCATCCCACAGGGGAAAAGATAAAGTCACCTATATATTTTCCTCTGCTGGGAGTAGGGGAAGCAGCTTGTGGTATGTTTTTTTCCCCCCTTCAGCAGACAAACTGGAGGGTAAGTGGTTGGTAACCCATATCCTTCAGGCCTCTATGAAAAACCACATCCTGCGGGGTTTTTTTTGCAAAATAAGTAAAAAGCCAAAATGATAAACAACATGTGCCATGCGCAGTTAGGCCCACATTTATCCATAGGCCTTTCTCACATGTCACAGAAAAACATAAGTTAATTGCTTACTGGGTTGTGCCTTTCTGGTCTGTTTTGCTCCTCCCTGTGAGCATACGGAAGAAAGAAATTCACGAGCCCTGGCTTAGCGTTATGTCTTAACCAGGGACTGCGTCTTGTTTCACTGCCAACAAACCACAACCTATCAACGAGATTTGTTCTTGGCATACTGACTGTGGTTCGTTGGAGCAAAACAGACGATTCCTGGTTCAGACAAAAGTGTCAGCAGGGGAAAGAGCCCTTTTAGGCCCCTTCATGACATGTGAACTGGGCCGTAGACACAACTGTGCTTAATTAGACAGCACGGATGTGCTCTACTGCACACCCAATGAAAATGTAAATGCACATGCCCTGCCATGTGCTCATGCCCTTTCGCTTGCCATGAGATGCGTGGCCCCCCCACAGACACCTTTCTCCGACAGGTCTCCAACCCCCCCTCTCTGACGTTCGCCCTCATGCATGTGAGCACGTGCAGAAATTCTCCCATGAACATACATTTCGGGCCTCCCATCCCTGCACATTTTCACAGGCCCCTATGCTTGTGTGGAATTTCCTCCTCTACCAGTTGCACTTGTGAAGAAGAGTCATGCTGGCAAGCCAGCACTTAACACCTGGAGATGCCCCTACCCTGCCTTTCACAAACATTCATGTCAGCTCCCGTCCAGTTTAATATTTATGGCTTCCCCCTGCTGCTTCTTTCCACAGTTCATTTTCTAGGTTCAGGTTTCCCTTCCCCATGGAGGCCTAAGGATCTCCCCCTGCCTGCCTCCCCTCTAACCGCCCCCCCTACCCCGCAACTTTATTACATTCTGCAAAACACATCTTCAGCTCTCTGTGTCCAGACCTGCCGGTTGCTAAGAAACCACACTACGGCTGCTAAGCAACCCCCCTCCTCACTTGCCAGCTCTGTCAACACCTGCCAATCAACTGATGTCCCATATCATATCCTGCTTTTCCAACTATGCATCCCTTTGCCCAGCTGAGAGGACCCAAACATCCTCATTCCTGCACCCAATTTGCCCTCTTAACTCATCAGCCGCCACTCCTTTCCTGGAGAATTTAGGAAGTCTGGCTCCAGGGATGCTCCATCATAGGCCTCTGGGTACCATTCTTGCCCCTTCCCACCCCACCCTCAGGTATTCTAGGTCTCAGCACCCACCACCTTCACTTCATGTTGTAATTCCCCTTATGTACGCTGGACATCACACACACACACACACACACACACACACACACACGGCAATGGCTCAGTTGGGAAATCCGTTGCCATGGGAACCCAAGGCATTGACAAAAGTGAGTGAGCAAGAGATATGGATCAGGGATAGGGGTTGCCAACTGGCTAGAAAGTCATGGGCTTGGACTGCCCTTGTGTATTTTACAGTGGCTGGATACGCAGGAAACAGCAGCAAAACAACAATGGCATCTTAAAGATGAACAGGAAGTAGCAGGCAAAGGTTTCAGCGGCTGGACTGCACACGATCCCCTTCTGTTTGCTGTAGGTCAAATGCCTGTTAACTCGGCCCAGCTGCAAATGAAACATGGGCAACTGTATTGTGGGGAGGGGGCGCTGAATGGATAAGTGAAAAGCAGGGCTAGGTTCTCTGGGAGAGGGCTGTATCCTAATTGGCTCAGAGGATGTCAGTGTGTGTGTGTGTGTGTGTGTGTGTGTGTGTGCATCTGAGCAAAAGTCTTCCCTGCCCCCTTCCTCTGACTCCGTCCGATCCCCCTCCCCCGTTGTGTGCGGGTACTTGTGGATTCGTCCCCCGCCTGTTGCCATGGAGACCCATCTTCCAAATCTCAGGCCTGAAGATGCTGAAGGCGTGGGGGGGGGGGGGAGGAAAGGAGAGAAAAGTCACCCCCTCACCCTGCACCTGCATTTGCAGACTAATAAATATCCAGTCTCTCCTCTCCCCTCAGAAAGCCCACTTACTCCTTGCACTTTTGCTTCTTGGATTTAATGGAAAAGCCCATGAGTACAAAGTCGAGATCAATTAGCACATATTAATATTGGCCCATTTAGACAGCCTGGCATACTAACATAGAGGTGGTAAAAGGTTAGGGTCCGCCCTCCCTGCCTTCACCATTTCAGTGAAAGCGGATAGGGGAAGAAAAGATTCTAATCTGCCATAGCCAGTGCCAGAAGCCAGTGAGGTGATAGTTTTCTCCGCAGCATTAAACACAGAGTACTAAGTTCCAGCGCCGGGAGGAGATCCCATAGCTCAGTGGTAGGCCTCATGTTTTGCGAGCAAAAGGTCTCGCGTTCAGTCCAGGCTTTGTTTTGTCTTTAATGATCAAGTAGCAGGGATAGGAAAGGGACTCTAGCCAGCCGCTGCCGGCCAGAATAGATAACACGGGGGCTGTGTACACACCATTCACTTAAAGCCCATGACTTTCCCCAAAGAACCATGGGAATGGTAGCTTACCCATCACAATTCAAAATGCAAAGCAAAACTACAGCTCCCAGGATTCTTTGGGGGAGGGGAAGTCATGTGCATAGCTGTCAACTTTTCCCTTTTCTTGTGAGGAATCCTATTTGGAATAAGGGAATTTCCCTTAAAAAAAGGGAAATGTTGACAGCTATGGTCATGTGCTTTAATTGTGGTTTGTATGCAACCTGGAATGAAGGTCCAATGGTCTGCCTCAGCCTACGGTAATGTCACATGGTCATGTTTTTGTGCTGCTAGATACCTGGGTCATGTATGATTTCGTGATGCAGTTTCCTCCAACAAAGAACAACAAACATTTATTCCCCCCCTTTTCTGCCATGTTTAGTTTTCTACTCAGCACTGAATTCCCCCCCCCTTTCCCCAGTAAACTTTTCTCTCTTTCTCCGTCCCCTTTCTTAGTGTGCAGCTTTGTCTTACACAAGAGATGTCATGAATTTGTCACTTTTGAGTGCCCAGGAGCTGGGAAAGGACCCCAGACAGATGTAAGTGAACCCCTTCATATTGTCAAACTTTACGTGGCTACTTATAACTCTTTTTGCTGCTGCCTCCAAAATTGATGGGGATTTGTCGAGGTGGGAGGAAAATAAATTATGGGTTGGTGGGGGTGGGGGAAATAGATAAGTTAACCACTTCTGTTTCCGTGACTTTGGTGGGCAGAGTACTGTGGGGAGGGCTTGGCAGCCAGGACTTCAGGCCTCACTCCTCCACTCCAGGTGAGCGTCCCGGTTTCCTTGCTATTTATATTGCAGAGAGGGGGAGTGGGGAGTGGATGTCTTCATGAGGCTGACACTGTCCCATTTCTGTTGTCCTTGGCCTGGAAATCCCAGGGAAGGAATAAGGAAGGATGGGAGGGCTTGCCTGACTCTCTCTTTCAATTGCAAACAAATTGCCTTGCAGAACTGCTTCGCACAGAATTACCTGTTCCCTGAGTGCCTTCTCAGTTGCATGCACTGAGGCATGTGTCATGCAACTTCACTTGCATCCAAGCTTGTAACATGCATGCCCAGACCTGCATGTTCTTACGGGAGAAGAAGATGCATTGGTGGCACCCAGACCCTAAAGGCACACGTGTTAAAAAATCTAGCATTTGGTACTATGTGGTTTTGTTTGAAATTATGTGTTTCTGCCACCCCAATTGTGCTCCGAATGTTGAGTATGTTTTTGTGCTAGCATGCACACCTATTTGTTTATTTATTGCAGCTATTTCTATACCGCTTATTTACTGAAATATCTAAGCAGTACTACATGCTTGTGGAATGTACTGTGTACATATTCATAGAATAGTCATGGAAATCCACACCCATAGACCCCCAATTCATGTTTATAATCCATAATTGTATGGTAGGAGGACATGTAGCATCTATATTTGAGGTCCCAGAATCAATCCCTAGCATTTATTTTTAAAGGCTCTTAGGGCCAAACTACACATGATGCTAAATGTGTCACTGGAAGCAACATGTATTCCCAGCATGTTCACCCCCACCATTTAAATAGCAGCTGTTCATGAGGTTAACCTTTACCTTTTGTGATATGGTCCCAATTAAAATCCTCCCGAGTTGCTAGTACATCTGGGAGGGGAGCTTCAAGGTGAGCTTCCCTCCTGGGATGAATTGTACCTTTCTAGGGAGAGGAAAGATGAGGTTAAGCCCTCCATACACCATGACTCTGATCTTGATTGCCCTTCCAACATGGCTGATAATAATAATAATAATAATAATAATAATAATAATAATAATAATTTTGTTATTTATACTCTCCATGTGGCTGGGTTGCCCCAGCCACTGGGCTGATATTGGAGTAAAAGAAAAATACCGTATTTTTCACTCTACAAGACTCACCAGACCATAAGACGCACCTAGTTTTTGGAGGAGGAAAACAAGAAAAAAAATATTCTGAATCCCAGAAGCCAGAACAGCAAGAGGGATTGCTGCGCAGCGATCCCTCTTGCTGTTCTGGCTTCTGGGATAGCTGAGCAGCCTGCATTCGCTCCATAAGACGCACACACATTTCCCCTCACTTTTTAGGAGGGAAAAAGTGCATCTTATAGAGCGAAAAATACGGTAATACTTGCAGCTTCTAGTGCTCCCCTGGGTGTCACAATGTACATTGTGCACCCCCTTTTTCTCATGTACTTGTTTCCACTCCATGAGCACTCTCATAAAACGTTCTTTTCACTTGTACACAAACTGCACATTCACATTCCAAGCCATATCTTGTGCTTCTTAACAACTGTGCATTCTCACTTCCAACCTCTAAAAGGCGGTGGGGGGGGGCAGAGTCTCCCCTAACAACCTGCATGCCAGAGGTTTTTACGGGTGGTGTTGGTAGGGATGGAACTAGGACAAAAGACGCAAGTGTTTTAGAGAATCATGTGTAGGTTCCCTTCATCATAGATGCTGTGCTTCTGTGCATTTCCCCTTTGACAGGATCCTCGGAACAAGCACAAGTTCAAAATTCACAGCTACAGCAGCCCAACCTTCTGTGATCACTGCGGCTCACTCCTCTATGGGCTGGTGCACCAGGGGATGAAATGCACCTGTGAGTAACCATTTGCCTTCCACAAAAAATAAATCAATGAATCCTGTGGTGCTGTAAAGGCTAACTGTGTCATGGGCTCTCCAGAGCAAAAGCCTCTTTTGTCAGAGGGCTGTTGTAGCGTGGGGGTTAAGAGTGTGTGCTATGAACAGGAAATCCTCAGTTCAGAATTAGCTCCATCATGAGTGCACTGGGTAGGTAAGGTGGTATTCTTCAACCTCTGCTCTACACCTGCAATGTGGAGGTAGTTGCTGTGCCACTACTATTAAGACTATGTTCCAGGGCTGCCTCAACAGTGGCTGGGTTGCATATGTCCATCTTTTCAATGACTTAGGAGAAGTGGTCCATACATGCATGGGCGTAGGCAGGATTTTTGTTGGGGGGGAGTAGGCCTTTTGGTGGGGGTGGCAGAACCTCTTTTTAAAAAAAAATAAATTTTTATTAAGTTTTACACAAGTATCTCCAATTAACAATTCCCAATTAACATATTTTTCTCTTTTGGACTTCCCTCAGCTTCTCTGACAATCATCCGTATTTGAATTTATTATCTACGCATTCCCAAAATTAATATCGCCTTTTAAGATACCTTTACAAACATATTTGCATTCTTGCAATATTCCTTATTCTTTCACAAAGCTTCTTTAAAACCCACTAGTGTTGTTTGCTCATCACATACACTTTTTCAGAACCTCAGTTAGCTATGTATTTTTATTGATTGGGAGGCAGTTGCCCCTCTCTGCCCCTCCTTGGCTACGCCCATGCATATACATCAACTAGTCTTACAAAGTGGACCGATAAGGCAGAGGGTATATTATCCATGGCCTCAGTGTAGTGAAAATTAGCTGTGATTGAGGCTGGATCTACATATGCAGCAGGACAAGATGATGGTGCCCTGAGATGAAAGAAAATACATGTAGACTGCGCCTCTTAGGAAGACAGCAAGGGGATATTTCCTCAAGTAAACAATACCCAGTCTAGGACAATACCCAGTCCTAGAAAACCTAGGAGAGATTCACCCGCCTGCACTCTGAATTGGTATTATAGGCTGTTATATCACATCGTTCCCACCCAGTGTGGACTGATCCCCATGGGGATTGGTAGGTTGGAAGGCAAAGAGACCACCAGCAGGTGGAGCTAGAGGCAATGACAGGCAGTGTTGTTCTCCTCCTCTCTGCTCTACTAGGGCAGTACTGAAATCAGGAGGAGGAAGCTGCCACCTCTTAAACTAGTTGTATGAAAGAAGGCAGGCAGACAGGCGGAGAGAAATGTCCCATTCATCCATATGGACTAGCTTCCTCCTATCCCACCTTCGTCTTCTGTATGTGTAGGTCTAGCTTAAAGGTAAAGGTACCCTTGACCGTTAGGTCCAGTCGCGGACGACTCTGGGGTTGCGTGCTCATCTTGCTCTATAGGCTGAGGGAGCTGACGTGAAACTGCCAAATGGATGAAATCATCATCATCATCATCATCATCATCTATACATTGAAATTGCCCAGTTTTATGTAAGCCAAGTATATTGTGTATCCTATATCAAAACATTTCTTAAAAATCTGTTGGATTAATAAAACACAATTGTAGTGAATTGGAAGTCGTTGGTTTTTCTGTTGTTTGTTTTTTAAAAAACAACTAACCAGTTAGTTGCCTGGACACTCCTATGTCTGCTCAGAAGTAAGTCCTATTGAATTAAATGGAGCTTACTCCCAGGTAAGCGGGATTAGGATGGCAGCCTAAATGCTGCAAAGGGAATGGTAGCATTGCCATCTATGGTTATCTGGTCCTGGCTTAACTCGCCCACCTCTGTTGCCCCCTGCAGGCTGTGAGATGAATGTGCACAAGCGCTGCGTCCACTGTGTGCCCAGCTTGTGTGGTGTGGACCACACAGAACGCAGGGGACGCCTGCAGCTCCACATTGAGACATTTGGGAGTGACGAGATCCATGTGACTGGTAAGACGAGAATGGTGGTGACTGGGGTAAGTGGGGAAGAATAGGAATAGGTCGGCCTGCTCTCACCTGAAGCTGACTCTTTGTTGACATCTTCATTGGAGCTTAGGTGGGAGACAACAATACAGAATGCTCCGGTTGTGGACTGTCTTCTCAAGAGGAAACCAATGTTTGGCTCCATCTCTTCTCTCTTCTCAATGGCAAACTGCAGTAGCTCTTTTTGCCCAGTCCTGTGATGAACTAGGATGAGAACCCTCCCTTTCCTTTTATGCTGCTCTCAGTTCTCTCAGTTGTCTCATATTTAAGGGAGCAAACAAGATGTGATGGGATAGCTAGATCAGAGGCTCTGCTCTTTGGCCAGGGAAAATCCTGCTCAGCCCTTCTATAGCGACTGAGATTTCAACAGCCATTGTGCAAAGCTTATTGCTATAGCAGACGAGGACTAGAACTGTTGTTATTAAATAAAATAAAAATAAAAGCTGAGATGTTCAGGATGTTTGATTCTGCCTTTAAGGGACCAAAGGCAGCCCCATTGCCCAAGTGATTTTGAGAGGTTGGGGAGGAGGTACAACTGCATAACAACGTCATTTCTTCAGCTGAAAAAGTCTCCCACAGTGGCTGACAAATCCCACCCTTTGCACTTGCGTTCTAAGAGACACAACACAAAAGGAAAAGGGAGTTGGGAGGGAGTAGGGAAAAAGCAAGCCCAGGCACTAATTCATAGTTACAGGGATCTTGTAGTGAACAGCAGGAATGGAAAAAATTGGCTGGGAGCCAGAAGTTCCTGGTCTTTCAGTAGAGCTTGATGGAGAGGCAAGGCAGCCTCATCTCTCTGCATCTCTTGCAGAGGGATGCAGTTTGGGCCACCAGTACTACTTGTTTTTTGGCAGGTACCAGCCATCAGGGATATCTTTTAACTGGAAATCTTCATATTCTAAAAGTGAGCCCTCACTTTTTAAACAGAAACTGTCATGCCACAAATTAAAAAGCTTATTTTTAATTTTTTTAATCTTAGCTGATGCAGACACAAACTCCAGGCATGCTGCTCTGCATACATCTGAAATGGTGTCAGGTGAATTGAGAATGATAGACAGGAAAGTGGGCTGTCGTAGACTTCCAGGGGTCTGGAGCCATGATTCAGAGTTCCATGTAGCCTTTTCTGGCTCCCCGTCGCAGGCAGGGATGGAATAAATTATGCAAATGCATGCACACTTGCTCAATTTGCATAATTCATGCAACGTTTGCTTGATTCATACAGATCACAGGATTCAGCTTAGTTTGCTTCTTGGACTGAAAACTGCCTTGGTGCCAAATCTTTGAATGTGCGTTCTTGTGCACAGGGAAGGGCGGTAGCTCAGTGGTAAAGCACCTGCTCTGCCTGGAGACGTTATCAGGATCAGTTCCCTGTCACAGCCAGTTAGGGTTGGGGGGAAACACCCTCTCTCCCCTGGGGAGCTGTCAGCTGCCAGTCAGTGTAGGAAATACTGAGCCACATGGACCAATGGTCCGACTCAGTCAAAGGCAGCTCCCTGTGTCCCTCAGTATGCACAGCTCAACATGAGTCTGTAACTAACTATTTATTTATTTATTTCTCTCTCTCTCTCTCTTCCTTTCTTTATATCTACCTCAAAATAACAATAATGGCTATTGTTATACAGTGGTACCTCGGGTTACATACAGTTCACGTTACATACGCTTCAGGTTACAGACTCCGCTAACCCAGAAATAGTACCTCAGGTTAAGAAAATTGCTTCAGGATGAGAACAGAAATCGTGCTCCGGCGGTGCGGCGGCAGCAGGAGGCCCCATTAGCTAAAGTGGTGCTTCAGGTTGAGAACAGTTTCAGGTTAAGAACGGACCTCTGGAACGAATTAAGTACCGTATTTTTTGCTCTATAAGACTCACTTTTTCCCTCCTTACTTAGTAAGTTGTTCTGGCTTCTGAGATTCAGAATATTTTTTTTCTTGTTTTCCTCCTCCAAAAACTAGGTGCGTCTTATGGTCTGGTGCATCTTATAGAGCGAAAAATACGGTACTTAACCCGAGGTACCACTGTAATACAATATATTGATTGATCGATTGCCTCTATATCCCATGTAGCCTCCAAGGAGCTCAAGGCGGTGCACATAGTCCTCCTCTTTATTGTATTCACACAACAACCCTGTGAAGTAGGTTAGTCTGAGAGATAGTGACTGGCTAAAGGTCACCCAGTGAGGTTCATGATGGGGGATTTGAACCCCAGTCTCCCAGGTCCTAGTTCAACACTTTTACCTGCTAGACCACACTGGCTCTCTGATAATAGTGACAATCAAGGACAGCATTGCTATTAAGAACAGCCAGGGCTGCTGGAACATCAAGAAAATGCCCTGGGCCCTGCAGCAGAGAAGAAAACCTTTTGGAGTTGAGGCGGGTGGTGAACAGCATGGGAGCAGGAGGCCTGGCTGTGGCTCTGGCTGGGGCGGCGAGTGGGATTGATTGAGCTGGTGGAGGCTGAGAGCCAGGACGCCTGGGTTCTATTCCTAGCTGCAGAACTTGACATCCCCCGCCTCTGCTTTTCACACCTTCTTTCTCTGCACACTTTCTTCCCGCTCTCGTTTCCCTCCCCCCCCCTCCTGGAACCCTGCATGTAGGTGGTGAGGAGAAAGCCATCGCTGCAGTTTTCTTGACAGAAAGGGATTTCCTCACCCACCCCTCTACTATCTCCTTCAATTTCTCCACCCCCAACGCGCACACAAGCCACATATGAGGGTGGGAGCAATTGCTGCCACAGCAACTTCCTTGGCCCGCAGCAGGTGGCCTGGGATGGGAGCCAGTGGATCCTCCTTCCTCCGCCCACTAGGGAACGCAGGAGGTCTGTCTTCCCGCCCACTCGCCCTCTCCTCCAGTACTTACTCTGCTGGAAGCTAATCCTCTGTTGGAAGCTAATATGCGTGTCTCCCCTTCCCCCCCTCCTTTTCTTTGTTAGTTGGTGAAGCCCTTAACCTGATCCCGATGGATCCCAATGGCCTCTCGGACCCCTATGTGAAACTCAAGCTGATCCCTGACCCTAAGAACCTAACAAAGCAAAAGACTCGGACCGTTAGATCCACCCTCAACCCAGTGTGGAATGAAACCTTCACTTTGTAAGTCCTGCGGATGTGATGGAGGACCTAGAAGCCAGAGCCCCGATGGGGTTGTGTGTGTGTGTGTGTGTGTGTGTGTGTGAGAGAGAGAGAGAGAGAGAGAGAGAGACTCTGACCTTCTTTATACCTCCCCAGCACCCTGCAGCCGGGGGACATGGAGCGGCGTCTCTCCATCGAGGTGTGGGACTGGGACCGGACAACCCGCAATGATTTCATGGGAGCCATGTCCTTTGGGGTGTCTGAGCTTTTCAAGGGTCCTGTGGAAGGCTGGTAAGGGGAAATCTGTGGGGGAGCAGGGCCGGAGGGGGGTGGTGGAGAGAAGCAAAGATGGAAGAGAATGATGGGGCAACTTGGGGGACCACCACTGGCTCATTTTCTTTCTCTTTTCCCGTCCGTCTTGGCGTCTCTTTGGGTTTTTATCTGTTTGCCTGGATGGCTCCATTATCTAATCCAATCTGTCTATCTATCTACCTGTCTTCTCTGCCTTATCTATCTACCTTATCTATTTTAATCTACCTTAACTACTTATCTATTTTATCTAATCCATCAAATACCCCTCATTTCTCCTCCCACCCCTCACCCCACTCTTCTGTTTCCATTTCCTTCTGCATTCCTCCCCATCCATCTCTCTCCCTAATCACTCCCTCCTCTTGTTCATCCTCCTCCTCCTCCTCCTCCTCCTCCTCCTCCTCCTCCTCCTCCCTGCCTGGTGTCCCTGTCTGCGTTGCTGTCCCAGGTACAAATTGCTCAATCAGGAGGAGGGCGAATATTATAGTGTCCCTGTGGCCGATGCAGAAAACTGTGGGCTGCTGCAGAAATTTGAGGTAACCTTGTGGCTCTCCGGCCCCGCTTGGACTGGCACCCTCCCCTGGTCTGCCCCCGCCAACTATGTGCCATATCCAGCCCAAACACAAACCACACCCCTAGCTGGGGGTGGTGTGGCAGGGCCACTGCTGTGATGAAAGGAGCCAGGTTGGAGGGAATACCTCTGAATCACTTTTTCTCTTAGGACTCCAAGGGAGGGAGGGAGGGTGGTCGGACTGGATAACTGGCCATTGACCTGAAATGGTACTCCTAGCCAGGAGATAGGAAAAGGGCAGAGGTTACTTGTGCATCTGTCTTAAACCCTGATTTATTTTTATTTTTGGTCTTCCAGGCTTGCAACTTCCCACTGGAGCTCTATGAGGTACCTGCGATTCCCTTAGTTTCTTCTGCCTTTTTCCTGGTGCAATGAGATGGGGAGGGGGTGAAGTTGGTTTCCCGTTTGCTGCCCGTAAGGACATCAGTCAGTCTTGGAGCTGATTTCAAGGGCTTTATAGAGTGGGAGGGAAGCAACATAAGAGGAACAGCTACGCTTGGACGGGGGGGAAAAGTCCATCAAGACCAGCAGTGCCCAGTGCGAGCCATTCCTGGGCAGCTCCAAGCAGCGACACAGATTTGGATCTCCGGGTACTGATGTTGAGGGCAGCAGCAAACAGGCCCTGCATCTGCACTTGGGCTGCCATGGGCATCCTTTCCTTTTATTACTATTATTATTTTTAAAAAAACCTAATAGCACTCTATATAGGGGGCAGCTGGCAATAAATGCACATGGTTGCAGACCCCAATCAATCAGTCAATCAATCAATCAATCAATCAATCAATCAATCAATTAATTATCCTTTTCTGCAACAAAGTGGTGCTTATTCCCAAGTCAGTGTATTTAGTGTCAGGGCAGCAGGTGCAAATTCTGTTGTATTTCTGTGTCCCCCCCCCTTTCCCTCCTAACATAGCAGAAATGTTAAAGCAGTTGAGCCATAGAAGCAGGTGCCTAGTGGAGAAAGCCACCCCCTTATTGTTTTTCTCAGCGCATATATATATATATGTATATATATGCACGTAATACCTCTGAACACGAACATTGCATTCTGTATCATGGCTCATAGCCACAGATGTCGATACAAACCCTCTATTATGAGTGGCCACCCTGAGCTGCTGTTTGAACCCACACTTGCACAGGGAGGAAATATTTCCTTTTGACTGCCCCAAACTTCCTGAAGGAGGTGAGCAGAAGGTAGAAAGTACTTGTGGGGCAAATGGATGAAAGAAAGAAAGAAAGAAAGAAAGAAAGAAAGAAAGGCAGAAGACTCTGAGACAGGACTGGTTATTCCTGGGCCTCCTGTATAGGATAAGCCCTTGAACATAGCATGCTGCCTCACAATGTGCCAGGTGCCATTGGTCCAGTGGGGGTCATTCTATCTGGCAGTAGCTCTCCAAGGTTTCAGAGCTGCTTTCCCAGTCCTGAGATCCCAGAGATGCTTGGGGTTGAACCTGAGACCTTCTGCATGCAAAGCCCTGAGCCATTGAACCTCTCCTCTTCGTTGCATGCATCTGCCACTCCACAAACTGCACACAACTCCTGCTTTATAAATGTTTATAAGGAACTAGACATACAACCAAGCTACTTTACAGCTTTTGCACAAGTTTCACAAACTCTTCCTAACATGCAGAGTGTGTCATAACGTAATAGACTGGTGACTGGGAGCGGCCGCCGAGACCGTATAACACCGTTCTTGAAAGACCTACACTGGCTCCCAGTACGTTTCTGAGCACAATTCAAAGTATTGGCGCTGACCTTTAAAGCCCTAAATGGCCTTGGTCCAGTATACCTGAAGGAGCGTCTCCACCCCCATCGTTCTGCCTGGACAGTCCAGCGCCGAGGGCCTTCTGGCGGTTCCCTCGCTGCGAGAAGCCAAGTTACAGGGAACCAGGCAGAGGGCCTTCTCGGTAGTGGCACCTGCCCTGTGGAACGCCCTCCCACCAGATGTCAAAGAGAAGAATAACTACCAAACTTTTAGAAGACATCTGAAGGCAGCCCTGTTTAGGGAAGCTTTTAATGTTTAATAGGTTATTGTATTTTAGTGTTTTGATGGAAGCTGCCCAGAGTGGCTGGGGAAACCCAGCCAGATGGGCGGGGAATGAATAATAAATTATTATTATTATTATTATTATTATTATTATTATTATTATTGAGTAAACATGGGGCAGGGGACATGGACATATTGACTAAAATAAACCAGTGTGCCACTATTGGTGCATTAGTTGTATTGCCGGCTCTCCTGCCCCTTGTTCTGAGCTTAAGGAGGAGGTGGTACTCATGCATATCCATGTCTGTGTTTTCCTCTCCTCCCTGCCTCGAACCATGGTGCGCCTGCAGAAGGTTCGCCATGGCCCCATCCCATCGCCATCCCCCAGCCCCACTGACACCAAGCGTGGTGGGTTCTTTGGCACCAACCGCTTCCACATCTCCGACTTCAACTTCCTGATGGTGCTGGGCAAGGGCAGTTTCGGCAAGGTAGGCCTGCCTTTTTTTAAGGGATGTGCACAGAGGAGCAGCGAATGTCTTGCAACTGCAGGCACAGCAATGCATTGAACGTGTTTCCATTTGAGGAAGTGTGATGGTGAGAAAAGGATGTACGTGCACGAAATACTTCACCTCCAAGAAAGTGTGTAAAGTCACCTGCTTCCCCTGCAGAACTGTCACGGGATTTGGAGAACCTTTCTTTGTTTTCTTTTTGCCTCCTGCTCCTCTGGTTCTTTGGAGGCTGAGCACACTCTTCTGCAGTGCTGGAACTCTCATCCACCCAGAGGATTATCTATCTATCATCTATCTATCTATCTATCTATCTATCTATCTATCTATCTATCATCTATCTATCTATCTATCACCTTCCTTCCTTCCTTCCTTCCTTCCTTCCTTCCTTCCTTCCTTCCTTCCTTCCTTCCTATTCATATTGAAGCTTGGCTACTTTGAAGCTTTTAACAGACACCACTTGTATAACAATCAGGAGGAAGGCTCAACAAGCAGGACATATGGACCTGCTCTGTGTCCCAGTATCAGACATGCAATTGATTGGGGAGCATGGGAGGGCTTCCTTTGTGGCCACACCTACATTGTGAAACTCACAGCCCAGGGAAGCCTGCCTTTTTCTCTCTTTCTCTGATGGTCTTTCACCACCTCAGGAAAACTGCTTCATTTTAACAGGCTTTGGGCCTGTCATTAAGCTGATGGTGCTTTTGCTCCCAGGAATTTATGTGAAATTTTAATCTTCCATCTTTTCTCTGCCTTTAAACTGTTTAGTTTTTAATTGTGTCATGTGCTGGTTGTCTGTTGTATTGTAAAAGTTATATTGGTTGGTTGTTGTGGTTTGGTTTTTTTTGAAAAGTAGAAAGGCAAAATGTAATGTATTTCAGGAAAAGGACAAATAAGTAAATGGAAGCTTCCAGGTGCAAAAGAGCACTTTGCAAAAATGTTGAAAGAGGTTTAAGGGGGGTGGGGAGGGAATAACTAAACTGCATCCCACTGCCCATGGGAAACGTCCCTTCCATAAATCATTTGGCAATTTTCGCCCTATGAAACATCCTAGAATGTTCCCTACAAAAATTCAACACCTGCCAATGGGCTTTCAATTTGTGTTAGGGGTGTTTGTGTGCTGTTTTCATTTAGCACCACCTACTGTCTCTGTTCATAGGAAAACAATGTTTTTATCATACCACCTTGAATTCAGTAAAAAAACCCAAACACTACTGTCCCTATGTGGGAAGTAAGTTCTGTGTAAGGGTTGGAGTGTGTGTGTTCCCTGAAGGGTTAGAGAAACCCAGGTTGTCATGAGTTTGCTTTGGGTAGGTGTGAGCAAGACCCAAACTTTTGGGGTTCTCTCCCCACAGGTGAGGGACGCAGGTGGCGCTGTGGGTTAAACCACAGAGCCTACGACTTGCTGATCAGAAGGTCAGTGGTTTGAATCCCCGCGACGGGGTGAGCTCCCGTCGCTCGGTCCCTGCTCCTGCCAACCTATCAGTTCGAAAGCACGTCAAAGTGCAAGTAGATAAATAGGTACCGCTTCGGCGGGAAGGTAAACGGTGTTTCCGTGCGCTGCTCTGGTTCGCCAGAAGTGGCTTAGTCATGCTGGCCACATGACCAGGAAGCTGTACGCCGGCTCCCTCGGCCCATAGAGCGAGATGAGCACCGCAACCCCAGAGTCGGCCATGACTGGCCCTAACGTTCAGGGGTCCCTTTACCTTTACCCCACAGGTGATGCTGGCGGAGCGCCGTGGAACGGACGAGCTGTTTGCCATCAAGATTCTCAAGAAAGATGTGATCATCCAAGATGACGACGTTGAATGTACTATGGTGGAAAAGAGAGTTTTGGCCATGGGGGAGCGTCCACATTTCCTAACCCAGCTGCACTCTACCTTCCAAACCGCAGTAATTGCGTGTGGTTATTTACTTGGTTAAAGAAACCGTAGCTATTTAACTGTATGCTGTTTTGTTGATTAAGTAATTCATTGCCTCCACTTAAATTTGCATGCAGGGGAAAATGGATGAATGCATATGACACAGCAACATCTCGGAAGAGGCATTTCCCCTCATCTCTCTTGCGCAGGAGGGGATGTCTTCTTATAAGATGGCAGCCATCTTTTTAGAACTAGTGGTTAAAATAAGTTTCTAAAGGTTGCTGTCCAATTAATTGAGTCACATTCAATCAAAATGTATCTTAATTTAGGGGTTCCCAAATGGGTCACTGTGCTTCATTCAGGCGTCTGCGGCATGTCCGTGAGGAACACACACAATATGAATTTTGTGGAATTCCCAAACAGTAATACAATAAAGGGGGTGGGGTGGGAAGAAGCAATAAAAATACAATTTAGAATTATAAAGCATCTGGCACAGTGCATTACAATTGCTACTAGAGGCAAGAAAAATAATTAAGAGGTCCATCAAGACCCTTAGCAATTTTCAAGTGGCCCATGAGGGGAAAAGTTTGGGAATCCCTGTCTTAATTGGTTTAACCGACTAAGCATTGCAGAGAGGGAAGGGGGGGCATACTGTGGTATCTGGATCTTTCATTTTATCTGCCTGTGGCAATAATGGACACACATCCTGGTTTTTTTCCTTCAAGGACCGGCTCTATTTTGTCATGGAGTATGTCAATGGAGGAGACCTGATGTATCATATCCAGCAGGTTGGGAAGTTCAAGGAACCTCATGCTATGTACGTGAGTCTCTTGGGGAACTCAATTGAGAATGGGTTTCTCTCTCTCTCTCTCTAGCTGCTCTCACACTGGAACAGCTCTGCTTCTTCACTCAGTTCTTACAGGGCATTTGTACAGTATCATTAACTAAACACCCCCCTCTCAAGTTTCCCCACATTTTTCCTCCTGGAAGCTCGTAAAACCCAACCCTTTTTTGTAGAAAACTCAGTGCACAATTTCCCCCGCTGTATTCCATCCTGCTAGATTGCTCTAGCTGTTTCCTGGGATGTCCTCCAGCCATTTCCTTCTCAATCATTTTTCTTCCCTCTCTAAGAATCAGCTCGGCCTCTCCATTCCTTGCATTTCCAAATAGCTTTGGCTTTCTATATCTTTTTTTCTCTTCCCTAAATTGCAGAAGGGTGTGCGTGGGGGCACTACCATTACTGGGAGGGAAGTGGTGGAGAAGGAGTCTTTAACCTTTTCTTCCTACATAACGATCCCAATGAAAATTGCCTTCCAACATTTGGAACGGGCGGACAAGGGACTGCCCAGTTGGCTACAGAATGCCAGAGGTTTGTAAGGAGAGCCGCTATTCCACTTCCGGCTTCAAGCAGGACAGCGTTGAGTGCGTGTTGCTAAATTGTCCTTGTCCAGAAGTACCCTCTGCCTGCCTGCCTTTACTTGCATAGTCACTCCAGTCCAAAACATGATGACACCTGAGAACAGCTTTTCTTACATATCTTAAGACCAGGGTTGGCTTCAAAGGGTGGTCAGGTTGGGCATTTGCAAAGGCCTCGTGTTTGGCAGATGGGCCCACAGTCCCAAGTGTCACCCTCTTTCAGTTCAAGGGGACCCACTGAAGATGCTTAATTTAGGGATTCCCCAAATCCTGGAACCTGCACTGCCCCCCTCCCCAATATTTTTATTGATTTTGCAATAGTATTCATTAAATGAACACAATGACTTTCATACAAAGAAAAATCATGTCATTGTCTCTGCTTCTCCTCCTGTTGCCAGAAGCCTAGTAAGTATTCTTATGAATATTCTATTGTACGCCCTTCACCCATGTTTACTACCTACTTTTGGCATTCTCTCAACAGGGATCTTATATGTCATATCATCAAAATCTCTTGAACATAGTTTTAACACTGTTTAAGAGACAAACTACACATGACCGTTGTCTAAATCCTTTGCGTAACTAAAGACTGTTATGGGGTGCTCGCTGGATCAGGGAAACAGCTTGGGGGTGTAGGTGTTTAATGCTTACACCTCCTGTACTCTAAGCCTAGGGCTTCCTGATCGGAAGGTCGGCAGTTCAAATCCCTGTGACAGGGTGAGCTCCTGTTGATCAGTCCCTGCTCCTGCCAACCTAGCAGTTTGAAAGCACGTCAAAGTGCAAGTAGATAAATAGGTACCATTCCGGCAGGAAGGTAATCAGCATTTCTGTGCGCTGCTCTGGTTCGCCAGAAGTGGCTTTGTCATGCTGGCCACATGACCCGGAAGCTGTACGCCAGCTTCCTCGGCCAGTAAAGCGAGATGAGCGCCACAACCGCAGAGTCGTCTGTGACTGGACCTAACGGTCAGGGGTCCCTTTACCTTTAACTGTGCTGTTTTCATGATCTAAATCCTCTGTCACCCGAACACATGCACACTTGCTGTTTGCTCTGTAGCTGAAAACATTCCAGCATGGTGCATGCAGTCCCCCTGTGAATGCACTTAGTAAGAGTCTACAGTTCAATGGAGGATTCCTGGTGAAATGTGTACTTTGGTCCTAAGAGCCATGTGTTTGAAGATCCACCTCCGTGTCAGGTGAATCAGGAGTGCTCCACATACGCAGCAGAATGAAGTGGGAGTGAAGTAATTAATAGAGTTCTGAGGTTGTAGAGTGGTCTGTACCACTTCAGACTGCAGGTGAGACCTCACATTTAAATACCTTTCTATGTAAGGTGGTGGCGCTGTGGGTAAAACCTCAGCACCTAGGACTTGCCGATCGTCAGGTCGGCGGTTCGAATCCCCGCGGCGGGGTGCGCTCCCGTTGCTCGGTCCCAGCGCCTGCCAACCTAGCAGTTCAAAAGCACCTCCCCGGGTGCAAGTAGATAAATAGGGACCGCTTACTAGCGGGAAGGTAAACGGCGTTCCGTGTGCTGCGCTGGCTCGCCAGATGCAGCTTGTCACGCTGGCCACATGACCCGGAAGTGTCTTTGGACAGCGCTGGCCCCCGGCCTCTTAAGCGAGATGGGCGCGCAACCCTAGAGTCTGGCAAGACTGGCCCGTACGGGCAGGGGTACCTTTACCTTTACCTTTATGTAAAGAAAGCAAGCAGCACCCACTTCCTGCACTTGCAAACGAGCATGGCAGGGAGTTAGCTGGGCAAGAATTTTTCTCCCTAACGTACTAGATTTCTCCTTGTAGAGAGTTTTTACCTGGATGAGTGTTCAAAAATGTGGCACACACACACACCACCCTCTCACAGCGGTCTGAAGTGGTACAGTCTGCTCTATGGCCTCGGGATTCTACCGCTTCATTCTGCATGCTTACGTATGCCAGAGCTCAGTTTCATGGGAAATTATTACACTCCAGTGAAGTTGTGTAATTGAGTGACCTGAATGTGAAATCAACAAGCGTCCACTTGCTCTAAAAAGAAACATAATTGACAAGGAGTTTAAAACACGCACTCACCCACCCTCTGTCCAAGCCGCTGAGAAGAACCATGGGAAGTAAGCTTGGGCTACCAATTTTTGCAAGAGACTCCCCTGTCTTAAAATGACATTCAGATGGAATGTGAGAATGACAAGGCAGGCAGCTATGCTGGAGATAGGATCCCTTTTGTCTGAAAAGCCGGAGTCTTAGGCTGCCTGCACACCATTCATTTAAAGTACAGTGGTACCTCTGGTTACGTACTTAATTCGTTCCGGAGGTCCGTTCTTAACCTGAAACTGTTCTTAACCTGAAGCACCACTTTAGCTAATGGGGCCTCCTGCTGCCGCTGCACCGCCGCTGCACGATTTCTGTTCTCATCCTGAAGCAAAGTTCTTAACCCGAGGTACTATTTCTGGGTCAGCGGAGTCTGTAACTTGAAGCGTATGTAACCTGAAGCGTCTGTAACCTGAGGTACCACTGTACGTTGTAGTTTACCCCCTTAGAGAGTTACAATTGCCAGCACCCTTAACAAACAATAGTTCCCATGATCCTTTGAAGGAAGTCATGTGCTTAAGATGTATGATGTGTGTAGCAGCCCTCCTGTTCCTGGCACGCCGTGTTGGGGTGTGGAGTGGCCGTTCTCCTATATGCATTTCTGGGACCACTTCATACCTCTAATCTTATCTTAGCTCTGCCTTGCATGCAGAAAGTCCCATGTTAAAGGACTCCTGCCTTAAACGATGGAGAGCCACCGCTAGGTGGACAACACTGCGCTAGGCGGACCATTGATTTGAGATGATAGAAGGCAGCTTCCTGTGTTCCTATCTCCTTCTAAAATGAAGCCAACGTAGGTGTAGGGCTGGTGCGTGCAGCTGGAGAAAATGGCCTGTCTGGTAAAATTAGGATCACTGCTGAACCTAATTAGGCTTGTGGGCTGGAGGTTCCCCATATTTGCTCCAACCACCACACTCTGCACTGTCTCCCCACATACATACATACATACATACATACATACATTGTTCTTCCTATTTATCCTTGCCTGCATCGCCCCTCTGTTGCCTCCACTGGGTCTGATTACAGATTGTAAGTTCCTTGGCACAGGGACCTGCCTTCTTACTGCTCTGTACAGCACCGTGCATGTTGCTGGTGCCATATAGATAACGGAAAACCTTTAAATTCACAAGAATGAAAACTAACCTGTGTGCCTGCCAACCCACTTCCCTGTTACCTGTAAAGGTTGGTACCTGTACGTGGAATATGCTTTAATCCTAACTTGATGCAGCGGGAAGCAGGTCTACGCACAGTAACTTCCAGCCACTTGTACGCAGAATAAAAAGCTCTCTTGTGATCATGCATAAATTGACATATTACCTTTCTGATATGCGTATCATTACAAAGGTGGGGGAGCTGGTAAGTTCTATGTGGAGGAGCTGTATGGTACTGGAATGGCATGGCTAGTGAGTGTGGCTGCTTGTATTTTTCAAACATCATGTGAAAAGTGGCCATCAGAGCCACCATGATGACTTCAGTGCCACTGCTAATGAAATCCTTGCCGTGTTATCTCTCTCCCTTCCTCCCTCTCCCTGCCTTAACCCTCCTCACCCTTTCCCCCTTCTCTGTTACAGGTTTTATGCTGCAGAAATTGCAATTGGCCTGTTCTTTTTGCATAACAAAGGAATTATTTACAGGTGAGTCTATTCTGTTCTCTATAGAGGTCCCAGACTCGACTGCAAAACCCCACTTTCCCCCCTGAGAATCCAGGGGTTCTGGCTCCATCTCTACTTCCCCTCTGCCCCCTCTCCAAATCTCTACAGGACTGCCTCCTTCCTTCCTTCCTTCCTTCCTTCCTTCCTTCCTTCCTTCCTTCCACTATCAAGATTCTAATAGGCAAAAAATGCCGGCAGCATTATGATAAATTCAAGAGAGTAAATAAGTTTTGATGGATGTAACAGTGGAAATCCAATTTGAATAGTTATTGTAAAAAATGCAGGGATGTAAGATATGCAAAATGAACCGTGGAACCACGGCTTGTGGAGAGTTGCCTGCATGCCGAAGGCTCAGTGCGCCCAGCCTTCGGCATGCAGGCAACTCTCCACAAGCCGCGGGAGCCCGGCGCGGGCTCCCATGGCTTACGGAGATCTGCGCGAAGCCTGGAGAGCGAGAGGGGTCGATGCGCACCGACCCCTCTCGCTCTCCAGGCTTCAGCGAAAGCCTGCATTCGCCCCATAGGACGCACACACATTTCCCCTTCATTTTTGGAGGGGAAAAAGTGCGTCCTATGGGGCGAAAAATACGGTATGTAAAATGTTTATTTGAAATCGTAAAACAGAATTTTATTTTATTTTATTTTTTTAAGAGATATTCTAATAGGCAAATCATCTTTCATTCTGGATTGTCCTCTTGGAACTAGGAATGGGGGAGGAATTCAGTTTGCATTTAAAGGTGAACATGCCTTATTTGCACTTTCCATAACTGAAACATAGCCAGTGGTTGAAATGCAGGCTTTTCCTAATGTTCTCCAGCCAAGTAATGTGCACAAAGATGCATATCCTAAGATAAAGTATGCACAAAGATGCAGATGTACACATGAAAATAACTTACAAAAATGCATTATATTAGGGGAAATTGCTTTGCAGAAATGTGCACATCAAGAAAAAAATCATACTAGACTGCTGGTGAATTTTCACAAGACAAAAAATCACAAATTGATGTGGAAGACTGAATTTCAAACTGGAAAAGTGAGAAACTGGGAGAAGCTGAAACTGATGAATCTGCCCATCCCTTCCTTACTTGGAGGATGTATTTCCTAGCTGTAATTTGGCACCCTCTGCTGGGCACTCCTATTGCTTGCTTTGTCTCTCCTGCCCAGGGATCTGAAACTGGACAATGTAATGTTGGATGCTGATGGTCACATTAAGATTACTGATTTTGGGATGTGTAAAGAAAACATTTTTCCTGGCATCACCACACGGACCTTTTGTGGAACACCAGACTACATCGCTCCGGAGGTACAGAATGCTCCTAAGTCTCCCATCCCCAATCACACAACTCACCACCCTTCCAAAGAAACATCAGGTTCCTTCTGCTCTAATCTAAACTCTCCCCAGGAATTTAACCTTATAGGTTAGACTTGTTGCCTTCTAAAAACTCCAGAGCCCTGGTTTCAAATTCCTACCTCTTATGCTCGGATCCAAAACAACTGTATGTGACAGGCACAGCCATTATTGTATATTCCTGTGCCTGGGGTCTAATTTTACAGTTAAATATGTGGGGTTGTGAGTGGAATAGTTGGCCTCCTCCCCTGCCTTAATTCGCTGTGTCCCTTTCATAATCCGTTTGACCGTCAGAGCATTTGGGACGAAGCAGGTTGTTGAATGAATGAATCTGCTATCCCAATTCACCCTCTTGCCAGGAATCTTAGAACTTAGCTCTCCAATGCATGCCTTGGTGACTTATAGACGAGGTTACTCCCCAGAGGACACAGGTGGCGCTGTGGGTTAAACCACAGAGCCTAGGACTTGCCAATCAGAAGGTCGGCAGTTCGAATCCCTGCGACGGGGTGAGCTCCCGTTGCTTGGTCCTTGTTCCTGCCAACCTAGCAGCTCGAAAGCACATCAAAGTGCAAGTAGATAAATAGGTACCACTCCGGCGGGAAGGTAAATGGCATTTCCATGCGCTACTCTGGTTTGCCAGAAGCGTCTTAGTCATGCTGGTCACATGACCCGGAAGCTGTACGCCGGCTCCCTCGGCTGATAAAGCGAGATGAGCGCTGCAACCCCAGAGTCGGCCACGACTGGACCTAATGGTCAGGGGTCCCTTTACCTTTACCCCCCAGAGAGGCTCGCTTTGCTACTTCTCTACTAGTTTTTCAGACATTGGGCAAAAGCAACTTAATTTCTAAGGACATTTGGGACCAATTGAATCGTGTTTGTTGCCTCTGTTGGGACTTCTTGGTTTATATGGTTTGGATTTCTGTTATTGGTTGTTATTTACTACGTTGCTTACGGTTTTAGAGTTTATTTTCGTAAGCTGCTTTGTTGGACCTGTTTGGGTAAAAAAAATGGAATGAAAAAGGTCTGTAGATTTAAAGGACCTAACCTCCCATTTCTACCCATCTTAGATTATTGCCTATCAGCCATATGGGAAGTCAGTGGACTGGTGGTCATTTGGTGTCCTTCTGTATGAAATGTTAGCTGGGCAGGTAAGTATGTTGAGGTGGGGTTTTTTCATGATCCAGTCCAGGTCAAGGGATACATTTGTGGTCTCAGGGGATGGTTTGTGGCTGTTGCCAAGAGACCTCAAGGCATTAATTCCTTAGTCTAAATATTCCACCTGCCATAGTTCTCACTCTAGCTTTACCTGGTGCTCCTGGTCCACAGCCACCATTTGATGGAGAGGACGAGGACGAACTCTTCCAGTCGATCATGGAGCACACGGTGTCCTATCCTAAATCTCTTTCACGTGAGGCTGTCTCCATCTGCAAAGGGGTGAGTCCTGACACATCCAAGAGGGGAAAGGCTTCGCGCCACATTTCCTTTTGGCTGCCCTGAAGGTTGAAAACAGGTGGTTGTGAGTGAAACAATGGGTGACTCTCATTGGGAATAGAAGGACTTTCAGGGAAGAATTGGCTGGAAGGTGGGGGGGTGCTTAACTCTGAATTCACAAGCTGATTGTTCTGCCCCTGGACATTTTTAATGGACAGCAATAATGGGGGAGCAGGGATCCGCAGGGGAGAATCGGCAGGGTTGTAAAGGGTTAAATGCTTCTCCCTCTCACCCAGGGCTGGATTTAGGTTTGATGATGCCCTAAGCTATTGAAGGTAATGGGGCCCTTTATATGTCCAGCTGTCCTTTGTCAACAACGAATTGCCGCTATTTTTTGTGTTGAATATATGCTACAGTGGTGCCTCGCAAGACGAAATTAATCTGTTCCGCGAGTCTCTTCGTCTTGCGGTTTTTTCGTCTTGCGAAGCATGGCTATTAGCAGCTTAGTGGCTTAGCGGCTTTAAGAAAAAGGAAACAAACTTGCAAGAACTCGCAAGACGTTTCGTCTTGCGAAGCAAGCCTATAGGGAAATTCGTCTTGCGGGACGACTCAAAAAACGGAAAACTCTTTCATCTAGCGAGTTTTTCGTCTTGCGAGGCATTCGTCTTGCGGGGCACCACTGTATATGGTAATTTATGGATCTAATAGGTATCTAAAGCCATATGCGCATAACAAAATATGTATTTTATCAAAGTAATTGTTATATATCAAAGTTATTGATATCAAAGTAATCTTATATTTTGGAAATGTACATCCAGTTTTTCCCCATTCAATTTTTTGGGGAGCCCCCAATAGAGTGGGGCCCTAAGCTATAGCTTGTTTAGCTTATATAGTTGTACCTCCGCTTACGTATCCCTCTGGATACGTACATAGATCAGTTTATTAGTATATCCCTCTGGATACGTAAACTTCAGGATGTGAACATGGCAAACCCGGAAGTATTTTTTTGGATTTCACCGCGTGCGCATGCACAGAAGCGCTAATCCGCTTGCAAATTCCTCAGGATGTGGCTGGACCTCTGGAACGGATCCCGTTCGCAACCAGAGGTACCACTGTACGTAAATCCAGCACTGCTCTCAACTTGCTTCCCTGTCTTGGTACATGCAGATTGGGAGACATGCATTTCTTGAGAGAATGTCCAATTTCCATCCTGTAATAGGCAATCTCGGACTGTGGTCCGCACCCCTTAGAAGAGGAGGGTGTTCCTAGCAAATCTCTTTCTCTTTCCCCAGTTCTTGACCAAGCATCCACTGAAGCGCCTGGGCTCAGGACCAGAAGGGGAACGGGATATCCGGGAGCACGGCTTTTTCCGCTGGATGGACTGGGAGAGGCTGGAGCAGCTGGAAATCCCCCCACCGTTCATCCCCCGCCCAGTGAGTAGCTTTGGGTCCCCAAATGAGCTTGGCCACATCCAGCCGTGCAGACTCCTGCCACCAGGTGTGAATAGGCACACACCTGTATTTTTGCATGTGGATGGGCACACTCAGGTTGTCCTATGGACCTGTGGCTCAAGCACAGTGTCACGTACCTCCATTAAGAATACATGCATTGCTGTACATTACTCAGGCAGAACTTTGCATATCTACAAATCTGAACCTCTTCACACATTCATTGCAACTTGCATAGATCACTTTATTAGTATATTTACTTTCTGTATGCCTTCCTCCAAGGAGTCAAGGCAGTGTACATTGTGCCCTCTCCCATTTTATCCTCACGGCAACCTTGTGAGGTAGGTCAGCCTGAGAGTGTGTGACTGGCCGAGGTCACCTTCATGGCAAAATGAGGATTCAAACCTGAGTTTCCCCAGACTTATTCCAACACTCTTAAACTACTACACAATACTGTGTTTCATATCTATTAATATCTGCAAACACCCACAGACACAAGCTCTAGATATTTGAGCTGCAACATGCAGAGACCTTCACACAACACAATATAATGACATGCACCAGGAATAAATAAAACGGTGATCAAGATTCAGGGCTGTATCCAATGTTAGTCATACCCGTAGATCCATTTCAAACTCCTTTCCATTCCCCCGTCTCCCTGAGATGGAAAGAAATGTCAAACAAAACTCAGAAGGGTAACAGAGCGGTGGTGTTTTTTAAGGTTAAAAATTCAAATGTTGTGTTTGGTTTTTAATTCCGGAAACGTTATGAAGGAACGCCTTTGAAGACGTAGCAGGTTCAAGAAAGATTATAAAATGGAGAGGGAGGGGTTGTGTTAAAGAAACCAACAGAGATAATACTTATTCCCTTTCTCTTTCCATTTTCCTCGTTCCCCTCATCCCTCCTATTCCCCTTTTCTTTCTCTCTGTCCCCATCCCCCCATCCAGTGCGGCCGAAGCGGCGAAAACTTTGACAAGTTTTTCACACGGGCACCTCCAGCGCTGACACCCCCAGACCAGCTGGTCCTCGCAAGCATTGATCAGAGCGAGTTCCAGGGGTTCACCTACATCAACCCTGAGTTTGTGCACCCGTCCACGTTGCGGCAGGGGAGCCTCTCCCCAACAGCCCTGCCCCTCTCTCCGACCAGCATGCCCCTCTCTCCGACCAGCATGCCCCTCTCTCCGACCGGGATGATCCCTTCCCCAACCTCCCTGGTGTGAGAGTGTCTCCAGGATGACCCTTGACCCTAAGAACCCCAATTCAAGCCCTTAGAATTCTGCTCCCGGGAGCATGACTCCTGCTCAGAGCTCAGCCCTATAAACCCTACGCTTGACCTTATCACCCCTGCCTCCCCTAGAAAACACTTTTTGTGTTGTTAATTGTCTCCAGTGAGTTGCTTCCCTCCTTCCTTACCTCCACTAGATGAAACCCAGATCAGTGAGGTTAAGAAAGCACACTTATATCTATAGAGGGATTTTTAAACTCCACCAATAAAATAGGAATATTCCCTAGGTCAAGGCTAATCTTTTTTGAGCATCCCCCAATTAAACGGAGTTTGCGTTGGCACAAAGAGAGAAAACTGTGCCAGGCGTTTCTGTAAAAATGGCCCCTTCAGTACTGTGCTTACAAGGTTTCCCCGCTATAATCAGAGCAGTGGATAGCTTCCACACCATCAGAAATTCCTCTAAATTGACCAAAACATGGGATGGCCTAAGCAGGCAAGGGGGCAACAGACAGGACTGCACGCACTTTGTGACAAAACGATGGAAATTGTGGCTGGAATCTGCCCAGAAGACATGCCCTCTGCCCTAAATCCAGGCTGGCCACATGACTGCAAAGTTCTGGCAAATGGGTTGAGTAGGCAGTAAAATGAAGGTGTGTTGCAAAAACAGAGGTCCAAACAGGAAGCAGTCGTGGAACTCCTTAGTTCAACGTGTATTTTTTCATCCCTTACAGAAGGCCATGCGATTGTTTATTTATTTGGCCCTTGCAAATTTTTCTTTGATGAGTTTGGTTTCTCTAATGGATAAGGGGAATGCAGTGGGCATAATTATACTCTGGAATCGAAGAAGCAACCATAAGGTGAGCATGTGATCACTGACCAAAATAGCAGCCTGTGAATTATTATTCCATGTGTTGCTCTGCACTAAGGTGGGGGGTGGGGGAGGAGAGCCCCCCCTTTCACTGCTGTCTGTCCTGATCATGAGCTTTCCTTCACAGGGCCATGGCTGAGTGGTAGAGCGAAGGCCATGGGTTCAATTTCTAGCTTCTCTAGGGCTGGGAAACCCCTAAGGAGAGCCACCACCAATCAGTTCAGACAGGACAAAGCTAGATTGGCCCAGTGGTCTGACTCAGTATATGGCAGCTTCCTCAGTCCCTTTATACAGGCTTAAAATATGAAGGGATGCCTAATCTACGTTTAAATGATCCTGAGTATCTGTTTGCCCTGGAAGTAATTTTTAAATTTGGGGAAATGTCAGGAAGCAACACCTTCCTTCCCTCTCTCTCCCTGCCTCCCCTGCTGATTGACTGCTCAGATAATTTCCGAAAACCCTTCTGGTCTTCATCCCTTGCCCTGTTCCCAGATCCTAGTCCTAAATTTCGTCTCCGTGGTGCTTTCCTTACCTGCTACAGTGTGACGATGTAACCTTGAACTCGATAGATCTTACCCAACTTAGTTGGAGCCCTTCGATTTCACGCATAGCTAGGATGTCTGCCAGTGTAGAACCCAAACTGGTCCTTCCTCTACACCCCTACCCACCCACCCACCTCACTCTTTGTGACACAGTCCTGCCCTTGTTGAGCCCCGATGGCTCCGTCCCCCATTGCCCCCGGCCCCCAGCACTGACACCTTTGCCTTGCTTCCTTCAACATGGCTGCTTGCATCACCCACTCAGCTGTTGAAAACCAGACTTTGGAAAGGAAGCGATGACAGCAACAGAGGTGGCACGCTAGACTCTGAGGAGAAAATATCGCCCTCCTTTATAGTAACACACAGCATGTCCAAATGCAACTTTTCTTTTGTTCTTTTCTTTCTCTCTCTCTTTCTCTGGTGCATGGACTATATTACATGAACATTATAGTATATTTATTTATTGATACCTATCTTCCACGTTTCCATCCTGCTCAGTGGCCACCGCCAACCCTCTACATCTGCCCTCCCAAGTTAACACCTGGCAGCCTCTTTCCAGCTTTAAAACTCGAGGTGTGTGGTAAACTGAAGATGGCACCTTCTCTCCCCCCCCGCACCCCCCCAATTCTCTGGGACTCCTCTTAACAGATCATTTCATTTATCATGAATACCCTGTTGCTTTTTGATGTGGGAAAGACACCCTGTCAAGCTTGTGTTGTGAATATTTTTCATTATGTGGCAAAAGACTGGTATTTGTTTTTACCTCATGAGGGAAGCCCATTGAGAACTGGTCTTTGTCCTGATTTGCCCAATGCTGGCGATTTCCGTAAGAGCGAGTGCTTGCCATGTTAAATGGGTGCGTGTAAGATGATCCTGGGGTGTCTCTGCTGTGCCAAAAGTTACAAAAACTGGTCTTAGTCGGCGACTGATTGATGGGCGGAGAAATAATTATATTCTGCTGGCAGGTCATGTAGATGAGCCAAGCGAAAAATTTCAAGGCCATTCTCTTCCCTTCATGCATCAGGCTGCAGATTCTGGTGCATCTGGGCCAACAGTCCCTCTTTACCTTTCTCCTCTCACTTTGAAATTGGTGGAAGCTAGATTCGGCCTCTGTCACCTCATGCCTGCCCATTCTATGCCGACCTCATTCCTCCTTCTCTGGCAGAGGGTTTTTATCAAGCACCCAGCAGGCTATAGGCTTGGGCAAATGGGCGTCAAGTGGGTAGCCCTCTTCAGCCCATCCCTAACTCAGCAAGGGCATGGGGTTAAGAGCGAGCATGGGAGCTAGACCACAAGTACCTTGTACCTACCTAAGGAAGAGATAGCCTGTCGTTAGACCAGAAGATGTTGGGATCCAGAACTGCTGCGCTCATGAAAGATGAGTAAGATTGCTAATAGGACCGGAATTGTTCTCCTGAGTCATTTCCAGAGCTCTTTCCCCTTTGGTTTGCCTGATCCTTCCAGCACATCAGTCTTCCGCCAGTTTCCAGCCTCGGTCTTTTTTCTCTTTGCTGACATCCCTTCCACCCCCGCAGCTTGGGAATAATCCACTCACACCTCCTTCCCTTCGGCTTGTGGTTCCCTGTAGCCAGTACCATAGATTAATGGACTCACCTATGCATTTCAATATAAAAGATATTTATCCAACCCGCAGTGTGCCTTGCCTTTCTGTCTCTGTGTTGGTTGGCGAGACGTTGCGTTGTCATACTGGATGAAAAGGACTTGGGCTGCATTCCCTAAGCATCATGACCAGGGAGTAAGAAGGGAAGCGGACGGTGGGGTGGCACCCTTCCCCTGACCCATGTTTGCTGGAAGGTGCAGGGGAGAGGCAGCGGGGAGCATCGTCTGGTGCAAATGCGGCAGCAGGAGCATGAAATTGGTTCTGCTGATGCATTTGCACCGAGCCTACTTTGCTGCTGCTTCGCTCCTCCCCTTCTACCTCCTGGCAAGCAGCAGGAACTCAGCCAATCTGAGGCCAGGTGAGCAGCAGGACCTCTTCACATTATAAATAGCAAATGGCATCTAACACCCTGCAAACTCTGTGCAAATAAATCAGGGCGAATATTCAGTGAACAGGTCATCAGGAAGCAACAAAAGGTCCAATTTGCTGGTGCCGGTGAGAAGCACATTTGTTGCATCAGGGTGCCAAATCTTTAGAAACACAGCCTGAATTTACTGGAATGTGATTGACTCTCAGCCCAAAATAGTGACAGTCCAGCAGCAGCCCAGGTTTTAGCCACTTTTGCCCAGATGAATCCTCCAGAGATTTCTATGGAATTCCTACAAAGTTTCCATGTCCGGATCTTGTCCAGGAATGTTGTCTAAATTGATGCAACCCCATGTGGTTAAGCTGATCTCCACCTGAACAGAACTTCAGATGTTGGTCAAGCAGAGAGAATTGGGATCATCCCTGCCACATTTGGGAGAAAAGATCAGGCTATGATTCACACCACAGTTAAAGTGGAGTTGGGTGCAGACTACCCAGGGGTACACAGCACCACACTCTGAGTAGTAAAACCTCATAAGCTTAGAGGGACTTGCTCCCATCCCCAGTTAACACGGGGAGGATCACAGCCTTGTTCCGGCTTAACAGAGCAATCCTAAATAAAGAAAACTATAAATTATGCACCTGAATTACCCCTATTCCAAACTCCATTCAGGACGATTTTTTCTTACACCATCCTTTCTCTGGCTATGTTTTGCTGGGTTGCTAAATTGTCCCAGAGTTGGAAGGTGTTTGGAATAGGTGCAAAACCTTGCCCCGCCCCTGGAACACTCCTTTTTGGGGACATGCTGATGTAAGTTACACCAGTTTTAAGTTCTGCCAGCTGTGCAGAACTTCAGGGTGTTTAGGGAGTTAAGCTGGTATATCTCCAGCTGAGCTAAGCTTAGGGACTTATGCCAGCATAGCCCCAGCTGTGCCTAGTCTCAGTGAGGAAAGACCAACACCTGCCAAATCTCATGCTGTTGGATCTTGGGTTCGGATTGCATTGTTAGGGAACCTTGTAAACATTAATCACATGCACTCACAGATCTACAAATCTGGGATTCTTTTGCAATATGGTTTCCACTGATGGAGTTGGTGTAGGAGGCTCCTATTTAAAGTATGAGCTGTTTAAGGGAATAATCAGAGGCTCACTTTTCTGTCTTACGCCTCCATCCCCCTCCCCTGCCACAAGCCTGTCTCCCAAATCTCCTTGATTGGAACAGTCCCCCTTGTATGTTGTTGTTGTTGTTTAGTCGTGTCCGACTCTTCGTGACCCCATGGACCAGAGCACGCCAGGCACTCCTGTCTTCCACTGCCTCCCGCAGTTTGGTCAGACTCATGTTTGTAGCTTCAAGAACACTATCCAACCATCTCGTCCTCTGTCGTCCCCTTCTCCTTGTGCCCTCCATCTTTCCCAACATCAGGGTCTTTTCCAGGGAGTCTTCTCTTCTCATGAGGTGGCCAAAGTATTGGAGCCTCAGCTTCAGGATCTGTCCTTCCAGTGAGCACTCAGGGCTGATTTCCTTAAGAATGGATACGTTTGATCTTCTTGCAGCCCATGGGACTCTCAAGAGTCTCCTCCAACACCATAATTCAAAAGCATCAATTCTTCAAAAGCATCAATTCTTCCCTTGTATATTTACTCCAAAAAGAGTAAGGGTAGCTACCATTTATTTGCTGTTAGCCAAATACCAGTCTTGCTTACAACAAATAAATTTTTTTGGGGTGGGGGATAATAATAAGTTGGGAGAGAGAAAGGAAGGCTTAATTGCTTAATTGTTCAGATGGAAACAGTGAAACACATACGCATGAACACCCTAGTGTGGGCACATCCCAGGACTGGGGGAAGCCCAAAAGGTTAGATCCAGGTAGATCTTTTGTTTCTGATGTTTCTAGTGACACTAGGCATTTGGCCTTCCCTTTCTTGCAGGAAAGTCAGTTTCTATGCACTCTGCACCTCATTCCCCGAGGACTCTGAAGAACAGTGTGCTCTTTGACATTTTCAGTGGACAATTCATTTCCCCCAAATGTAGCTAAAGACAATGGTCACTAGAGGGAGCTGCAGGACAGAGCAATGCTCAACTAATGAAAACTACTGCTGGCAACCTTCCCTGCACCCCAGCCTCAATCTAGCAAGGCTCCTGCACTTTTAACAACAGCTTTGTGTCTGGAAGAAATTCAGCTGCTTCAGGTTTTCCTATGCTCTAGTTCCTGGACAGGAGGGCTTAAGGTGGATGGGCATTGCTGGGCTGGGGAGTGAGCCTGCTGCTGCTCCACCCTCCCAGCATCCAAAGTCTGAGGTGGCTGCTTCACTCTGCCTAATGGTAGGGCTGGCCCAGATGCTTCACCTGGGGATGTCTAGGGCAATGCCCAGTTTTTGCCCTTATCTTAAAGAGCACTATTCTGTTTCCCTTTTACAATACGAGAGAAAATGTATATTCTAAAATGAGTACTGTAATTTGACCATATTCTCATTTGAATTATTTCCCCCCAGTTCTGTAACATTTTTAAACACTTCAGCAAAAATAACAAGGGGCACTCCCAGGCGCTCACTATTTCCAGGTGGGATTCAATCACATACTACTGGCAAATTCAGGCTGTGCAATTATACTTGATTGGGGCATCTTGTATGGCAAACCTGCTTCCCCCCCCCAAAGAGCAGACTCCCCCCCCCAATAAGGAAAGTGACAGGAAAATGCACTGGAAAATGTGGGATGACACTGGATTTGACACAATGTCATCTAACCTCCACACAAACAAATCGGGACGAATGCTCATTAAATAGCCGATGTTATCTAACTTCCCTGCAAAGAAATGAGAACGAATGCTCAAGAAGCAGGTTGTCTGGAAGCAGCCAAGGTAATGTATTTAACTGCTGATGCCTAACATTCCTGCCTTAGCATTCCTCAGCAAAATATAGTTTGTTTGAAGCATCTTGTAGAGGTGTGGGTGTTTATTTGTGCGTCATCCTGCCTTCCCAGATGATCAGGTTGATAGATGCCACCTGTGCGTGTTTTTATGTGGCAGTCCTCAGTGCATGGTGTTTAGACAATATATAGACCACTTAACATTTCTAAATGGTTTGCAAGTATCATAAAATATTACAAATAAATGTGTTCCAGGTGATGCGAGTTCTGTATGTTCTGTCTACCCATGTGTTTATGTTTAATTTTATATATTGATATATATATTAACCCCAAGTGGCAGGAAGGGTCCCTGCCTCTGGGAGGTTCATAGAATCATAGAATTGTAGAGCTGGAAGGGACCCAGAGGGTCATCTAGTCCAACCCCCTGCAATGCAGAATTTTCTCACCTAAAGCATCTATGGCAGATGGCCAACCAACCTCTGCTTAAAAATCTCCAAGGAAGGAGAGTCCACAACCTCCTGAGGGAGACCGTTCCACTATCGAACAGCTCTTACTGTCAGAAAGTTATTCCTGATGTTGAGTCGGAATCTCCTTTGTAACTAGAAGCCATTGGTTCGGGTCCTACCCTCCAGAGCAGGAGAAAACAAACCTGTTACAAGCTAAATGTTGACTGTGGATCAAAAGCAATGATAGATACTTAGACTTCTTTTCACCTGAAGGCAGGACCTTGCTTTTAAGGCTTCGTGGAACATGTGTTTTGAGGAGAGATCTGGGGGAACGAAAGAGCTGGCACCATGTTTACAACCAGCGTTTATTCACTGTGCCAACCAGTAAAACATGTTCTCTTAACTAACCAGTGTGTTTGTGATGGCCTGGGATTCCGATTCAGAGGCTGAACCGGAGGAATCCCAGCCTGCACAGGAGTCCCCGCCTCCAGGGCCGGCTGCACTGGGGCAGGGCCTTGATTCTGAAGCGCCTGCACCTGTGCCGGATCCTCAGGAGCAGGCACCAGGTGAATCCACTCTGGCTCCGGAGGTGGTTGAGGACTCAGTGCCTACAGGTGAGTCTCCCCCTGGGTCCAGTAACCTTTCAGCCTCGCCTGAACTGCAGAGGCTCAGGGCAGAGAGGCGAAGGGAACTGGTTTCTCCCAGGAGGAGTGCTCGCCTTAAGGCCAGGAGAGGCGGGTCTCCTGGGGGCCTGGACTGCCCCAGGCCTCAGAGAAGATAAAGGCCAGTCAGCCCGGTCCCAGGTTGCGGGAGCAACGTCGTCGTTGAGTACCTGCTCCTACCCGGACCCAGACCTGACCTTCCAGTGTTCCTGTTCCCCGCCCGGCTTCCTGCTTCTGACCTTCCAGTGTTCCTGTCCCCGCCCGGCTTCCTGCTTCGGACCTCGCCTCGCTCCTTGTGAACTGGTTCCAGGCTAGTGACTCAGGACTGGACTTTGACTACGACAACGGTAACCTTCCCCCCGGGACTAGCACAGTGTTCTTTCCAAGTAACCATGAAAAATCAGTAAACTTCAGATTCAGTCAGGTTCTAGCCATAACTCATGTTTCCACCCAAATGTTGTAGAGACTACAACTTCCACCAGCACTAGCCAGCATGGCTGGCGTTCTGGAATTATGGGAGTTGTGGTCCAGAAACATGGGTGGCGGCACCACATTGGCTTACTCCTGTGCAAGATTCTTCCCCGCTGAACTTCCAGTATTTATGGACTATATATATATTCTATATGGACTAAGGTTACCAGACGCCCCCGTTTCCCAGGGACAGTCCCCGCATTTACAAATCAGTCCCCTGACAAAATCCATCTATTTAATAGGAAGTTGAAAAGTATCCCTGGATTCACTGAAAAAAATCTGGTAACCTTAATATGGACACCTTCCAGATTTTTACAGATTCAGAGAGCTGGAGATGTATGAGTGGATATGTGTGGTGCATGGGTGTGAATGGGGACATGATGGTCTGTATTTAAACCAGCTAATACACTGTCCATTGAGTGGCTGCACTTTTAATCCCATGAAGTCACATACCCTGTTGGACGCTGGGTCTTATTTCCAAAAGCATCGGTTTTAGCAGTTTTTCTGTGTGTGCCCTTTGCATACAGCTGTTGCTTGCAAGAGATACACGGTTGTCTGGCATGGTCTGGGTGTTTGATGGTTGCCTCCCAAGTTATATTCCAGCTTGCAAAGCCTAATGAAATTGCAAAGCAGTTTTATTAAGCCTACAGTATTACTTGGAGAAGATCCTGATTACAGTAGGTGCCATTCCCATTATGTCAATATGGGCGGCATTAGTGGGGTGCTTCAATGGTGTGGGCAATGGCCTGAGGCTTAAAGTTAATTCATACATCATTGTGTGTGTGTGTTTTGTCTGTCTGCTGCATATAAACAGCTTGGTCTCTCTCCAGTCAGGCTGATACGTCTCTGATGTATATGTGGGTTTCCCTCCCTGCCTCCCGCTTCATGTTTCTCTGTCATCTGGCTGGTGGCTGCGATTGTGTGCTCTGTATCTCCAGGTGATGTGGGTGTGTGAGAGAGAGGTGCTTATGTGTGTGTGACGTCACTATCTGCAGTGGTTGTGCATTCACATTCCAGTCACCAAGTCTGAGATCGACACAGAGACAGCTGGGCATCCCTCTGCCCTCTTTCTTTTTCTCTGCAAAAGAAATGAAGATGCGAGAGGGTAGCAGGCTGCACGGGAGAGGACTAGAGAGGAGCCATTTCACATTTTCATTGGAGGCCGGGTGGGGTGGTGGGAATATTAATGAGACCTGCTCTTGGATGCATTCTAATTGAAAAAGGGGTGTATTTTAATGACATTTCTTTCCTTCCCCCGGCATGTCACAATATAGCAATATTATCAACAGAAGAATATGAGCGAGTTGGGTGCCTGGGAAGGAATTACAGTGATGTCTAAAATCTGGCTGAAATAAATTAAAAAATTGTCCAGTAGCACCTTAGAGACCAACTAAGTTTGTTCTGGGTATAAGCTTTCGTGTGCATGCACACTTCTTCAGGCCCATGAAAGCTTATACCCAGAACAAGCTTAGTTGGTCTCTAAGGTGCTACTGGACATTTTTTTAATTTTTTAATTTCTTTCAACTGCATCAGACCAACACAGCTACCTACCTGAATCTAAAATATGGCTACCAGCCATAGGGGAGGGCAGCAGTTAGGAAAACTCCTCGGTTTCTCTGGGGATGAATGTGAAAGATGGTTGGGGAATATAACAGATTATGGAAGCAGCTGAAATCAAGGAATTCTGGGTTCTTTAGAAGGGTTGCCAACTTCTTAGCTAGCATTTCCTCCTGCACCTTTAACCTATTGGATGGCAGACTATTAGCAGATGCTTGTTCTCATCTCCAAACAGGCTTCACTTGATTTAATCAGATCAAGTTCCTCTTGAAGTAAAAAAAAAAAAAAAGCACTCAAGAAACATCCCCCCCCCCCATTGAGTTGGCAATTTTATTCCTTAAGTGCACATACAACAGATTATGGTTGGAGCCAGGACTCCTGGGTTTGATGAGAGGAACGTACATAAGGTAGAGCTGCAGCTTAAAAACAAACAAAACCCTGGCGGGGCTTCCGTAGACGTTGATCGATAAAGAAATTCAACAGGTGCAGCCCTTGGCAGGGCTGTGAGAAAGCTGCTCCTCCGGAATGGATGCCCCACCAGAGTTCCCTCAAGAGGGACTGGAGGTTAACAAAAAGGGCGTGCTCCTGGAGGTTGCTAGGAAGCAGGGCTGCCGGGTTGTATTTTCCTGACCTGCCTCTCCCTTGCTGTGCAAAACACTGCCGAGAACCAAAAAAAGCTCCCTCGCCCTGTTTACATCTCAGGGTGTAACTGGAGAGCCTGAGGGCAGGAGGACCAGAATAACCGAGGGGAGAGACGTGTTCCTTGCTGGAGAGCATCCCCTTCTCCCTCTCTCTCTCTGCCCCCACCCCCAGTGGGGACGCCCTGTCCCCAGGCTGAGATGCTGACAAGGAGGAATGGAAGATGGGCCGCTGGCTCCCTGCGTAGAAACGGCTGGGCAGAAGAAGCCAGGCACATCTTCAAGCAATTGCTGCCCCCCCCCGCCGCCGCCTCACCTTCCCTCACAATGCCCAAAAGAGCCCTCCTGGCCTTGCCACAGCGGATGCCAGGCCTCAGGCCTGGGCGAAAAATAAAGATGGCTCTTTGTATTGGGGAGCTAGGGCAGGGGAGGATCTGTCTTAAATTGCTTTTCGGCATTTCTCTTGTTCCAAACTGATTTTAATATTGTATTTTTTTTAATTGCTGTAACCTGCCCTGGAAGATTATTGTGAAAGGTGGATAATAAACTGAAATAATAATAATTCTGTGTAATCTAAACATCATGCTGTGGTGACCAGAAGATACGTTTGCTCTGATTCTTAAGAATTTGATATTTTTTTTAAACTGCTGTTTCTTCTGCTTTCACATTTGTGCTGTTCAAAAGGCATTACCAAAAGGTCCAAAAGCACATTGGAAACTCATTTTACCCAACGGGAACACTTTAACATTAATTTATTTGCCCCTGGGTCATGTTGGCCCTTCAAGGAACCTGTGTGTGTGGCATAATAATTCTAGGGAAACTTTTTATAGGGTGCACACTCTTAAAAGGGCCTGCTTTTTTTAAAAAAAAAAGTTTGTGCAGGGTAGTCAGTGCAGCCTGTCTCTTTAAGAGACCGGCCTTGCCTCTATGAGAAACTCTTCTCACCCTTTTTGGGTTTGGTTACCTCCATAGCTCATTAGGAACCCAGTGTAACCTTAACCTTGTCTGTGGAGCGGTTGAGTTGCTGTTCTGCTGCTCATGAATAAATGCAAGTAATGAAATGGAGATCTCCTGCTGCTTCCCTGGTATTAGGGCTGACTTGTGGCATGGTTCCCCAGTGAGTACCCTTACCAAACCCACAGGATGCTACGTGGTGTTAGAAGTGGATTACGGGTTGAATAGAGCCACCTGTTTTAATACGGTGTGTGCCTGGAAATAGGCCAAGCCCCTCAAAGCCATCTGGAAATGATCCTCTGTGGATGCCACAAGTTACTCTTTACACCCTCCTGAAGTGGTTCTGGGCAATACAAACTGGTCTACCCAGCAGGGCTGGTTCACATGTGCGCACAGATCAGCAAATAATAATGTTGGATATATATCTGAGTGTGTGTGTGCTTCTTGCCCCCCCCCCCCATGCGTAAGTACAGTTAATTCTGATCAGGAATTAGCGCCTAGAGCATTCTAAATTCAATACAGTTGTGAGATTGGCATAATCCCCATTACTGCTTGTTCGCAATTAATCAGGGTGGGGGAGGATCTGAGACACAGACATCTTCAGAACACCAAAACCCTCAAGATCTCCACATACCTAGCACCCAAACCTTCATCATTGCACCCAAGTGCCCTTTGAACCCTTTAGCGCTGAATTGGAACAAACGGCAATCGGGTTTTCTGTCGATTGCTGTTTGTTCCAATTTAGCACTAAAGAGCGGGTTTTCTGGGAGGAAGTGGCTCGGATCCATGCCTAGAAAACACGGCACAAGCAGGAAACTGCTCACACCTATGCTTTCTAGGCATGGGGCAAGTATGGATGAGGCCAAACGTAGCGATGTCTCTCATCAGCAGGGCAACCATGATTATGGTTTGCCTTTTTGTGTTAAAGCTTTAAAGAGCAATTACCATTAATGGGCCCTAGGTATAAATTGACTGGGCGAGTGATGTATCTCAGTCTCGTATCTTTAGGCTGCTAAGAAAATAAGGATGGAAGAAAGTCTCAGGCAGAAGGCAAAAATAAGGGGGAGAAACTGATAAGTAGTGAGGGGAGACTTAGAGATCTCAGGGAAGTTGGAGTTGTGAGGATTCTTTTATATTTTATCTACTACATTTATTTGTATTCTACCTTTCCTCCAAGTTCAAGGCAGTGTACATGGTTCACCCTCATTTTATCCTTACAGCAACCCCATGAGGGAGGTTAGACTGAGAGATAGTGACTGGTCCCAAGTTTACTAAGTGAGTTTCATGGCTTTGAACCCAGGTTTTCCCGAGCCCAGCCCAACGCTCTAACCACTACACCCTAGCAGTCTGTGTGTTTGCACCTCAACCATAATCTCAGTAATCTTCCACAAGTTTGTGGATGCCTGAACACCATGGATAAGATGGTTTCCTTTCATGCCATCTATCCTTTAAAATATGGTATATTTGAGGGCTAGAAACCATGTTTGTTTGTTTGTTTGTTTGAAAAGGAACCCAAGAGTCTTAACAGCTACAAATTCTCCACGATGTAGATTCAGGTGATACTGGATTTTTACCATCTGCCATGGAACCCAGTCCCTGTCGCTCCCTCTCTCCTTTATTCCTTAACCTCTTTCCACTTTAGAGAGTGTAACACTCCCATCTTCTCTCAAAGCTTGCTTTTTTGCCCTTAGATCTGCGTTCCGCTTGTCACCTGGTTCGCTGATGCTACAACTTGACAGTCGTCTCTTCCCATCAACCCAAGCCAACACATGAATTTTCAGCACACAGAGTACACCAAGGAAAACGAGTTCTCTCTCCAACTCCCACCCCAATCTTTCCTGGAGAAATTCACTTAGATGCAAAGCCGAACGGACAGCCTGGCAACGATGCCTCAGTGGCTCGTTCGTGGTAAGGCTTGGACAGTGTATCCTGAAATTATAAGAACATGGAGAGCCTTTTCAGATCACAGGAGAGGGAAAGTTCTTTTTCTTTCTTTTTAAAGCACATTTGCCCCAGCTGAGCAGCATTAGCACAATATCCAGTTCGCAAACAGTGTGCGTGTGTGGGGAATCGATAGCCTTGCTCAGAGTGGGTTGGTTATGCTTCAAGGTAACTGCAATCTGTTCATTGGTCAGTGTTGATTTTAAACACAGGAAGTAAACACTTATGCTGGAGAATGGAAGCATGCAGCCTAGAGCCAGGGCTGCCATCAAGGGTTGGCATCGTCTGGCAGCTGCCAAGGCCCATGCCTCCACAGAGGGCCCTGCAGTGCTGCTGTTCCCCCTTTCCATGGCCACCCGTTTACTCACACTATCCCTGTGGCCTAGTGGGATCATGCAACCGAGCAATAAATATGAGAAGGGGCAGTCCCTGCCATTGCCTGTTCACTCATCCGCCCTTTCCTTCTGGGCGGTGGTGGGGATTGGGGCCAGAGGTAAAGGGAGACTAAATGAGTGATGTCAGCAAGGTGGAAGGAGTCCAACTGAGAGCATCTCGCACCAATATGTAATATCCATCCTATCTAGAGAACCTGTGGCGCTTCAGATTCTGCTGAAGTCCCACTATCTCCGATGGGAGTCCATCAACTTCTGGAAGGTCGCATCCCTAGCCTAGAGCTAAACTTTTAAAAGAATTTGTAAAAGGCAGTTGCTTTGGTAAGAATATTTTGATAGGTGTACCCTTCCTCCTTTTATTTTTTAAAAAATGAGGTCATGAGTGTACCCCCAGCTGTATGGGAAGCTGAGCCTCCCAAGACAAGAAGGTCTGCAAACTTTAATCAACAGGTCAATCGGCTGAAACTTCTAACAGCCAGTTTTAACCAGGCAGGACGGTTTTTAACAGCTGTGCCTGAGAGTTGGAATTGCACAGTTGTAATGGTGACTGGTGTTCACTGGGAGTGCTTGGGTAGAAGGCAGGGAGACCAACAGCAGGTGGAGCCAGAGCCAAGCCAGGCAGAGCCCCCCCCCCCCCCGGTTGTAAGGCAGAAGGCAGGCAGGTGTTTGCGGAGGGTATACTGAGGCAGGTGAGGCAGTGCCCCACCCTCCCTGATGGGCCAGCCTCCGTTGCACAGCTGTTGTTGTTTAAGGCACTTGCTTCTGGTGTATTGCCATAATAAGATTGTGGTACAGAACTTCTTGAACTCTCAGCTTCAAGGGAGACTGCCAACAGCTCAACAGCTCTCTGCATGGTCTTTGCCAGGGCTGAAAGAAAGCTTTGCCCAGAATCAAACAGTGGTGCATTTACAAAGTCAAATCTGGAATTTCAAGTTGTAAGAAGTATGTATTATTATTATTACTAATTATTATTATTACTTTCTATATTAATGCCACTCCCCTTATTTATAGGTTTTGCCAAATTCTCCATAACATTTATATCAACGACCTAAGATTTAAGGGAGTCTTGTTGAGCACAAATGCCCTGAGTTCAGGATATGATCCAGTTGCTCTTTGTGTTCCCCTAGTACCTCTTCTCCACACAGTGCTCTGAAGGTGGGCATTTTCTACTCCCACCTTTTCTCCACAAGCAGAGAACTGCACCTGAGGAAGAGCTGCCAGCTGGACTGAGTCCTTGGCATTTAATATTTTCCATGCATTCTTTAATACGTCACCTCTAACAACAGGAAGAACTGGGAAACGTTAACTATTTTTTTAAAGGTGAGAGTAGGATAATTTTACCTTTTTGGCAGGAAAAAATCATGTTTTGAGAAGGTTGCCTCTAAATTCATTTTGGGGGCTTCCAGATTGTCACTATATTCTGGTGGGATTTAATTGCGTACCGGCAAATCCAGGGTGCACAATTATAGTTGATTGGGAGAGCCTGTGCAACATTCCCGCTTTCCCAAAGGATCTGCTTTTTTTGCAGTAAGGAAAGTGACGGGGAAACACACAGGAAAGTGTGGCATGGCACTTGCTTTGATGCCACTTTGCCTAAACTTCCCACAGACAAATCAGAATTAATACTCATTAAATAGGGATGGGTGCCCAATAAGCAGTTTGTCTGGAAGTACCCTCACTTTTGAAAGCACTGAGCTTTGTGGCTGCTGGCAGGGCCCTTGACAGAAATTAATTATGGACCCAGAATTTTTAACCCAGAATGACTGGTTAAAAATTGCCCTGTATTTCAGGGTACCTGTCCATAATTCCTTGGGATTTCTAGGCTGATCCTGTGTGTGGCTTTTTGCCACCGTGTAAGAGTCGTAGGGCCAGTTGGGGACAGGGTGCTTTTAATTTTTGTACTTGGAGGTTGTACGAAGAAGAAAAAGAAAGAAACTCAGTTTTACAAGGGAAGGATTGGGATTTTTGCTCAGCGTGGCACATCACTCAAGGGGGGAACTGAGACGAGAATCTAACGCTTGACCGCATGGCGTAGATTTAAAGGAGTCCAAGACACGGCCCCTCCATTGAGCTATAAATAGCCATTTATAAAAACCGGGTTTAAAATACAGCCCTTTATCCTCCCTCCCCTCGTAATTTCTCAGTTCATTAGCACAGCTGTCCCCTCATTCACAAGCAGAGCCCTTTCCTCATAGCCCCCCCCCCCCGCCAATCTAAAACAAAACAAGCACTAGAGGTTCTATTTACAAGTCACAAAACAGGGAAGGGAGAAAACAGAGTCCAGAGGATGGAGAAAGAGGGCAGGCATGTAGGAGGGAGAAGGTCGGTTCTTTCTGCCCCCTAGGGGTGGGTGGAGGTATATGTATGTTTGTTTGTTTGTGTGAGAGATAGAGTGTGTGTGTGTGTGTGTGTGTGTGTGTGTGTGTGTGTGTGATTGTGTTTGTTGGCAGAATGAGAGAAAGAGAGACTTTGGGATTCTCTCCCGTACGGTTTTTAGGAAGCGTTGCTGCTGCTGCTGCGGCTTTTCATGCAGTATTCCCAGGGCTTTTTGGGCAAGCCAGGGATGGACAAAAGGATAAAACAGCCTCCGCCAAAGATCAGGATAGCCCCAGCTGCCACTGCACAAGCCACGGACCAGGAATACTCGTACTCCAGTGGGATGGTCTCATCAGAGGTGATAAGCCACCGAACCGAGTGCCGGAAAACCTCCAGACATACGAGCACCATAATGCCTAGAGAGGGAGAGAGAATAAGTGAGAAGGCAGTCCTGGGAGTTTCGATGACCTCCCTGCCCCATCCCTGGCGTCCTCCCCAAATTCTAGTTGTGAACGAAGACCGCAAACAAAGGACTATGGGAAGCTTCCTGGATAGACATTTGGCTTAGAGTTAACTGGACCACATGAAGGTACATTGTGTTGTGTTTTCTTTTAACTGTCACCAGTGGCTCACTTAACTCTGGGTCATAGCTGTCAATGTTTCCCTTTTTTAAAGGGAAATTCCCTTACTCCGAATAGGATTCCTTGCAAGAAAAGGGAAAAGTTGACAGCTATGCTCTGGGTGCTTGGCCCATCTAATCCAGCATCCTGTTTTCACAGTGGCCAAGCAAGTGCCTGGAGGAAACCCGCAAGCAGGCCTGAGTACAGGAGCATTTTCCTTGCAACCTGCCATGGCTTCTAGCAACTAGTATTCCGATGCCTCACTGCCTTCAACCATTGTGGCAGAGCATAGCCATCCTGCTTAGTAAGCTTAGGTTTTCACAATTAAAGTAGTCTTGAAGTTCTTTTGCAACAAACCCGCTTCTGTCTTCTCCCCCTTTACTTTTGGTGGTAAGGAAAGCGACGGGAAAGTAAAGTGTGGGGTAACCATTGCTCAATGCAGACCTCTGCACGAACAAAAAAGAACGATCCAAACCAGACAGCATTGTGTAACCTCCCTGCTGAAAAAATACCCTATCTTTATTGTTGCATCCGATGCCCAGTGCCCAGCAAACAAAATAGGAAGCAGATAAAAAATGCAACAGAGTGAAAGAGAATAAAATAGATTAAAAAATGTCACAGAGTAAAATGAGATGGGCATCAACGACTTAAAAAAGGTTGTGTAACCTCTCTGCTAATTTTGTGCAAGCAAACTAGGTAAAGGGTAAAGGGACCCCTGACCATTAGGTCTAGTCGTGACCGACTCTGGGGTTGCGCGCTCATCTCACTCTATAGGCTGAGGGAGCCGGCGTTTGTCCCCAGACAGCTTCCGGGTCCTGCGGCCAGCATGACTAAGCTGCTTCTGGCGAACCAGAGCAGCGCACGGAAACGCCGTTTACCTTCCCGCCGGAACGGTACCTATTTATCTACTTGCACTTTGACGTGCTTTCGAACTGCTAGGTTGGCAGGAGCAGGGACCGAGCAACGGGATCTCACCCCGTCGTGGGGATTCGAACCACCGACCTTCTGATCAGCAAGTCCTAGGCTCTGTGGTTTAACCCACAGCGCCACCCGCATCCCCTAAGCAAACTAGGACAGATGCCCAATAAAGAGGTTGCCTGGAAATGACATTTGTTTTTCAGGAACGCAGTGGCTGGGGCAGCAGGCCTGAACAAGGGAAGGAGGGTTTGCAGGGTGGGCTGCCTTACCTGATATGATAAAGAAGCAAGATGCTGGCTTCAGGAGAAATTCAACCCCTTTGCTCAGAGCCACCGTGATGCAGAGGGACCCCATGGCCATTAGGGTGATGCTGACGAGGGACACAATGGCCGCCGTGATGTTCAGTTCTACACAGCGGTGCCAACCAAGCAAGCAGGGCGGTGGAGGGAGATAAAGCAGACATTTGTAGACGCAAAGAGTGACGGATTCACAATTACCCACTTGACCTGCTTCCTCTGTGTGTGTGGCACAGAAGGGAATGCTCAGCCTCTGTGGCATTACAGGGACACACAGTGACACAATCATGTGCTATGTGATAAACGGCCACGGCTGAGGTGTGGTGTTGAGTGAGGCCCGATAAGAATGGAAGTGTAGGAGATGGGACAGGGCAGCTGGAGAGCGGCTTGGTAAACCAGCCTGAAGGGACCTTGGGCTGCAGACGGGGAGGAATGCCAGAGAGAGATTCAGCTAACTGCAGGTTATTTTATGTTTTCGAAGGGAGAGCCGCCCGCCACTGCTTGTCTGTCCCAGCATGCCTCTGTGTAATCTGAGATCCTCTGAACAAGGCACGGGCCTTAACCTAAATAGCCTGCTTAAGGTTAAGATTCTTAACAGTTTTTAAAAGCTTTAGACAGCAGCACGCCACCCCACTCCTGTTAAACTAGGGCAGGAGTGATGGATTGACTAAACCAAAAACATGAGCAGATCTTTTTAATTTTCTAAAAGTTATTTTGCCTGCAGGTGCTGGGCAAAATCCCTCCTGGTTCCCTCCCACTCTTCTAACTGTGGTGATGTTTGCTATATGACACATGCTCCAAAAACAAAAGGAAGGGCGCCTGTTGCTTCAGAGCTCTTGCTTTTAATAAAAACAAAAATGTATGCGTTTCCAAATGATTGCTCAGTGGATTCAATCACGAAAACGCGTGGGACACTGACTGCGATTTCCTTAATCGGGTGGCAGTCCGAGCACTAACCCCCGTTTTCTCCTCGAGTTTCAGTTTGTAGAACAGCCTGCCTGAGGGAGGAGCTCTGTGAAACTCAAAAGCCTGCACAATGCACTGTGTGTGATGGCAGAGACTCTTGCTCTTAATGAGTGGGCCTTCCCTGTACATGTATTGCGTAGGGTGTGTGTGGTGGAAAAGACTAAAGAGGTGCAGAGGGTCATATCTCTGTGTGAACTGAAGCGTTCCTTTGCCCTGTCACTTTTATTATTTACTTATCCTACCCCTCATGCCCAAAGTCTGTAAAACAGATGAGCATAAAATGGCGGGCAATTCAGTTACCGTATCTTTCCGTCTATAAGACGCCCCCATGTATAAGACGGCCCCTATTTTGGGGGACTCAGATTTAAGAAAATGGGGGGAGATGGCCCAGAGTATAAGACGCCCACTAATTTTTGACATTATTTTTTAGGGGGGAAACCTAGTCTTATACACGGAAAAATACGGTAATTCCAAATCCGTCTCTCCTGTTGCTTTTCCCCCAGCCAGGTGGCACCTGCTTGGAGGAAAGTACCTTGGATGGTGAGGAGATACAAATGCCTATGTGTAGCAGAGGCCTCCCCCCAACCCTTTGTCTCTTTAAATATTGTTTGTTAACTGCTCAGATAAAGCTGTTGTTGTTGTTGTTGTTGTTATTCTCATCTAGGATTCCTTTAAGAGTATTGGCTGCCCCAGCATTGAAGAATTCTGTTTAGAAGCAACATAAAGGGCCATGTCATATATCGTTTTAATTGTGTTTTATTGATAGTTTATTTAAGTTTGTAAACCACTCTGAGCTCTTGGGCAGAATGGTGGGATAATAACGTAATAAACACGGGCGTTTTTAATTTGTTCCTGCTGGGATTTTGCACAACGGGCCAACAAGGCTCCCTGCTTTCGATGGGTTGATGGACTCACCTTTTTTAGTAGTCCTCTGGAAGATGTGAGCATTCTCCCCAGTAGTGAAGAATTTGAAATAAGAACAGTTGGCTTCTGAAAGGAAGGCAGGAAAAGGGCATTGAAAAAATAAGAGCAGAAGGCGAAGGAGGGAAAATAAATGGAAGCTATTGTAAATTCTCATCACACACTTTGTGCCAAATATATACGGTGTAGAATTTTTTAAAAATATGCTTTGTTGGTGGTATAGTTTTCTGGTTTTGTGCAAATCTGATGGATCGAAAGAAATAGAAAAGAAGTGAATGCACCAAGAAAGTAGTGGTTATGGGAAGGGGAGTAGCAGAAAGTGTCAATTGATTCACCCACCCCAAAACACAGAAACAAATAGTATGTGACCCTGAGTGGAGCACTTTGGAGCCCAGTTTTACCCAATTTGTCAGATTATCCCTGTATCAGATACACCCTAATTTACAAGGGGGAAGCATAAAAACTGGTGTTACATAAATTAAATGGAATTGCAAAAAGCTGCAAGCACATAGTAAAATCTGGTGTGGTCCGGTCTGGAGCGACATAGGTAGTGGAGAACACAAGAATGCAAATTCACTGCTCTAAGATGCCGCTAGCTAGGATGCTTAAGTAAAATGCAAATATATATGCCTGCTTTCTCTCTATCCTGCTTAACACAAGACCTAAATGCGCTGTGGGTCCGGTCTCCTAGAGCAGAGTTCCCCAACCTGTGGGTTGTTGCAAAGCCTTTGCAAGTGGGTCACAGGCTTTATAAGTAAACCCCAAATAATTACTGCTTCTAATACGATGAGTACCTCTTTCAACTTTTTGTTTCGTTGGCATATTATAACACTGTGTTGACACTTGTAACCGAGCATCAGAAAGGCTCGAGTCTTATATCTTGACACCTGGGAGCTGCTCTCTGCCGGCTGGTGGCAGATCCGGTGACAGTTCACCATAAGATGCTCGTAGAGGGAGTTGTTTTGAGTGACTATTACAGCTCACCTCGGCTGCGCAGGCTCTTCGGCCCCTGTCAACAAATTCTGCATTGACAGGGGAGTTACATAAATTTTTTGCTTGGATGCCTCAAGGAATTGTTATAAAATAGGCAAACTTGCAGTGAAACTTGCTCGAAACCAGTGGCTGCTGAAGACATAAGGAGTAAAATCCATGTGACAATAAATTGATAGGCCAGCATACCATGTAAATTATTATTATTATATACATGTGGAGCTCATCACTAAAATATAATATGTGAGCGGAAAATAGCTCAGTTTGTTTAACCACAAATGTTGTGACAGTCCCTTTTTCCTACAGTTGTACACATTATAGACTAGTTGGCATCTGCCTGTCTCAGGAGACAATGGAAGAGTGTGCCTTTGGGGGTGGAGTCGAACTGTTGGGAGGTTATTATAGACTACACATGCTAATATATGCAGTGCATCTGCTAATTTTGCAACATACAACATTGGCTCTGGGATAGCTCAGTTGGTAGAGCATGATGTGCATCTTGATCTCAGGCTCGTGAGTTTGAGCCCCTTGTTAGGCAGAAAATTCCTGCATTGCAGGGGGTTGGACTAGATGTCCCTCATGGTCCCTTCCAACTCTACAGTTCTATGATTCTATAACCTTGCTGCAAACAAGTCAGAATGAATGCTCAAGAAAGAACAGGCATAATAAGATTTGTGCAAGCAAAACAGGATGAGCAGGTCATCTGGAGAAGCCTTTAAAAGCAAAAAGCAGAGAGCACATCATGATTTCTTAAAATGCTACACAGTTCTGTGGTAACTTAGAAACGGATAGATGCCTAGATTTTCCAAATTCCCACCATATTTGCTGGTGGATATAGATTTTAAGCATCATATAGGGATATTGTTGAGAAACTCGGGAGTTAAGGTAATGACTTTGCAATTAGCCAGTCTTACGTACACACACTTTGCTCAGGAAGGAGACAATTTCTAGAACATGGCAACCGAAGCAGAGGTTTTGGGGGCAAAGAAAGATTCCTTGCCTCTCAGGCCTCAGGGATTGTCCTTTCCGAGATTTTACATTGCCTGGTGGAGTGGATTTAATTGTGTCCCCAGAGAGAGAAGAGCTAGCAATTACTACAGCCTTTGCAGCTGGACAAATTCCAGGTAGCCCCAGGGTATGGGGAGCAAGTGCACCATGTGGTTGAGTGAGAGAGAATGTGCATGCATGCATGTGTGAGACATTTACAGGAATTATAATTGTGCTCACAAAAATGCTCATTGTTAAGTCTACTGGCTCCCTGGTTCTCCCCAGCAACAGCTGCCTCTAGGTTTTTGACCAGTAGGGTTATATTCAAAGGAAGGCAGCGAAAGAGAGGAAGGTTATGGTCTGGCACAACATCACATGTAGTTGCGAGATGTATACACAATATATTATTAGTGTGGCAGGGCCCTGATATGTTTAACAAGTGTGTAGAGGAGGATGTGGCCCATAGTGTTCTGACAAGGCCCACTATTGGTACAAGTGCCTCCCCTAGTTGCCTTGCACCTGCCAGTGGCAGGCGGCCATTTTATATTCTCAGAGCAATCTCAATGCAGTGTCGCTTTGGGGCACTCTGAGAAATTAAAATGACTGCCTGCCACAGTCACCACCAGCTAAGCACACCACTGGGGTTCTATCAATGTAGAAGGAGCCCCAAAAGAGGGCAATTTGCCAAGGGCTCCCTCAAATGTGGTGCTGGTCCTGGACAACATAGACTATGACAAAATGAAAGAACGGCATCTCTGAGCAAATGCTTGGTCCAGGAAAATTTATTTGGAATGTACAAAAACAACACTGAATTAGAGAATACAGTATACTTTCAGATCTCTCCTCAACTCCGCCCCCGGGCTAACTAGACTAAATTGAATTTGGTTCAGAATTGCACTCAGGCCCAAAATTCATTTTCCGATGTCACTTCTAATTATTAAATGGTGAGTTATCTCACCCCGAAAAGCAGTGATGTCTTATCTAACTGTCCTCTAGAACTGGGGATAGTTCAAGGCACACACCGTATTATATTAAAATTATATAAGGGGAAAGGAAGAATGGAGATTAGTGATGGCAAACAATCTGAATTGGTCGCTGAGTTTCAAGCACTACAGTTGTCCTTGGGAAAATAAATTTCCCAGCAGCTATTTGCATAGCAGAACACCAGGCAGCAGAGGAAAAAGGGGAAACCCATCCTCCTTCGCTTGCTGCCTTCGCTGGAGCCACCATTACCACCAAATAAATAGATTGGAGAAAAGGGTACGTTTGTATACCACCCTCTGGAAATGACCATCAAAGTAGGATCGGACCCACTGCAAAGCAGTGCCACACAGTCATAACTCAGACAGCTGCTCCAGAAGGATACCATGGTTGAGAAAAGCTGCTGAGAGGCAGAGGAGAATTAACAGGGACGCATTTCCCTGTCTCTCTCCCAATAGAAATTTGCACCCCGACATTGAACAGCCATGGAAAGACTTTACAATTTGATTTGTTGATTATGTTAAGTTGTGGGTGGACATATCAGACGACACAGCGATTCTTCAAACAGCTCTTGTTTATTCACAGGCCAGGACAGAACTGAACTGAACTGAAGGGTTCAGCCAGCCTGCTTATATAGAGCTCCACTACAACGCAACAATAACCACTTTCTGTAACTATTCAATCACTGAACGTCACTTTCAATCCCTTATTTGCATATGCGGACCTGAGTGAAAACTATCCACAGTATCCCCCTGCTGGCCCAGGGTGAGAACTTCAGTACATAACAGATTATATAAACTGGCTCACACAGTTTGAGCATATGGATGGCGGTGCGGGGGGGGGATATTAGCCCCACTTCCTTTCCTCAGACACCAATTTTGTGTGTAAACCTTTGTCATTGAGCCAAGAGCAATGCTGAGGTAGTCTGCTGAAATATAATGCTTTGCCCAAGACAACTCCATCAATGACTTTTTTTTAAAAAAAAACCTATTACATGCCAGCAAACTTGCATATGATTGCCATGTGTACACTTTCCAGACATGTCTTCCAGTGGTTAGTTACTCAGAGTCGGGCCTAGCTCAGCAAAACACAGGGATGGCTCTGGTTACAGGGAGATAAGCCAGGAGTATTAGCCAAGTAATTGGCTCCAATCCCTGTTTTCCGGGCTGCGCTCCAAGCTGTGGCCCACCAGCCCAAGCCGATGATTGAGTTACAGCACAGTCACTCAACCCTGTCAAGCTAAGAAAGAAACCAATCGCTCCTGGACCCAACCGTGGGAGACAGCTGAATATAGGGGCCCTGGCTCTCGGCCTTCCCATTATGTCACACCAATCCCCAGTTCCTTCCCACAGCAACCAAAAAAGGTTGCTGCAACTCCCTTGATTTCACTTTCTTCTCCTGGACAATCCGGGAGTCCTGGCTTTCAGCCAGATGTAAGCCATCAAGCTACACCCTATTCCAGTGAGGCCTGGTTGTCCATTTTGCTAATCCATGATTGATTTGCTTGATGTATTTTTAATCCCATCCTTCCTTGAATGAACTCAGGGCCAAGAGCCAGGTGTGCAAATGTGTCTGTGTGTCCCTTTCATCCTCACAACAAACCCGGGAAGCAGGTTGGGGCTCAGGGTCCATCCGCACTTAAATTTCCTCCACGTTTTTTTACACCATGGCCCACACTTTAAAGCTCCGTGAGCAACCACGCTTTGTTTCGCTCCAGAGTTTTCCCTGCGAAAACTTCCTATTTACTGAAAAATGGCAATCCGCAGAAAACGCAAATTTGCTTTAAAGAGACTGTTTTCAGCGTCACTGAATAAGCTTTGTGGCTAAGGACTGGGCTTGAACCCAGGTCTCTCTAGATCCGTGGTTGCCAAATTTAACCTCCTCCCATGAGCCACTTGAAAATTGCTGAGGGCCCAGGGCGGGGGGGGGGGAGGGGGAGAACCACTTAATTATTTTTTTTCTGCCCGTTGCAGCAATTGCAGTTCCATATAATTCAAATTGTAACACAATATAAGAAATGAAAGAAACAATAAATATACAACTGAAAATCAATATGAATATTTAATGTGATGGATGTGCCGTCTCCCATATCCATCCACAAACCCACAGACACACCACAGACCACCTGAATGAGTCTTGTGGACCACTGGTGGTTCATGACTACAGTTTGGGAACCACTGCTTTGAATGTAAATCTAACACTCAAAATCATTACACCTCACAGGTGTAGCAGTTGCGACACACAATGGTGCCTTCTTACTAGCTGACTCCTTGTTCATATACTCCTTATAATCCTTTTTTAACCTTGTGACTCCTCCTGTTTGCTTTATGAGGATAGAGGAGTTCTACCAATTTTGAAAATTAAAAAGGAAACAAGAAAGCAGCCTTAGTGCAGGCATTTTTCTGAGGTCAGAATCGATCGTCTGGAGTTGCCACAGAAGCCTCATGCTGATTTCTTACCCTCAGTCAGACATGCTCCAGGCACCCATCCCCATTATGGTAATAATTATAATTAATAACAAACACTCTCGTTAAAATATGTTGGACTTTAGTTTTATTAATAGCATGCATATACTACTGAACAGAAAAAATATATCTTTAATCATGCCCCAGATTCTTCCACCTGAGGCAGGTCGCGCACCACCTTGCCCAGTCAATACAACCTAAGGCAGCTTCCTGTGCCTATTCATGGTCTAAGGGGGACTGTGGAGTAAAGCAGGCTTGGAAGGTGGTTAGGTCTGGGTACCCACCATTTAAATTTCCCACAATGCCCCAGAGTGGTGCTTGGTGGTGGTGGTGGGATTGTGAGGAATTAAAATGGCAGCTGCAAACCTGTTGCTGCCTGTCACCTCCTGCTGCTTCAGGAACCTGGAGTCTGGGGAGGGGGCAAATGCAGCCCCCCCCCCAGCTTCTCTGTCTGGCCCTTGGGAGTCTCCTCACACTGCACCACACTCCTCTTATTCAGCCCTTTTCAGGCATTCATTTGTGTAGCATAAATGCCCATGGATAGCAGGCACGTGGCCACAGGCTCCCAACCTATGCATATTTGTAAGAATGTAAGGATATTTTAATGATTGTGTTTTGGTCAGCATAAGAGCCTGCCACTCCTCCATGGGTATTTATTCTATGCAAATGAACAACTCTCTTTATTTGGAAGTCTTATTGACAGCCTTCCCTTAGGACTTTGGAGGTTTTTGTTTGTGCCCCGTATTATTTGTTCATGTGCTTTAGATGCTAAGTTCCAGTATTCAAAACATGTGAACAGTACCTTTTTGTCTGCAGCTGAAGAAGATATGAATGATCCTTCATGATTACATCTCAAACACAATGAAGTGAAATCTCGTACAGGTGATGGTGAAGGCCAGAGTCAAAATAATGTGGAGCAGTTTTTACTGGAGAGATTTGACTTCTAACTGGAATTTGAACCTGCTTCGCTTGGATATTACTGCTTTGAAGCCCGTTTATACTTCAGTTTTTCCACTCACTTGGTAAGTTTAATTTTGCTTCAAGTGCATGTTTTCTTATGGATCTTTAATAGCATAGTAAATGTGTGTTTAATGACCCTACTTTGAGTACAATACTCAGGTTTGGGGTTGCATTGCCTATTCTTATGGGGACTTTGTTGGGTCACATATAAATAGATGTTGCTGAATTTCTCAGCTCTCAGTTATTTTATGATCAATGTTTTTTGTTACATTTCTATTCCACATTCACCGAACACAACACAGTACAGCATACATGTGGTTCCCAGGCAGTCTGTCATCCAAGCACAGACTAGACCCAGACCTGCTTAGCTTCAGCAAGGTGACGGCATCATGTGCCTCCAGACCATACAATTCTGGAAAGACTTTTACACATTAACAGTGCAGCAAACAAGTGATAGCTATGTATGTGTGAATTGGTCCTGGAATGCAGTTTTGAATAGGCAGCAGTAAAAATAAGAGCTGGTGTCGCCTCTCTCTGCTTGTCAGTAGATTAGAGTTGATTCCAAAATATGTGATATTCTGTCTTTAAGATTAATTCTGCCCGTAGCTGTCAACTTTTCCCTTTTTTAAAGGGAATTCCCTTATTCCGAATAGGATTGCTCGCAAGAAAAGGGAAAAGTTGACAGCTATGATCCTGCCTATGAGAGTAATGGGTTTTATTTTATTCTACGTGTGCTCAGCCCTTTATTTTTATTGTGCCAGCCTGATGTGTATTTTTGCTGCTGCTGTTAGCCCAATTAAAAACAAAACAAAAAACGAAACAAAGATTCGTGATGTTGCAGTTAAGAGTGTCAGACTAGAATGGGGGAAACTGAGGTTCACCCCCCACCTCACCCGCCATAACCTCACTAGTGACCTTGGGCCAGTAGTTGTCTTAGCCTAACCTACCTACCTATGTTGTGGTGATAAAATTTATATGTGAAAGACAACTGTGTATGCTGCCTTGAGCTTATTGGAGGAAGGCAGAATATAAAAATAATAAATAAATGAAGTTCTATTTCCCTGAGTTTTTAAAATAACCTTTTATGTTTGTATTGCTGCTTTTAATTGGTGCCCTGCTGCTGCTATGTTTATTATATATCCGTTTTTGGCCCTTGCCGCTAATTTACTCACCTTATGTTGATTAGCTTTGCCACCAGCTGCTTCCCAAATAAGTACTTGTTAGATAATTAATGCTGAAGCATGCTTTAAAAATCCTCAGACTTTTGAGAGGTTTTTGTTATTCTAACCCTCATTCTTCTTCAGATATTGCTCAACTTGAAAAAGAGAATGGGAGGGTCATGGCTGTCAAAGGTCATTCATATAGCTGGATATCAGACAAATCTAATTCTTCAGAAATCCAGTAAAGCGTTGCAGCTCTAGGACTGGAGTTCACCAGACACCAAATGTGAATTTCATTTATGGAGTGACAGAACCTAGGCCATATCACCTTTGTTTAAATCATCTCTCAGAAACTTCTATCAATGACAAGGAGCCCCAGTGATTCTGCAATAAAGTCTTCTCTTTGGAAATAATAGCTCTCTGCCTCTTCTGCTCTGTCTCTCTGCTTCGACAATATGCTTTCTTACAGGTTTCCTATCTGAACTTTCTCCAGACTTCAAAAAAACATTTCAAATCTTGTAGAGTTTCTCCTCTTCCTATATCCTTTCAACTCTACCACCTCACCCTTCATCTTCAGCAAGCTCTGTTTTCAATGGCTGCTGTAGGCCATAACTATGGTCTTCATTAGAACCTACACAATGGGGAAAGGAGCGGGTTCTTTAGCTCATTTTGTATTCTGCTGCTGGCATTACATCTTAGGATAAGAAAATACATAACATGAAAGCAGAGTATGAGATGTGTGCTTCCTAACATGCTTCTGGTGTCTCATATGAGAAGTGACTATAGATCAGTGACAGAGCATCCCACGTTTTATCCCTGGCAGTGCTGGGTGAGAAAGGATACTGGGATGAGGAAAAATCTCTTGCTTCAGACCCTAGAGAGCTACTGCCAGTCAAACTAGATCCTAGTGCTGCTGCTCAGTTAGATGGAACACTGGTTAATCTAGCAGCATTACTGGTTTATATGGGAGGATGTTCATACATTCCCTATGCTGAGAAGCATATTCTTGGGCTATAGGAACCTGTGGTCCTCCAGATGGTGTTGGACCCCCTCCCATCAGCCCCGGCCAGCATAGCCACTGGTCAGAGATGATGGGAGTTGTAGTGCAGCAACAGCTGTACCCATCCCTGTACTACAGGAACAGCTTGTGAATCTTGTCTATGGGGAGTTGGTCCAAGCTCCTCGTGGCATGAGACACTGGGGATACACATCACTCACACATTTTCCTTCGTGCTTTCACGCCGCGCATGAAGAAACTTGCAGCTCGAAGGAAAGACGAAGTCACGGCACCAACAACAATCATCCTTATTGCCCTGTTCCATAGCAAAGAATTGCCTGCTTGCTGGTCCCCACAGATTAACCAATGCAGCCCTGGTGATTCCAGTGTGCCAAAGAGAGAAAGCTGATGTAGAAAGAGGCTGGCAAACCAAATGGTGTTAGATTACTCAAGCAACTGGGTCAAGTCACAGGAGGAGGCCAGTAGCTAACTCATTCAGTCTGGAAGCAGTACTCATGTTTAGGGATGGTGGAGAAATTCAAATAGCTCACATTTTCCCTTTGAATCTGTCTAATTCACACTTTCTGCATTCATAGGAAAACCGAAACACAGCTATCCTTTGAAATTTGCAAAATGCAAAATGCAAAAAAAAGGGTAAAGGAAAGTGTACACAAAAAATAATTATATTAGGAAAGGTTTCTTTAAAATGTGTATATTAGGCAAAATACATACAAGAATGCTAGCATGATAAAGATACATGATACTGTGCACAAATTTCCATGCAGACTTAAAAAAAAACCTGATGTGGAAATGGAGCTAACTAAACTGAAATTGAGATATCCATCAATTCCTATATAAATTTAATCTTGGGGTCACAACTTCCTCCCAAACAATGACCAGGTTCCTTGCAATAGGTTAATAGCATAGGGTGCTTCCAGGTGGGTTGTAAAGCAGGTTGCTGAGGTAGTTGGTAACCAGTGGGGTTTTTTGTGTTTTGTTTTTTAATTTATCAGGTTTTCCCCATAAAGGGAGGATCCAGATTAAATTGAAGTTTGGTGGGGTGGGGAATATAGGCTGGCATTTTGGTGCACATGACATGGTTCTGCAAAAATAAAAAATAAAAATACATTTAAGAGGAGCACTGATCCCACAGCAAACACCCATTTGGAAGTACCCATAAATATACAAACAGAAACAAAGAAAGGGTTAATGGAAAGAAAACAGTTGGCTTAAAAATCATTACAATGTTATTAGAAAAAAAATCAGAAAAATAAAAACAGAGCAGACAGAAATATAAATGTGCTATTCACTTGAGCTGCATTGGTTTTCAGTGACAGGACTGAGCTCCAGAACATTTGAAGTAAGAAATGGTTAAAGTTTCCCCTGAGGAGGCACAGTGAGCATTTCTTTCATCACGAATCCTCACATGTCATGGGTTTTTCATATACAGTAACATGGTGTTTCTTTTTAGATAGTCTTGAGTCCCAGCATCTAGAAATGTTATCTCTCCTAAGTTTAATTTCTAGAAACAGAGATATCACAATGTCGAAGTCTTTCTATCTGTCTAATTAACTATCTGTCCTTTCCCTCTCTCTCCTGAGCATAATAAAGGCTCAAGATTTTTTGTTTCCGGGGTTGGGGTGGGCAGGAGCTCTCTCCCACAAACTGGGAACGGAGTACAGCCTGCACCAGGTGGTGCCTTTGATTTATGTCCTCCTAGGCAGTTGTCTGGCCTGTCTATATCATTGTGCTAAGCTTGTGCAGACAACTGGATGCAGAACCAAAGTGTATGAGAAAAGCTGTGATTAAAGCCAAGAGGGACATCCAAATCAAGCCCTTCCATCTTCTGTCTCTTTTATACAGGCGTCTAGTTTCCGTTTGATGGAGAGAGTCCGTTTCCCTGCCATGGCCGCCTGGCTAAGTCATTACCCTCCTGCTGTGAAAAACTGGTGCCTCGTTTCTAAACTGGGAATGTGTCCAGATATAACTGGCACTCTTTCATTTCCAAGGTTTTCTTTAAACCAGGGGTGCCCAAACTTTTTTCAAAGAGGGCCAGAGATTTGAAGTGAACATGCATGAGGGCGACCAACATTGTTGAGCTTTTATTTTTTAGAATTTTACCCCAGGGACATATACTGCCACAGGGACCGGATTAGATCGACTGGGCCGGATTAGGCCTCCGAAACGGGCTTTGGACATGCCTGCTTTAAACCTTCCCTGCGCCCTCCCCCCCTTTTCAGCCTTGGTCTTCAGTCTCTGGAGCTCTGTACTGAAACTGTATCACTGGACTATTTTTTGAGCTGTAGGGTGATGGCTCATTTTCATATCGGAAGGACAGGATTATAATCTGTGTGTCATTTTCAGGGAAAGCCCCAACATTGGGCATCTTTGCATTCATACACTGTAGTCGTCTTCAGGCATTTGCCTAAACAGGCAAGGGTTAAAACTGTGCAGCGGGGCATGCAAGCCTCACGCCCAATAACCCTGCGTGCATGTGCTCCTTTCAGCAGGTATCTATGTGTGTTCCGTTGAAAGAGTTTAGAAGTCTCTGCCAAATTAGGAAGCTTGACTTATAAATAAATGGTTGGTGGTTGGATGTGCAAGCCTCCCCGCCCTTTGGTTTGGGGCCCAATTCAGTTCAGATCAATGCATATCTGATGTGATTCGAACCCCAAATCTGAATTCAGAAATATGAACCTTCAGATCTCCCATTAACTTGTATTGGGAAACAAACACAGCCATATTTTTTTGTTTGTTTGCATGAAAGTTGGTGACATGGTAGCCTAATAATAATAATAATAATAATAATAATAATAATAATTTATTACTTATACCCCGCCCATCTGGCTGGGCCTCCCCAGCCACTCTGGGTGGCTTCCAACAGATATTAAAAACACAACAAAACATCAAACATTAAAAATTTCCCTAAACAGGGCTGCCTTCAGACGTCTTCTTAAAAGTCAGATAGTTGTTTATTTCCTTGACATCTGGTGGGAGGGCGTTCCACAGAGGGGATTAACCATACCAAATTTCAGACAGGTAAATCCAGGTTTTTTGTGCTAGCCATGTTAAAGATGATTCCCTCCCCCCCAAAAAATTAAAATACTGCAAGTACTTTAAAGGTAAAATGGCCAAAACCTTCTTGTTGTTTCACATAAGTGCATGCAACTTAGAGACATGGTAGGCCTTCCAGGGGTGATTATCTGTACCAAATTGCAGGTGCCTGGATCCAGGAGTTTTTTGTGTGTGTGCTAGCCACCTTTAAATTATGTCTTTTTCATTTTGATGCCCCTACAGTGCTGCTACTGCCAGTGCCTACTTCCTCCTCAAATCATCTCTTGGCAATTGGAGTAGGTTTGTTCCCACTACCAACAGACTCAGGACAAGGAAGAATCTGCATGGGCTGCTGCTGCTGCCCACCACCACAGACTCCACTAGGACAGACTAGCTTAACTGGGAAAAGGACCAATTTGGCCAGTGCTGTTGCTGCTACTGCCAGCACTGCTTGTCATCTCTGCCTCTGGTACTGGCTGGCAGCTCTGCCATCTCTGCCTCTGGCGGTGGCACCATGGTTGCTTTGTAGGTGTCTCATGCTAGTGCTAAAACTTCAATGTTTATACACTCACTGTGTGCTTGTGCACTGACTGTGTACAGTGTACTTATAAGACTTTCTGGCACACACGCTCAAGCCAAAGTACTAAGAAAGGCAGGCACAGAAAACAGAACATGGCTGCAAATAAAACGAATACCTAAGCTAAAAAAAAACTTGCACCAAAATTGTAGGCGATAGGGATACGGGAAGTGACACAGCCCGAGTCAATAGTAAGACTAAGACAACAAACTGTTTTTATTTTTAAGAGTAAGGATGGAACTGGGAATGATTGGGAAAGGACTCATAACCAACAGTTAAACAAGAAAGGTTGGGTACTGGTATGAACTGAAGGATTAACAAAATATAAACTGAACAAATGACTGAGGATGGGAGAGGGATTGATTAGGAAAGGTTGGAAAACAAACAGGTATATATACACACAAGAAAGAAAGACTGAGTAGGAAACTGAAGAATAAGCAAAATACAAGTGCAGCAAAAGCTATCAAATACTTTCTAGTGTTCAGAGAGCTTACCAATGAGTGAAAAGCAGTGAGAGCAGTTGTTAACACTTCTCTACCCCTCCCCATAAACACTGATGGGAAAAGTGTTGGCTCTCCTGCTTCCCCTTTCCCCACCCTTGCATTCTTCTTATTTGGTGTTGTTTTGAAACACTTTGGAGACAGGCTGTCTGGCTTTCTTAGAGAGTGTTTTGTGCTCTGGATTGGTCCAAAGCACTTTGTATCAATCAAACTCACTTCTGACCAATCTGGAGCTGTCTTGACTCACTTTGGTTTGACTCACTTTGGTTTGAGATTCATCTGAAGTGGTTGCACAGCTTGTATTAGTTGCTTAATGCTGCTTATTGATTTGAACTTTTTTTGCCATTTTTTTGCTGCTTAGTATTTTGTCATTTTCTGCTATTTTACTGTTTTTAATAACTGCTCTGTCTTCTTTACTGTTCCGTAACACTGTTTTTAATGGAATGTGTAAGCATAAGATAAGTAAATGTTATTTAAAATAAATTAGTGGTACAGATAAATCCATGTGTTGCCGTTGCCACGACCAAGAATCCTATCCCCTCTTCATCAAGTTGCCTTTTTATTTAAGAACAGCCAAGTGTTTTAAACCCTTTCCCTCCAAATCATTACATATCATGAAACAAAGTGTGATAGATTGTAAATTCCTTGGGGCAGAGACTTGATTTCTTACGCTTTGCAAAACATCATGAACAATGAGTATTTTGTTGATGATACTAATAACACCACCTTTTAAAATCTAATAAATGAAATAAATCAATGCCCTTTAATTATGTTCTGAACCTGTTTCTTGAAGTAGTTGCCACAACCTGGCTTATTTTAGGCATTGTTCTTGTGATGTGTAAAGCCAAACTGACCCAGCCCACCTAATTCAAAAGCACAATACTTTTTTTCACAGTTCAGAAGTGAAGGGGTGTTCATTCCCTCTGTTTTCCTTCATGGGTTCCATCTGCCTCTTAAGCATCTGAAACCAGTTATCAAGCCTTCGTTTAATCTTCTTTTCTCCAAGCTAACTATCCTGCTCCTTCCGTCTCTCTGCCTGCCTCCCATTTGTCTGGCATTCTAAGCTCTCCAATTTGTCTGCAAAATGATTGTGGATGGAGTAGTTGCTGTTGGGGGAAGAGGACCATAATGATAAGGATTAATCCATCAAAGGATTCTTTTAGCCCATTTTTGTGATAGGTTTGCACCTGGAGCTCACAATCATTTAGCCAGGAAGTGATTTAAGAGCATCTCTGCTATGATGAAATGAAGCAGAAAGGTTTGGGGTTGTGAGTGAAAAGGGCAAGCCTTCAGAAAAATGTAGGTTGGCTAGGAAAACCCTGTCAAAGGAGCACACCAAGCAAGTATTTGGTCCTGGCAAATACGTTGTTTCTAACTTTGGCCTTGGTAAGTCTGCTGACGTGAGTTTTGAGAGGACATAACTATTGATAGCAGGCAAACTTTAGCCCAGGGCAATGGGTCGTTTGCCAAGATTGCTTCTCTACTGAGCCATTGTCTGCCAGTTCACACATGCGTCTTAATTTTTCATCAGGTAATTACTTAACACACTTCAGCAGCCAACCTGGTTGGCTCATGTGCCTCTAACAACAGTTTCACATGCAAAAACCATCAGGTGAAACTTTGCACGCACAGGGATAAACGTGGTCACCTGCACAACAAATCCTGAACCACAAAGCTGCTGTAAAAAGTTGGCAACCTCAGAAGCATGAGGTGGTATGAAATTTCAGCCAGCGGTGCTGAAGGTCCATTCACACATGTACATTGTAAGACACACGCAAGGCTTGAGGGGTTGACTTTGATTTGGAAAGTGGTGCATGCAGCTGCTCCGATCAAGCTGACGAGCTCCCACAGCTGCATTTCATTCATAAAGAATCAGCAAAGGTGATGTGCAGTTTGGTTCTCAAACAATCTTAATTTTTGGCATGTGCTCAAGATTGGAGATGAATAGTTATATATTGGCTTGCTCGGGGCTTGAGAGAGAGGAACTTTTCAGTGATCTTTTGCCTGTGGTGTCATGCAAGGAAGCTCATTCATCAACAGAATGCTTCTGATGGGTGATGAGAAAGTTGAAGTGATGCAGCGCTGGGCACCAGCTGCAGGAGAATTTAAAACTTATATAGGGCTTTTTTTTTTGTCACAGCACACAACAGAAAGGAGTACCGTCATGTTTTTATGCCCACGGTAGCCATTTCAGCACTTTTATCAAGATGTGAGTTTCCCTACCTTCCCATTTGTTCATTTATTTCAAAGAGGACCAGTTCACCTCAGCTGTGAGAAATTGGAACTTTTAGCAGCAGCACTGTTAAAGATCTACAAATGGTTTTATTTTCCTCTAGTATCAGCTCCCAGGAAATGGCAGGGTTAGGTGTAGAGCTGAGATGCAGCCCTGGACCTCAGAATGACTAGTTATTAACTAGTTTTTGCTAACCCTCGATCCTGACACGGAACCAGCATTTGGCAGTCTTTAGGCTTCTGGGGGCGCTGTGGGTTAAACCACAGAGCCTAGGACTTGCCGATCAGAAGGTCGGCGGTTCGAATCCCCGCGACGGGGTGAGCTCCTGTTGCTCGGTCCCTGCTCCTGGCAACCTAGCAGTTTGAAAGCACGTCAAAGTGTAAGTAGATAAATAGGTACCGCTCCGGCGGGAAGGTAAACGGCATTTCCATGCGCTGCTCTGGTTCTGGTTCTTAGTCATGCTGGCCACATGATCCGGAAGCTGTACGCCAGCTCCCTCGGCCAATAAAGCGAGATGAGTGCCACAACCCCAGAGTTGGTCTTGACTGGACCTAATGGTCAGGGGTCCGTTTACCTTTAGGCTTCTGGGATCTACTTTGCTTTTTACTAGAACCCCCATATCTACCAGCTGCACCCCAATGCAAAAGACAATTAGAATTAAATTATTCTGAGCCCAATATTGTTTCTTGAGCACCAGAACTGAAAGGGGCTCAGAGACCCACTCCTGGTTACTCTACAACTCCCCCACCCCCCGCTTGCTTAATTTCTGCAGTATAATCTAGAGGAGGGAGTAGAGATGGTCCAAGGTGCCTATTTCAGTTCTCTGTTTCTCATTTTCCTAAACTTAAATTCAGTTCTCCACATTTCTGCAATTTGCCATTTTATAAAAAGAATCCTCATAAAAATTCATCAGCACTTTAGGGCAAATATCTCCCAGTGAATACATTAAGCATGCACTTTTGACTAGTGTATATATTTTTTGCATCTCTGTAGGTTACTTTCACTAATGTGCACATTTTTATCTACAAGTTGATCCAGACCTGCCCTTTGCCCATCCTTGGATGAAATCACAATTTGTCTGGCCTTTCACTATTCCTACTTGGCCCTAGCCTGGTACTTTCCGATTCCTTCCCCTCTTGACTCCATACAACAGGGCCTGCATTAACTTGGCTTTTGGCCTCACCATGCTTGGGTGCCTGTTGTTTCTGACGGTCTCCCTTGCCAGTTGTTTTTATATCACACTCTGGCTTGTCCTGCCTTCTGGCACGTCCCCTACCCACTTTCCTGAAACAACATGGCATGTTGCAAGTTGGATTGTTGCTATTCCAGCTTTGGGCCAATCCCAACATAGCCGACTGACAATAACAAAACAGAAGACATGCTTGAACTGAATTATAGTCAAACCTTGGTTCCCAAACACCTCCGTTTTGGAACATTTTGGCTCCCAAACGCCAAAATCCCAGAAGTAAGTGTTCCGGTTTTTGGACATTTTTCGGAAGCTGAACGTCTGACTTGAGTGCAAGAAGCTCCTACAGCCAATTAGAAGCTGCGCCTCAGTTGTTGAACATTTCGAAAGCTGAATGGACTTCCAGAATGGATTACGTTCGACAACCAAGGTTTGACTGTACTTGCTCAGCCAAAATGGCCCCTTGCTTCTAGGCAAAAGGTAGCCATGAATCACTCCACAGTGTCTGCATTAGAAGATGGCTGGAGGCCTGCCAGAGCGGTGTAGTGGTTAGAGTGTTGAACTTAGGACCTGGGAGAGGTTTCAAGTCCCCATTTGGCCAGAAAGCTCACTGGGTGGGTGACTTTGGGCCAGTCACTGTCTCTCAGCCTAACCTAACTTTCAAGGTTACTGTAAGAATAATATGGGAGAGAAAAAAGGCATGTATGCCACCTTGAGCTCCTAGAAGGAAAAGGTGGGATATAAATATCTTCCTGTACAGTGGTACCTTGGGTTAAGTACTTAATTTGTTCCGGAGGTCCGTTCTTAACCTGAAACTGTTCTTGACCTGAAGCACCACTTTAGCTAATGGGGCCTCCTGCTGCCACCACACCGCCGGAGCACAATTTCTGTTCTCATCCTGAAGCAAAGTTCTTAACCCAAGGTACTATTTCTGGGTTAGCGGAGTCTGTAACCTGAAGCGTATGTAACCCGAGGTACCACTGTATACATAAAAATGTGAGGCTGTCATCTTGCTGCAGATTCCATGGGTGCCAAGGTGGACATGCCAACCCCAGCAAGACGACAGGGTGGTAAATGACCCAGATGAGCAGTTTAATGTGCTTGCAAACTGCTCTGTAAAGTTCCTCCCTCCTTTCATTCAATGCCACTGCAGCCATGCTTAACAACGGGAGTTGGGGGGGTGCTTCACAAACCGTTCAGTGAAGTGCTTCTTTCCCCCTCTTTTAAATGCAGCTGCAGTGGGGCTGTAACAGAGTGGGGAGAGGCACTTCAGGAAACTGCTCTGAAGTGCTTTCCCTCTCCTTTAAAAGGGGGTAGGAGTGGTAGTGAGCTGTGAGGGGAAGGACTGGGGATGAGCTCTGAGGCTGAAGGGAGGGGCTTGTGGCAAGCTGTGGGGAGGGAATAGGTGAGGGGGGTGAGGGTTAAAGGGAGGGTGGATTGGCAGCTGTGAAGGAAGCAGGGTTGACAAAGGGGTGGGCAAGTAGGTGGAGTAGGGGAGTAGAGTGAGCAGGGGTGGCTGTCCCTAGTAAAAGTATAAATAAGTATTAGTTTGACCCATCATTTTAAGACACTAATAGGCAAACTTCAGCTTTCTTCACCTCTGCCTCCTCACCATGACATTTCACTCCTCTGTCCCTTCTCTTTCCAAGCTTTCTTTCTCCTTCTTCCTTCTGGACCATACCCTCTGGCCCAGTTACATCTTCTGCTTCCCTAGGTTTTTGTTTTGTCAGGCCCCTAAGCCCTCTGCAACTTCCATCCTTTCTTCCTTACATACTGCTTCCTGCCGTTCCCCGCTCAAGGCCCAGACTGTGTTAGCCAATGACATTCAGAGACATGCTTTGTCCTTCTGTGATGCTAGCGCAGCTCTAGTCGATTACTGCCAGAGGCGACTTCATCGCCACCAAATCTCTGCCTACATCAAAACACCTGATACTCTGTAAACAAGATTCCATGCAGCAGAGGATCTTTGCATTTAAAGAAGCAGACATTGTGCAATAGAAAATTCAGGCATTTGTAGAGAAATACTGTGCTTTATCTTCTCCTCCCAACTCACTCGGTGAGACACACCCCAAATGCTAGAAAAGGAATATATTATGCAAATTCAATAGCACACATCACGTATAAGTAAGTCTAAAAGACACAAATGCTCTTTTTGGCTTTAGCTATTCAGTGGCTCTCACTGTGGAATGATATGCATAATCATGATTGATGTGCATCCATTAATTATTGATTCCTCGCCTCCCTCCCCTTCCCCCCAGAATATGTAGTTGGTAGCAGGAATTAACTAATATAGAAGGGACAGAGGGGCATTTTTTTTAAAAAAGTGAACCTGCTTGTTTTACAGACTCTAAATTTAATATATAAAAAATTGAAAGTTTAAGTTCTCAGGCGGAAAAGGGGATTAAACCATGAACAGGCACCTTGCCTTTTTCTCAGGGGCAAATATGTTCTCTAGTAGGAAGTCTGGAGACCAGAACTATATTTTCTGTATATGAGCTGACACATCACCCATAGTAAAGTTGGGACTATCTAGCAGTAAGGGTTTCATAAGTTACAGAGCACATGGACTCAGGCACAGCTCAAATTTCATAAATCTGACATAAAAAAATCCAAGAGAGGATAATTAAAGCGAGGGGTATCTCCTTTGTGTATAGCTTTGTAACATTTTTCTTGCTTTTCCCTTATGAGCAAAAAGATGGGGAACAAACTTTTTACTACATTCTGATGAAAATTGGTTAGGACTGCCAAGGGCCAAATAAAATGGTCTTATGGCCTGTATCTGCTCCCCAGGACCTCAGCTGCCCACCTCTGCGTTAGAGAGCAAATGCTATAAAGAGCAGTTGCATAACTGTTGTTTTTGTTTTCTGTACACTGCCTTTGGATATTTCTTATACATATTAAGCAGTATAGAAATGGTCTAAACAAAATAAGAAAGAAAGAAAGAAAGAAAGAAAGAAAGAAAGAAAGAGACTGATTGAAACACCATCAAATAACCTACACTTGAACAAGGAGTCTTTCAGCATTGTTAAAAACCTGGCAAGGAAAAGCAAACCAGGACTAGGGTAGACGCAGATACAAATCTGTACTCTATTAGGAGAGTCACCATCTCTTGGCCCAGTATGCCTGACAGGGATGTGGTGGGGGTAAAAGGGGGCACCATGTGTGTTACCCCCCAAACTCCTTGGAGGAAGGGTGGGATGTAAATGTAATAAATAGCTGATATTAGCATATCTCAAGTCGATAGAGTAATGCTTTCTGGGGCTACAGACTAACACCTTGTCTTCAACATAGAGAAGAGATACATGAATCATTCCAAGAAAATGGGCTGGTCGTGTGTGTGTGTCCCCCAAGAAATCTCTATAGATGTTTCCCCTGAACAGGTTACTCTGAATTTCCTGAGATTTGGATTTAGGCGAAATTCAGAAACAACTCCAGACAGTGGCTAGTGGCAAGGTGTTTCAGAAAACCCATCTGATGTGTCAATGCAGAAGCAAAGGATAATAATACTCTTAAAACCTTTTAAAGTTGTGTAGGACAGGAAATTTCAGGAAGATCAGAATTTTGCATCCCTGCATGACAACCTGGACCATTTGAAATTCTCTCTAATGCAGCAGTTGAAAGGCCGGAATTCTCCTTTTGTGTTTAATGATTGCGGCAGTTTCCGGGAAATCTAAGAAACGGGGGTTAGATATGGGTTATGATGAGCAAATCTGTCAATTTCAGTTTTGCTCAGTTTTTGATTGTTCATATCTGAAGTTCAGTTCACGTTACTGTGTCAGTTTGCAATTTTTTTTAAAGTCCTCATGAAAATATGTCAGCTTTTCCAGTGTGCATTACTCCTAATACACACATTTGTATATGCATTTTTCCTAATTTGCATATTTTGCAAATACAATGTACTTTTTTATGTTATTCTCATGAATATGCACATTTATACACACTTATCTGTGCTCTTTTACGCACATTATTTGGCTGGAGTGCCATTTGCAATTTGGAGAAATGAGACTTCTGAAGGATGGTTGTGTTCACATATTGTTTTGGGCAGTGCAAATTAGGTATATCTGCCTTTAAATGTGAAATGAACTGAATTCATCCTCCATCCTTCAGTGTGGATCTGAATCTCTTTAAAATGGCTGTCTTGGATGATGGGAGTGAAGGCCAAATAAGGTGAAATCTCTCTGCCTCGCTTTCTGTCCCCAGTGTGTGGACATAGGGTCGGCTCTGTCATGAAGGAGGGTGAAGCAAACAAAACCTTTCAAAGTATTGACCCTACTAGGAAGTGGGGACCCGTTATTTGGGCCCTGCTTCAGGCATCAAAGTGTCCTGTGCCAGCACTGTGCACAAGTGCATATATGCGAACATTAGGAATGGGAGAGAAACTTGATTTTGTTTTGCTATTTAATGAGAAACTACATAATTTGGAGAACACACAAACTGTAACAGGGGGATTCTTTGAAATTTGCACTTCTCTGAATTTTGCACACACAAAAAATGTGTACAAAAATGCACACATTAGGGGAAAGTGCACTGATTCACAAAAAATAGCTACAAAAATCAATTATAATTAGGGGAAAGTGCCCCCTCCCTTTAAGGACTAAGAAGAAAGGAGTTCCCACAGTGGTTCTCCCTTAGACTGACTGTGGTTTCGCACCCATTCCTCTTCAGGCTGTAACAGGGCGCTGCTGAAATTTTAAGCCCCAAGCCCACCACTGCCTTGTTCTCAGGTTGAAACCTAATTTAGCTGTTTCACATTGCTGGGAAATTTCTCATGAGGGCCATTTTCAGCTCAGCAAATGTGTGGTATATGTTATGTACTGAGTTGAATAGGATCCAAAAGGCAGCAGTCTGATTGGTCCTAGAACAATAGGATTCAGTATGCAGTAGTCTGATTGGTCCTAGAACAATTGGGTCCAGAATGCAGCAGTCTGATTGGTCCACAGGAGCCACCCAATCCAGCTCCAGGTGGAAGTGAATCTGCAACCTACAGGTGAATCCCATTCTGGGGGAACTTCCATTCCTCCTCACCACTATGAGCTGAATAAAGAGCATGAAATCCACTCTCGACACCGAGTATATTTCAGTATAGCAGTTTAGATCAGAAAAGTAGCATGGGCTAGGGGTGCGGGGAAAGGGTTAAGTAACCTCAACCTCGGTGTTTCTTCCTGAATCATATTGGTGGCAGAGCCTCTCCTTTGTATGAAGAAGGTCCCAATCTCATTCCCTGGCATCCCCATGTGGGGCTGGGGAAGACCCCTGCCTGAAACTGTGGAGAGCCACTTCCCTGTAAGAGTGTGGACAATGCTGAGCAAGATAGATCAATGCTCTGACTTGGTATAAGGCAGCTTCCTGTGTTCCTTCCTTACAGGTGTATTTTGTTTAACATCACCAATGGGAGATCATTCAGGGATCTTTGGGTGTACAGTGGTACCTTAGGTTAAGTACTTAATTCGTTCTGGAGGTCCGTACTTAACCTGAAACTGTTCTTAACCTGAAGCACCACTTTAGCTAATGGGGCCTCCTGCTGCCACCACGCCGCCGGAGCCCGATTTCTGTTCTCATCCTGAAGCAAAGTTCTTAACTTGAAGCACTATTTCTGGGTTAGCAGAGTCTGTAACCTGAAGCGTATGTAACCTGAGGTACCACTGTAATATGTAACCTGCCTCTTTGAAACCCCAAAATAACTTTTCTTCAAACTTATGGGTTTTCTGCTCGCAGTCTTCTCTGCCTCTACCCCAACCAGTCTTCTGTCACCTGTCCCTTATTTTACTCAACCTCAAAGCCAAGCAATGGATTTACATTGAAAGATGTGCAAATGAACAGTAGCAATGAGCAAACAAGTTGAGAAGTGAAACGCAAGACGCTTGCAGCTTAGAATTATATAGGTAGCCTATTTGGGGCAAGGGAGATCAGCTGTATGGGTTTTTCTGTACGTGAGGAATCCTCTACGTGTATTTCTGTGTATGCAAAGTCTCTAAACTCCAGGTTGAGATCACAGGTTCCAGTGCAAAGCCACATTTAGAAGTTCTGCAAATGACCCATTCGTAGCTGTCTAAAAGCAGCCAAGTGAGAAAAAGAACTATTTGAAAGATCTCTGCTTCCAAACCTTAAGCCAGGGGAAACAAAAAATAGAATCAGAAAATAGACTTGCGCAGATTATAATTCTGCATACTGATTTCCCATCCAAACTAGACCTCATCATCCAATGCATAGTCTAGGAAGGCGTGAGACAGAGGCCCAATTCAGAGTTAACAATAATAAGAAAATGTTTGTTAGGATTAAGTTGCACACCTGCAGAGGTTGTTGCAGGAGAAAACTAAGGGGCAATCTGTACTGGGTGGCTCTTCTCAGCTGAGGCATTGCTGTGTCGCTTTATCTTACAAATGGGATTGCCATTTGGTGGGCAGAGTGTGCTATACTAATAAAATTAATATCAAATTTCTTGCCACAACCCAGTGATTACAGTGGGAAGTTGCTGATTAGTAGACAGCATTTTCTCTCTCTCATGGAGAGAGGAGTCAGGCAAATGCCTGTGCAAGAGTCAGGGGCGGAGGAAGGAGGGTGCGGTGGGTGCTGGCCACCCCGGGTGTCACCACTGGGGGGGGGGGAGAAAATGCCAGGCAGCACTCACAAAATGACAGGCAGTCTCCTGGGAGAGACGCGGTGGCTTGGGTGCGTGCAGGTTCCTCGCAGCCCAAACGGTCTGCCTGCTGCCTCCCCCCCCAGCTGTGGGGCAGTTGAGTGGGAGGAGGCAGGCAGACTCTGGAGGCCCTGCAGTGCACCCTGCCCTCACCCCGCCCCTATGGGCGGCACGCACTGTCCTTGGGCGCACCGCCGCAGGGTCCAGGCACCCGAGCGGCTTCCTCTGCCGCTGGCAAGAGTCAGTTGGTGTGTGGGCAGGCAGACATGTTAAAGCTAAAAGTACTCTGCAGTGCTTCACGGGATGCGACAATACAAATGAAGCTGTTGTTGTTTATTCATTCATTATTATTTCAATTTATATCCTACCCTTCCTCCCAAAGGAGGGAGATTAAAAGATTTAAAAAGCAGTTCCTCACTGCTTCTCCGAAACAAAGCCCTTCTCTTTCCTATTGTTGCAAAATAGAGGTTCAGGGATAAAAACAGCTGATAACAATTTATGGCCCAAGAAGCCACTCCTTCTATCCATAACTTAAGATACAAGTGGGGGGGGGGGAGTGTTGAAAAAAAAGTTTTTCAAGTTTAAGGCACTCCCAGTGATTTCAGTGAGAACTGTGCCATACCGCAATCTGACCTACTAACAGCAGAATAATAACAAAACGCAAAACACCACCTCAGACACACAAAGCTGCTAATAAAACAATTCTGAAAACACACAAAGAATAAACAGACAGAAATCACAGAGGGGAGACGGATGGACAGATTAGCTAGTCAGGGCATCATGTGGCGCACATGGAACCCACGCCCTGCTGTCGTGAAGTGAAAACCATCGTGCAAATTGGCCCACAAATAGATGGCTGGGTTAATGCATTTCTCAATGCCTATAATGGGAAATGCCACATTTTGAGTCTGCCTGAAAGCCACACAGACTTGGAGGCAGAGATTTTGTGATGATGGGGCCTGGGCAGGAGCAGAATAATTGCAGAACAGCCAGAACATAAATACAGGGAGTTCAATATTGCAGTTACTTAATTGCATGATTTTGTAATGAATGACTGAGTAGAAAACTACTTACATTGCTTTTGCTTATATCTTGATAAGTAAAATAATGAAAGTCTTAAGGCAACAGCAGACCCGATGCTATTAACCAACTTTTTTTATTAGTTAATAGCTGTGGGGGGGGGTCCCAGTCTGGTTTGGGACCGTGATGGGGCCAAATAGACACACTATTGTATTTTAATATTCTGTTGGAAGTCGCCCAGAGTGGCTGGGGAAACACAGCCAGATGGGCGGGGTATAAATAATAAATTATTATTATTATTATTATATCAGTGGTTTGCTATGTCTAATTGCAAGCAGCATTTGCACAATTACTAATTGTGTGAATAACATCATGTTTGCTTTGGCTGTTCCATTTTTCAAAAGTGCATTAATATTCAGAAAGGAGGTCTTAAATATCTCTGAAAGGGGCGATCCCTCTTACCCACCCCAGTGCCCTGGCCATATCTTTCCCTAGAAGCTCTGCTAATCTAACATCCAATACATGGGGGTTGGTTGTCTTGATTAAGTGTTAGCTGGCAGACTCTCTGCATAGTCTCAGAGGCACTCTTTTTTTTCTTTCCAGTTTACACATGCAGTGAAAAAATAGTTACAGTTAATATGGAAAACATGGCTTTGGGTTCTCTGTGGAGGCTCCTGATTCTGTGAACTGTCATCCTTACGTCAAACAGAAGATGATACTTTCAACCATAACTCCCCCGTTTCAACCTATACTGTGTTCAGGTAGAGCCTGTCCCTGTAGAATGGGAGATGGAAGAAAGATGCTAGCAGAGGCAAGGAGATTATCCTTCATTAGCAGGAGGTAATCAGCGCATCAGCATTCTGCATTGCAAGTGCTTGGGCTAAGCCTGAAATTGCAAACAGATGCCAAGGCTGAGGTTGTGAGCCGCGGGTCACATGAAGGCCTGATGGATGTGGTTGGGGTGGAGCAAAAAAGGAAAGGGAGAAAGACAAACACACTGGACTGCTTTTTGGTAAATAGATGAGAACAATGTGTTGGGTAGGGGCGGCATATGCAAAGAGATAATTGATGAATGGATAATGGAGGGCTTTACTAAACTGGGGAGGAGGGCCTCACACTTCACCAGGGGCTGCCAGCAGTCCAGATCTAGCCACCATCTTCCCTTGTTAGTCCCCACATCCCATCCCTTATGATCCTGCATGTAATGCATTGAACGTGCTGTATCACATGGAAACACCAGTCCACATTCCCTGGATGCATAGCAGAGAAGGTGGTGGGGGTGGGGGTGAGACACAACAATGTTGGGAAGTGGAGGAAGCTGATCAAAGGGAGGGGGCAGCTTCAGGAACAGGGTGTGTGTCTGTGTTTGTTTATGAAAGTGTGGGTGGGGTGGGGTGGGAAGTAAGGGAAAAGAAAACGGGAACATGCTCAGGTAAACCATTACCTCCAGGCAGCTCTGCGGGTCCACAGGTAGCCCTCTCCTCCTCCACAACATCCATCCAGAGTTTCTTGTGGCAAAACTTCCACAAGCCATAGTGGGCCGCCTCGCAGACGAGGGATTGGTTCTGCTTGTAGGTGTTGAGCTCCACCCAGAATTCTGTGCCCACGGCCAGCACTGTCAGGGTCATCCCCACGATGGCCACGAAGAAGGCCAGCTTGATCTTGCCCTCTTGCTCATCCGTCAGGACCTTGCGCCGCTTGACCCCTGCCCGCGTGCGCCCCCCCATGCGCTGCTCCTCGTCCTGGAGGAAAAAATTTGGCCACATCATAGCCCCTTGCCCTGCTCCCCCTTGTCTTTTGAAGGGATCTATTTTGGCTCTAGAATAGCTACCCGGAACCCTGTTTGTAAACCCCCCAGGCTTTAAGCTGGGTCTTCTGTGAGGGCTCCTCGCAGCTTCTCTTGGCTCCTATCTAGGTCAACACGTTGCATGCAGTGCTGAAAAGTTGCTTGGCCACCCTCACCCCACCCCTGCCTTCTCTGCCCAATGCCCTGGCTTCCCAGGGTGAGGCCAGGGTTGGAACAGCAGCTACCTCACCCCACCCCCCCGGCCGCCTTGGCAAATGTGTGGGGCACCTGTTCCTGCTCTTCATCGCCTAGGCAATCAGGGTTATTTTAAGGCTCCAGGGCGCACAGACAGTCTGGATGTGTGTGTGCCTGTGCGCCTCTGAAGGTTTTGACGATGCGGAGGCCAAAATGGAAAGCTCTTTCAGCAGCAAGGGGGGGGGGACCCTCTTGCCCCACCTTACGACAGCACCCCCTGCTGGGACCGGAATACCTCGAGGCATTTTCACAAGTCTCTGGAACTTGCACCGGCTGCAATACCTCTTTTGGATTCACACTGCCCTGCTTAACAGCAAGTATGCACAGCACTAAAATCATGTACAAGTCTGTCTACTGCTAGGCACACTTCTTTAGAAGTCCCACGGGAAGCAAGCGTTGTTTCAACAAGTGCTTTCCAAGCAAGTATGCCAGCGCTTCCTCCTTCTGCATTTGCAGTTGTAAATCTTACCTCTGCTATGACTTTTCCTTAGGCCAGGTAGGGAAGCCGTAGCCCTCCAGACATTGTTGGACTACAGCTCCTTTCTTTGAGCCATGCTGGCCAGAGCTGATGGGCTTTTGAGTTCAACAACATCTGGGGGCCCGTGAGTTTCCCATTAGGCAAACTGCTGTCTCTCAGCCCTCCCTTCCCTCCCCTCCTTCCAATATACAATACAGACAATAGCAATGCTGACTGACCTTTCCGGCTTGTTGTCAGGATTAGCAAGTGGTCATCTCCAGACCATCAGTGTTTTGTGGGAGGGATTCAAGTGCATACCAGAAATTTGAGCAATTAAAGGGAATTAATGTGCTCTGTTGGCCTGATGCAACAAATCCTCTTACAAAACATACTTGATCTTTTTGCGGTTAGGAAAGTGGTGGGGGAGTGGACTGAAAAGTGTGGGATGGACAAACGATTAACGGGAAGATGAATAACTACCGAAAAAGCAAATCTGGATGAATTCAGGCAGACTGCTCCTTGCCTTATAACCGCCCCATAAACAGATCTGAACGAATACTCAATAAGGACTATTGCTGGGGGAGAAATCAAATTCCATTTGCACTTAAAGGAAAACCCACCAAACTTGTGATTTCTGAAACAATTCCTGAACGAAATTCATCTTTTTTGAATTTTGCAGTGCAGGGCTCCAGCTAAGTACTGGCTACAGAAATGCACATATTAGGGTTAAAAATGCACATATTGTTGTTGGGTTGTGTGTGTGTGTACAAAAATGCATTGTAAGAGGGGAAGATTCTTTGCAAAAATAGGGCAAATTCGCATGAAAATGCTGATGATTTTTTCTGAGGACTTAAAAAAAATCACACACTGTGGGATTGTGCAGAATAGAATTTAAATTTGAAAAAAATGAGAACTAGACAGGAAATTAACAGAAACTGACAGGGAAAATGTGAAACTAACAGATTTATTTTGCAAATTTTTGTATGCAATTTTGCCTAATATTTTTGCAAGGCAGCTTTCCCTAATACAATACATTTTTCAAATAGAAAATATGCATGTATATGTACAGTTTGTATTTCTGTACACATAACTTGGCAGGGAAAACTGCATTGCAAAATTAGAAAATGTGTGTATTCTGATGCACAGCTGCATTTTGGTTCACTTATTGTTTCAGAAAGTGAGAATTAGAGAGAAATTTTCTTTTTAAATGCAAACTGAATCATTTCTCCCCCCCATCCCAACTTAATCTCCTTACACAAGCATAGCTGAGCATTTTATATTACCAAATAAGAGAAGCCTCTCTTGTGAAGAATTTCAAACTGTAGGCTCCTCAGGGCAGTGACCTGTCTTTTTACATTTCGTAAAATGCCATGTGTATGGCTGGTGCCATGCATCAGTGTCAAGTGCAACACACATTGAGGAAGGAATGAAGGATGACAGAAATAAAGAAAATAAGAAAGAAAGAAGAAGTATAAACACTTGGGGGGGGGTTGACACTCTACCCTTTTAGAGGCATCTAAATCTAAATCTAAATCTAATCCTCTGTGTGAATATAGAGGATTAAAAGAATGATTTTGTTGTTGTTTAATCGTTTAGTCGTGTCCAACTCTTCATGACCCCATGGACCAGAGCATGCCAGGCACTCCTGTCTTCCACTGCCTCCCGCAGTTTGATCAAATTCATGTTAGTAGCTTTGAGAACACTGTCCAATCATCTCATCCTTAATTAAGAAAGTAGACTATGAGGCTAGGGAGAGAGGATTGTGGTTCCCAATGGCCGGTGGCTGGTTTTCCGGTTCTTCACTCACTCCTCATATTTCCTTTTGCTTGGTGACTTGGATATAATTTTTAAACTTACTTGCATATTGTTGTTCTTGTTGTATTATTGTTATTGTTATCCCTCAAATGCGGCTCAGGCGGTGGAAAGTCTATCGGTTTGGAAACAAAATGGGGCTACCCAAATATAGGACGGCGCTTTTTATATACGCTGGGGATTTCCAAGTTTATAAATTTGCAACTTAAGAGGAAAAGAAAAGTTAATCTCGCAAAAGTTGACTGGAAGGACCTGTGAGCTTCCAGAATGTATGGAATGCTGTGGTGGCAAGAGAGAGAGAAGAAGAAGAAGCTGGAAAATAGGGGGGGGGGAATAATGATGTCTTAGAGGGGGACAGGATTAGGGTTGTGGAATGCATGCTGTGAGATTAAAAAAACACCCATGGATGTTTCAGGAGAAACAAAAGGAAAAAGAATATATTTTTTCTTTCCCTCTCACCAAAACACTCCCCTCCCCATTTAGCTACAAAGTGATTAGATCCAGGGGGCTGGCAGCCCCCCCCAGGGTTTGAAATCTCTAGCGCTGTAGGGCAGAGCAGAGCAGGGGAAGTCTTCCAGAGAGGTGAGAGGAGACTTCTTCCTTTCCCTCCTTCAGAAGAAATCTTTCCCCCCCTTCCTGCCATCACACTCTCCTGAGAGGCCTGAACAAGGCTCCTGTTCCATGCTGGCTACTTATGTCCCTGAAAAGCCGCATTCCTCTTGGGGTGGGGGTGCAGAAATACATTGCAGTTTGTGTTGCAAGCATCACCACCTGCAACCTTGATTAGATTCCTGGATTCCTGGAAGGAGAACGAGGCCCAGCAGGTTGTCAACATGTGTTCCATCACAGTGACACCTGTTCAGAACCTAAGAATGGAAATGGGACCTGATGCAGAATGATGTGCTCTCACCTTGGTGCACTCCATATAGTCTCTGTTTCTTGCTTCCCTTGCTCCACCTGTTGCTCCTGCTGTTTCTGGCTCCTGATTCCTCACCCCCTTCTTTGTTGCTCCTATCTCTCCCCCCCATCTCATCTGTTGCCCCCTTTCCCTTCTGTCTCTCGCTCTTCCAGCTGCTCCTGTCTTCCCTCCACCACCAATTCCTTTCTCCTGGTTCTTCCTCCTCCCTTCATACACAGCGGAGAGCCATTGAAATGGCTTTCAAATGCTTGTTGCACAAGCCTTGCTTAGAACAGGAGGTAAGAGTAACTGAGCAGGGTGAGTCACTCCTGCGGAGCATGCATGCTCAGCAGACATGTATCATTCGGAGGAATTTGCCCCTTCTAGGGGGTCTGGCTTTAATTTCTTTTGGAACTCTGCATACATTAGCTGGGCATGCTGGAATGGCTGTTTTGGATTGGCACAGACCACTTGAGTTCAGCATTAGTGGGAGTAGTAGCAATGTTTCTGTTTTTCTGAATGGCTCACGGTTTCTTTGCAGCAATCCTGGGGCACCTGTCCAGCGTTCCCTCTGTTGCCCATCAGGAGGCAGATTTTCTCATGAATTTACGCTTTGTTGTTGTTTAGTCGTTTAGTCATGTCTGACTCTTCGTGACCCCATGGACCAGAGCACGCCAGGCACTCCTGTCTTCCGCTGCCTCCTGCAGTTTGGTCAAACTCATGCTGGTAGCTTCGAGAACACTGTCCGACCATCTCGTCCTCTGTCGTCCCCTTCTCCTTGTGCCCTCCATCTTTCCCAACATCAGGGTCTTTTCCAGGGAGTCGTCTCTTCTCATGAGGTGGCCAAAGTATTGGAGCCTCAGCTTCAGGATCTGTCCTTCCAGTGAGCACTCAGGGCTGATTTCCTTAAGAATGGATAGGTTTGATCTTCTTGCAGTCCATGGGACTCTCAAGAGTCTCCTCCAACACCATAATTCAAAAGCATTACGCTTTAGACAAGGGTTAAAGGAAGAGTCTAGGACAGGAGGGTCCAGGCCTGAAGGTGTTAAGTAAAATCCACAGAGGGCCAAGTGGCGATTTTAGAGTGTTCATCCATGCAATTAGGAGCAGGCTGGAGCATCTGGTGCCACAGTGCCCCCGCCCTGCTGCCCTCGGGGAGCGGGATGCTGTGTGTTCTCAGCACAAGCTGATTGAGGAAAAACACTGAGTTAGCATGAAATGACAGCTGTTTCAGGGCTGGCAGGAAATGGCAGTGGGAGATCTGTAGGGGGTGCTGTGCTGCAGGGAGTGAGATGCAGGCCGAGAAGACATGCTGTGCTGTCAGGAAGAAGGATGAATTGAGTACTGCTTTGTTTATTAATTTTTTGCTATGTGAGTCTTGCTTTATTAACACCTGAAATGTGTGGTTGTACCATGGGGCTTTGCTGAAAATTAAGTCAGGTTTGTCAGCAACAAGCTAGGCTAGCACATGATTTGCAGCAAGCTAGGCTAGCACATTATTTGCATCTCAAAACTGCTCTGTGACAGCTGTCAGCGTCTAAGGGCAGAGGTGACAAGAGTTGATGTTTGGGGAAATAAAGAAGTATTTATTTATCCTATGGCACTTTTACCCCATACAACGTCTGAGGTTGATGGGGCAGTGCCCCATTCACCCTAATGGTTCAGCCTCCACTAGTTCCTAGTCAGACAACATGCACTCATGTGCTTTGCATGCAGAAACATCCAGCTTCCATCTCTGACATCTCCAGCTGAAAGCATCAGATAGCAAATGGTGAGGAAGACCCTCCACCTGCCTGAGCCCCTGGGGAGCCACTTGCCAATGTGGCTAGAAAGACAAATGGACTTACCTGAACCTTTCCAAACCAAATATCATAACCACATCTTTGCATAATGGTTTACGAGATAGATGAACAGGTTTTTGCTTATGTTTGGATACAACTGGATGCCAAGCGGATCAAACCTTTGAGAACTGCACTGATGCTAACCAATTTTGCATCATGGTTCCAGAGATCATGGAGCTGGTTTCTGTCTATGTTTGGATACAAGTGGGTGCCATTTTAAATCTTTCAGAAAACTGCCCCGATGTTAACCATCGTTTTCAAAATTATTTTGTTTCTTCAAATTCCCAAACAATGCCAAGCATGAGGCTGCTAGCGAGTTCTAGCTCAGGAGCAGGGAACACATGCTTTGACTGCAGAAGGCATCAGGCCTCATCCCTATGACTGCCTGCAGCAGCAAGTGGTGTGAATTGTCTCCGCTGGAAGGCCACTGCCAGTCAGAGGGGAAGGCCGAAGCTCAGCGGTAGAACATCTGCTCTGTGTGCAGGAGGTCGCAGGTTCAATCCCTGGTGTCTCCAGGTAGAATTGGGGAAAGACTCCTGCCTGAAACCTTGGATTAGTGGATTAGTGTTCTTCTTTCCTTTTCTCCCACAGTTCAAACATGTCTTGACAGCAAGCTTGCTGCTAAACGTAAGGAAGAGATGGCACCCAAAGGACATACAGACCACAGGGTGGGAGAGACCGAGAGCTGCCTATGAGCTAGCTGTCTGCACAGCCACTCACCCTAGCAAAGAATCTCCAGGTGTTGCTGGACTGCAGTCGCCATTGGACATGCTGGCTGAGCCCAAGAGTATCTAGAGGGTCACAGGTTCCCCGTCCCTACTCTAGTGCAAAGAAGGGGGGTCAACCTTTTCAAAATTCCCAGAATGCAGACTTGATGAACAGTGGGGCTAATATATTTAACGCACATGATTCCCCCACCAAAGAACCCCAGGAACTGTTAAGGGTGTTGGGAATTGTAGCTCTGTGGTGGGCAAACTATAGTTCCCAGTGATCTTTTGGGGAAGCCATGTACTTTAAATGCATGGGGCATATGCAGCCCGTGTGTCTGTGATCTCCTCTAGAAAGCAGCTCTGTAGTTAATAGTAAGGTAGCAATGCCTCCTTTTGTGACATAAGCCATTTTGGCTGTGACCCTTCCCCTCAGTAACAACCTCCCCTGGACATATTTTCATAGGACTTTATTTGAAAGGTAGATTCCAGTAAAAATCCATGCATTTTGTTGTTGTTATGACAGACAGACTGTTGTTTTTATTTTTATTGGTTTTTTCCCCTTCCTCTTGCTTTATTCACCAGTAAGTAGCACAATCAAGTGGATTTTGCCCCTCTGGGAAAAAAAAGTTCTTGTATTTTTGTCTTTTTTTTAATATGAAACCCACTTTTATACAGAAAAGAATTAGAACAGGTGAGGCTTTTCCACTGAAAGGTTTTCTTTCTCATTGCACATTTTAAAACGTACACTTTTCCTCTCAAATTTTAAATTGTTCATCCTCTCACATTACCACAAAAAAGGAAAAAAAGCCCACCTCCTTACACAATTCTAAGCGCCCCCCCCTCCAAAAAAAACTATACACTTTCATTTAAACAAATGAGGGGGGGAAATACTACTTCTTAAAAGGCAGGAAGAAACAGTAAAGAGACAATCACAGTTTCTAACTGTTTTTCAGACATGGCTTTCCCATAAGATTAGCTACTGAAAGACGAGAGTGTAGTAGTCTCTGACAAACCTCTTACCAAGCAGTATTTCTATTACCCAAGCACTTAATTGTTTTGAAGTTTTAACATATTCTCTTTGACAATAAGGCTAAATCAAACCGTGCTGTATTCAGGGATCCTTGAATTCTTCATAGGTTGACCCTTAATTCTTCAGTCGGAGAATTTCAAACCAAAATTCTTGACCTGAATTTTATGTCAGCTGGTTTATCAGCCAGACAGTAAGCATGCTTGATCAGAACGAAGTCCTACTGCTTCTCATTGTGCTTACCTTCCTACTAAGTGCGATTAAGGGGGCAATAGTCTGCACCACCCTTTCCAAAGTCATTTTGGTTTGGTTATACAATTTGGTTAGAGTTTTATTTTAACATATATATTTTTATATATTTGCCGAATGCGAGACATTCTGTTCCATAGTTTTATTCTCATTCATGGAGAAAGAGAAGTGGAAGGCGGGTGGCCTGTCTTGTCATTTTTTACATTTAGCTTTTGATTTCTGCCTTCCCTTCCCCTTCCCCTCCTCCTTCCTCATTAATGGTGAAATATATCCATTTTGTTAACATCTATTTATTGTAACTCTTCCCTGAGTCCATGTTTTAGGGTCGCTATAAAAATAAATAGTGTGGTTCTGATCTGACACCCCTGCTGCCAGTGCTTCCAGGATAGGCCTTAATTAACCTGGCACTGTAGAAGAAGAAGAAGAAGAGTTTGGATTTGATATCCCGCCTTTCACTCCCTTTAAGGAGTCTCAAAGCGGCTAACATTCTCCTTTCCCTTCCTCCCCCACAACAAACACTCTGTGAGGTGAGTGGGGCTGAGAGACTTCAAAGAAGTGTGACTGGTCCAAGGTCACCCAGCAGCTGCATGTGGAGGAGCGGAGACGCGAACCCGGTTCCCCAGATTACGAGACTACCGCTCTTAACCACTACACCACACAGTCTCCCCTTCTGCTCTTGCTGCAGATGCAGGATATGTGAGTCCAACCCCCAAGGAAAGCAGTCAGTAAAACTAGTTTCTGGGAGATTATGTTTTCTAAGGAGATGGAAAGGGGCATACATTATACATTGGGCCACTTGGAATCTTGCGGCACCCGGTCAAAAAGGAAATCCATCTGGATCAGCAGTGAGGATCTGCAGACCCGTTTCTGCATGCAGAAGGGGAGTAAAGTCGAGCATGGTTCAGGATCAGGAAACCAGGATTGTAAAACCGATTGCTTGCCAGTTGGCACAAGTTCCGCTGGGGAAATAGTAATCCCACTGTTGTTTAAGAAAACAAAACAACCAACGTAAATCAACCAAGTCCTAAGAAACTTCACAATCATTTTGTTCGTCTTCTCATATATATGTGTGGTTTTTTTGTTGTTTATATCTATCTATATCTATCTATTTATATATTTATAATACATGTAAAAATTCTCCCTAGGATGTTGAATTGGGGGTGGGGGGTAGGTAGGGATGAGCAGAAGTATAATCCATTTCTATTTTTTACTTCTTGTTTCATTTTAAAAGTTCTTCTTCCCAATATCGAAAAGAAGATTTAAAAAGGGGGATCTATCTATCTATCTATTAAATGGACGAGACAAACAAATAAAGTCAATAATGACTGGTTGATTATCATTTCAATGGGCAAGGGGTGCCTGTGTAAATAGCAGGGACCCTCTCCTCCCCAGAGACCTCTTCATCTCAGGAAGAGCTATGGCTCAGTGTTAGAGATGGGCTGGAAACTGAAAAAGGCTTCAGCCATACATGGACTAGAAGGAGATTGAAGCAAAGCCTAGTGGATTAGAAATACTTCTAAAAGCCACCAGGGGGCAGTCGGTCCTTTTGGATTTTAAAACACCTTCCCCGCCCTTAAAAAAAAAAATATTCTGGCACTGTGTTTTGGCACAAACTTTTTTGTCAGCCCTTAATTAAGCTGCAGTGAAGGAGAAGAGAGGGTTCCCTTATACCCGCTGAGGAACAAAACACCCTCTTGATCCACACTGCAGCCCCAAATTTGGCACAGTACGCTGTGGAAGCCATCTTGTAAGAGGCTTACGAGCGGAGGAGCCAGGGTCTTCAAAACATATACACGCACACGGACGTCCCTTTCAGATTCTGAATCTGGCTGCCCGTTAGAGATCTTAACCAAGTAGGCAAGGAAAACTATCCTCCTTCCTCAAGCACCTCTGAGACACAACAGCATCCCCTCTTCTCCATCCCAATGTGGGGTGGGGAAAAGTAGTCCATCTAGGTTATCCTTGAGGTGCCTGTTTTGAAAGGACAATGGTGTTTGGTTTAAGTGTCTCTTAAGCTGTAGGAATGGCTGATCCCTGTCACTTCATTCATGAAAGCCCCCTGGTGAACATACTCCTCTGCTACTTTGCCCTCCCCCAAGGTGTGAGGTGTGAATTTGGGTTCTATTGGCGGGTTAGAAAAAAGGAAAGCAATGCGAGTTCATGGATGGATGAGGGAAGGGAGGGAGGGGAGGAAATGCATGGATGGATTGTTTTCTCGCTTTGCAACTTTCTGACTCTCCCAACCTACTCTCTGAGCTGTGTCTTCTCTTCATCTTTCCTCCTCCCTATGCCCCCTCCTCCCTTAACTCCATCCCTACACTGGCGTTGTCTTCCTGTTGAGTGTGTTGGTGTTGGAGGAGGTGTCTTTGCCCAGGGTGCCAGTCGCCCCCGCTACACCAGGCCCAGTCACTGTGACGGTGACACCAGGGTCCTTGGGGAAGGTGTTGTGCAGCTGCAAGAACCCACCGCCACTGCCAGTTGCGCCCGACGCAGCCGCGCCCGTCGATGCCGTTTCGCTGGCACCGCCGTAGAGCGAGCTGACGTTGGCTTTGGAAGGGTCCCTCGATAGTGTGTACATGGAGATGTCAGTGGAAGGGAAGCCTTTGAGGCCCACTGGCGAGGTTTCTCGAGACTGTGATGGCTCGGTGGAGCGGGAGCTGGAGCGTGACCGGCGGCGGTATCGGAAACGGTAGCTGGGCAGGCGCAAGATGGCCGACGACGAGGAAGATGGGTTTTTCAGTAGCTCCGTGCGGCTCTTGCAATGGGCTTCCCGGTTCTTCTCGATGTATATGTTGACGGCCAGGACTCCAATCATCTCGGCCAGGATGAAGGAAAGGCCACCAAAATAAAAGGACCAGCCGTAGGAGTAGTAGCTCTTCTTCTCGTCGTCGCGTTTTGTGCCAGGGTCTCCAGCATTGGCTGAGATGTAGACGATGACACCGATGATGTTACTGAGGCCTGAGGAGTTGTGGAAATAAAGAACAGTGAAATGAGGGAGGCTGTGGGGTGGGCAGGTAGAGAAGGCAGATGACTCACTGCATATGGATATGGGTTAGAGAAAGATGAAAGCGGGAGGGAAAATGGTGGCAGTGAATGGATACGTCAGGAGTTGTCAAGGCTCGAACTGGGAGCTCCTGGCTCCGTACACAGCTGCCCTATATGTTGAGACGCTGAGACACTGTAGCTGCACTGCCCTAAATCCGCCTCTGGTAGGATAAGCAGGAAGAGAAAGGAAAGATGAGGGAATGGGTAAGAAGGTTGAGGTAAATAGTTGTGAAGTTGTAGATGCATGCATGAAGTGATAAAGGAAGGGTGATAGATTGGCAGAGAAATAAGCTGTGTACACATATCCAGTTTAAAACACAGCTAGGTTGTTCTTTTCGCCAATTCAAATTGAAACTGGTTTGGGGGGGGAATGCACTGAAATGTAGCATTTCATAAGAAATGGAAGAATTGATACAGATTGTGGCTTACATCATGTGTATACCTCTTCCCAAAGCAGTGTTGGGAACACCTGGATGCAAAGCAAATGGGAGTGTATACACAGCTATAGACTGGGGGATAAAGTTTTTGGTGGATCTCTGTCTGTCTGTCTGTCTGTCTGTCTCTCTCTCTCTCTCTCTGTTGTGTGTGTGAACTGACCACTGAATAGACACACACATGGAACTACACTAGAGAACCAGAGAGGGATTGTTTACCCCCACTCACCTGCAGCAACAAATAGAATGCCGGCACCTAGGATGATGTTGCGCTTGGACTTGTAGACACGGCTGGCAGCCACGCAGAACCCTCCCAGCAATAGCAAGATTGCACTTAGAATGGGGAAGATGCTTGAGGCTCGTACCACACCTGTGGGGAGGGGAAGGTAGGTTGGAGGAGATTACAATGCAGGAAATAATATATGTCTGAGAGCAGAGCTCTCTCCACAGAGAGAACTAGTCTCTCAGGGTGTGTTCTGAACCAGCCTTCCTCATCCTGACATGCTGGTTTTCTATGCATACAGGATTTCTTCAGAAAAAAATCTAGAGGGAAAGAAGTATTTGATGGTGCAGTCTGTACCTTCACTCTGAAATGGTGGAATCCAGCAAGGTCAACGCTACAAGATTCTGCCGATAGTTTGTTTTACGTAAGTAATGCCTAAATCAATCCACAGCCTCTCTAGAGCCAACTTCATTTACCTGCCTGGTTTTATTGGTTGTAACGCAGCATTGATGACTTGTGGCTACTGAGCTATGACACACCCTGTGTGCCTGTGTGTGGGCTGGAGAAGCTGTTGGAAACTGATGTGGGAAATGTTTCCTGTCGAAAGGTTAAAGATGTTGTTCATATTAATTATCTCCCCCACAACACTTTGGAAGGAGAGGTTGAAATTTTTGTAATTCACCTTGGACCAGTGCCTTGCCACAGTAATGGACTGGATGAGAGCCAGTAAACTGAAGCTCAATCCGAATAAGGCAAAGGCACTGTTAGTGGGTGGCTTCCTAGACTGGATGGATGGGAGACCGCCTGACCTTGAGGGGGTTACATTCCCTTTTAAGGAGCAAATATGTAGCTTTGGGGTGCTCCTGGATCCATTACTGTCATTGCCAGGTGGCCTTGGTGGTGTGGAGTGCCTTTGTCTGGTGGCCCGATTACGTCCCTGTCTGGACAGTGGTAGACTAACTTCTGTGGCCTACGCTCTGGTAACCTCTAGGTTGGATTACTGCAGTGTTATACAAAGGGCTGCCTCCGAAGGTGGTTTGGAAACTTCAGCTAGTGCAAAATTCAACAACCAGGTTGCTCACCAGAACAAGACAATTTGAACATATAACACTGATCTTGGATCGGCTGCACTTGCTGACAGTTTTTGGTTCCATTCTTCAGGACCTCAATACCTGAAGGACCACCTCTCCTCATACCAGCACTGACCCGGGCCCTGCACCTGTCATCCAAGGCCCTCCTCTATGTCCTCCCTCCCCAAAATGTCTGGAGGGTGGCAACATGAGAAAGGGCCTTTTCTGTGGTGGCTCTCCATCTGTGGAATGCTCTCCCCAGAGAGGCTCACCTGGCACCACCATTACATGTCTTTAGGCATCAGGCAAAAACATTTATTTTTACCCAGGCCTCTGGCCATTAAAAATCTATTGCCTGTTAAATGGGGGGGGGGGGCTGTTATTATGATTATTTTATTATTACGCTATGTATTATGTTGTTATTATTATGCTGCATAAATTATGTTCTTAATGTTGTACACCACCCTGGGATCTTTGGATAAAGGGTGGTATATAACTTGAATATAAATAAATAGGCTTGAGCCACCTCTTAGAGTTGCACATAGAACACTTGACTGTCCAGTCACATTCCCTGAATCCATTCCCCACACTTCTTCCCTCCTGGCGTTCCCTTAGCATGTGGCCATTTTTAATAAATCATCCTGTCCCACAAAGAAAAGCAACAATCAAACCCCACTGGAACCAGACCTTGCATACCTGCCAACATTTCACGAGTGAAAATCTAAAGGGCACGCTTGTAACACTCTGATTCTCATAGAAAGATTTACCGCCTCACAACTCTGAGCCCCTTTATTATATGTTGATGAAGGCTCTACTCCACCTCCTGTGTTCTGCATTTATTTTAAAGTCAGACCTCTTAAACTGCAGCATGAGAAGGGGCAGGCTGTGCACTACATGGTGCCTCAGTGGTCATGCACAGACATATGTTTGCAGATACTCTAGTTGTTCTTATTTGCCATAGGTCATCCCTGATTTTTTTATTTTTTTATTTTTGTACTCATCCCTCACAAATCACAATCTTTTCTTTCCTTCCGTCCTTTTTCTTTATTTTCCCTTTTGGCCTCTTGGGGATGTCTTGTTGGTTTCTGAGAGTGTGAGAACTGTCAGCCTTTGGAATTCGGCTCTCTTCCTGGAATCTCTAGAGGTTTCATGTCAGGGTGAACAGTGAATACATCTTGTTGCTTTTCAATGCATGTGCATGCATGCAAGGGTACGATGCAATGTACAGCCAGCTGTTCCACACACTGCAGCTGCTGAGGTATATTTTGAAATGTTGGTAACTTATTGTTATGACAATTATTATTATTTTTCATTCAATTCTGTTTCAATTGTTTGTACATCACATACTTTTAAAAAAATCCCTAGCTTTAACCAAGTGAGCAAGCAGTCTCCCAGCTATTAAATCTGTGTTAAGGGGCAGGCAAGTAAATGATTAAAGTAAGCAAGTCAATGACCAGGGCTTTCAGCAATGTTGTAATGGGAGGGAGGGTGGCTCAGACAGCTATCCCTGGTATGAGAGCTGGGGTGTAATAAGCATGTCCCTATTTTTGTCTGTGAAAATTGTTGGGAGAGTATGTGCTTGCGTGCTAGAGACAAAATGTATCTTACCCCTCACTCAGATATTTAAATGTCATGGGGGCCTCAGGAGGGAGACGAACCTTAATGAACAACAATATTAGTATATTTCACACATACTTTAGGCATCCTCAAAAGCTAGATCAGGGATAAAATAAGGTAGTCATTTAGGGCCCCACTCAGCAGAATTAGTGGGGAATCCCAAATACAGAAGGGCTGGCATGCCACATTGGCCTGGTTCACACATAATGCTAAGCCGCAGTCTATTTAACTATGTTTTGTTAAACCATGGCTTAGCATTATGTTTAAACAGTGTCACAGTGACTGAACAATGTGGGGGGTTTTGGGCCATGGTTTCACTGGTGGAGGAAGGCGGGTGCGGGAGGTGCGGTGCACACCGGATGTCAGCCGTGAGGGTGGTTGATATCGCTGGGCCAACCCCACCCCATGCTCGCTTTGCGGGCAGCGCCCCTGGACGCTCGCCGCGCAGATGGCTAGCAACACTCCTCCAGACGCTCACCATGCAGGCGGCTAGCGCCCCCCCATGCTCGCTGGGCGGACGGCTAGCCCCGCCCCTGTGCTGCTCTGGGTGCCGGGGCAGCTAGCTCCGCCCCTGCACAGTTTGTAGCCATGGTTTGTGGTTGGTATACAAACCCTGCTTTGTTTTAACTGTGACACTTTTCCATGGTTTGTTTGGCCCCTCCTCTCCAGATGCTCACCAAACTACCAGGCCAGAGTAATTGGAAAACAAACCAAATTTGGGGGGAACGAGCCATGGTTTGTTTGACCATCTTTGGGACAAATTGTGGATAACTCATGGTTTGTTAAACAAGCCACAGCTTAGTGTTATGTGAACCAGGTCACTGTGAAGTAATACACCTATATAGAGAGGCAGGGCGTAAGTCCAAAGTCTAAAATTACCTAACCGCACCACTGGAATAGGTGCAGCAGTTTAACAGCGATAAGGTCCAGAAAAAAGAAGGTACTGCCTCTGATTAAGAGAGACAGGGAGCAGCATATGAGAATTTTTTTCAGAGTAGAAGAGTAGATTTACTTATGCGCAAGTGACTCCATCCTAACTCATGTCAAATCAGAATGGATTTTCAGAGGGACAACCAAGAGAACTCTCTTGCCGCCAGGGCTAATGTCAGTTCCAAAATGGGAGCTTCTGTGTCTCAGCTGTTACAGGCACTGGAAAGAAGGAAGGCAAATCTGTCTTGCATTGTTTTTAGTTAAAGGGGAATGTGAAATGGCTGCTCCTCTTTCCCTTTGAAAAATATCAGGATATTATTTTAAAATATGTATCTATTTATTTATTTTAAATCATCTGTAGGCACAGGCCTGATGGAGCTGTTTAAGGGAAAGGTGAGGACTTCTGAGAAGAAGGAACTGTTAAGAGCACCTGGCAGAAAAGATTGCCATTCATAAATTCTTGGCTAATCTTTAATTGAAAAGACGAGAGTAAAAAGTAGTAAAACTATTAAGATGACATTGGCTTGCAGATAGAGAAGTGCCTCCAAAATTTCTTTGGTCATGAAGAACACCCATGTTGGGCAATAAGGCTTTGCCTTTGAGCACCCAATCCTAGAAAGGTACATGGGATATTTGTACCCATCACTGGCCTGAAGGCTCTTTCTCCCCCACCTCCCTCTCACCACTGCAAGAGACTTGCTGTTCAGGTTAGTGTTTAAAGGTAAAGGTAAAGGGACCCCTGACCATTAGGTCCAGTTGTGGCCGACTCAGGGATTGCGGCGCTCATCTCGCTTTATTGGCCGAGGGAGCCGGCATACAGCTTCTGGGTCATGTGGCCAGCATGACTAAGCCGCTTCTGGTGAACCAGAGCAGCACACGGAAACGCCATTTACCTTCCCGCCGGAGTGGTACCTATTTATCTACTTGCACTTTGAGGTGCTTTCAAACTGCTAGCTTGGCAGGAGCAGGGACCGAACAATCGGAGCTCACCCCATCACGGGGATTCGAACTGCCGACCTTCTGATCGGCAAGTCCTTGGCTCTGTGGTTTAACCCACAGCGCCACCCGCGTCCCTGGTAGGTTAGTGTTTAGGGGTGACATTATTCTGGACAACTATCTGCACCAACTTTTGTCATCCCCAAAAGTGTACCATAAGTGTGCTGTTTGAACCAAAGCTTTCATGAACTGAACTAGCCTTGCTAGCCGGCTTTTGGCCAGAGGAGGTGAGATACAGGAGGTCTCTGAATAAGATCTTCCATATGTGTTTTCTTGTTGTTGTTGTTGTTATTATTATTGTGGTGGTGGTGGTGGTGGTTATTACATAAATTTATTACCTGCCCTTCACCAGCAGGTCCCATGGTGGGTTACAACAATATAGAATTCAGAGTTAAAAACAGGTAAAACAGAATACAAGAATAGGATGGGCCTTGAAAACATACACCTCAGGTATCAAAGGCACTATTTGATGTCAAAGGTACGATTTGGATTAGGACCTAAGGTCAGTTTTGTGTCTCTAGCAGTGGCCAATGAGATGCCCCTGGAAATCTCATCCGGATGGAGGCTGTAACCTGCTTTAGGATGGAACTATTCCCCGCCCCCTGGCTGCTGCCGCTGCCTGAAAAATAAAATTCACAGCCTGAAAGTACTCCTAAATCCATTTGGATGTCGGTCACCATAAACTCTTTTCACCTGTTTGGCTGGTTTGCAAGCTGTGTCCCTACTGAGAGGAGGTGGATCTGGCCTCAGTTTCCCATGCACTAGTTACATACAGACTGGCCTGTTCCATTGTTCTCTACAGGAGAACAATGCATCTTGGAATTGGTATAAAACCCAGTTGCCAGGATGCTTGGTAGGAGCAATGCACTTGAATCATATGCAACTTATGTGACCTCAAACGCAGTGGTTTCCAATCAGTGTTCAAGGATCAGTTTAAAGTGCTGATTAATAGCTTGGTCTCAGAACATTTAGGGCCTTAAAGATTATCTTTATATTTGCCCATATGAACCTGTCTAGGCTTAGATCAGCAAGGGAGACTTTGCTCGCTGGCGCACCATTAGAAATTATTTGATTGGTGGGTACCACGGACAAAGCCTTCTCAGCAGCACCACCACTGTTGTGGCATTCTCTCACAGGGAAGGTCTAACAAGCTCCTTCCCTTCCCACTTTTAGACAGTGCTTGAATATGATTGACAGCACTGCGTTTTGCTGGTTTTGAATGCTCCCATGTTTTTCTATTTTTGTGCTCTACTTGATTTCTAATATTGTATGTTATTGTTATAATTATTTTTCTTTGAATATAAGTCACTTTGGAAAGTTGGTTTGGCAAAAGGGGTATAAATTAATTAAATAAAAATAAATAGACAGATAAATAAACAGAAACAAGGAGATAACTATCTATGGCCACATGCTCCAAGCGCCTGGTAATCCGAGCTGTATTGCTTCTGAATATGGAGGATGCAGTTAGCTGTCATGGTTAATACCATTCCCCCATGAATGTCTAATCCTTTTACATGAATGACCTCCCGAGGGCTAATGTTACTTATATGCAAGCACACAGGCATTTCTCTCTCTCGCTCTCTCTCTCTCTCATCTCCTTCTGACCAGGCAGTTTGCATTTAAATTTACCTACATAAGTGAATCAAGGCAGCACCCCACCCTTTCCTTAAGGAAGTTTCATGAAAAAATTTAAATGATATTCAGGGGAGGGAAGAATACTTTCTTTTTTGCAGTTGCTTTTGCAAATTCAAGGCAATTAAATCACTGCAGAGCCCTAATTTGGCTGGAGCCTCTACCCCAGAGAGTAGTCAGCGTAATGTTGATTCCAGCCCTGCATTTGGTATTTACTTGGCAGGGGTGGGGTGGGGGATGCAAGAAGCCACTCAGCAGAACTGATGGGGAATCCTTGGCATTTCTGACACAGCTGCATCTACCCTGCCGCTGCCTCTTTATAACTTGTCAGTAATCCCCAGCATGAAGAACTCCTTCTCTGCAACATGGCAGACTCAAAGGAATCCATAGCACTGAGAAGCAACTCCATCCCTTTTGCAGTGAAGTAACTCCCCCCCCCCCCCCGGAAACCACAAGATTTGATGCAAACCCCCCCCCCTTTGATACGTAGGAGTTGCTGTCCATCTCCAGCTAAATCTTGAGGGCGGCTTCTGTATCTCAGCCCCAGCAACCTCTGACACTGAGATTCAGTGGTATTCAAACTCTGTTTCCCCTGGTAACGGAGAACAGTAGAGACACATTACTGCCGAGGCCAAGGCAGGGGAATGAATAAGCCCCCTATTTATACGTACGTAGGAGGTATTCCGCGCTGTCGTGATCGTAGTCTGTGTCCTCTGGAAAATGGTTGATTTTCACGCACACCCCTCGCTTTAGCCCTAGAGCAGAGGGAGACAGAGATGACCAGCATTCAAAGCAGTTCTGTGAACGCGGCTTGAGCTCAGAGCTGCGTTTTGAGGCATCTTCTGGTAATTGGCTCCAACTTCGTTGGGTTTTCCGTGACACAAAATGTTCCCTACCAAATCCCAAGCTCTTACAAAATCTCAGCGCAGTCTGCCAAGCCCCATTTCTCAAGGCAGGCCCGGCCACTATAAAGCGCTACCTCATAGGAACATAAGAAACTGCCTTCTACTGAGTCAGACAACAAATCCATCTAGCTTGGTATTGTATATGCTGGTCAGGGTTTCAGACCAGAGTTTTTCTTAGTCCTATTTGGAGATGCCAGGAATTGAACCCAGGACTTTCTGAGTGTAAGGCCGATGCACCACTGAGATATTGCCCTTCCCAAGAAGCCACCTAGAGCACCTAGGGGCACTGGGGACCTTCTTCAGGCCTAGAGTGGTAGGTTACCACAGTCACCAACATTGCTCTGGTAGTCCCCCAGTAAGCTGAGTTATGACTGGCTAGTTGTAAGACCTATACCAGGCTTCCTCAACCTCGGCCGTCCAGATGTTTTTGGCCTACAACTCCCATGATCCCTAGCTAGCAGGACCAGTGGTCAGGGATGATGGGAATTCTAGTCTCAAAACATCTGGTGGGCTGAGGTTGAGGAAGCCTGACCTATACGGTGGTTGCCAGCTCATTCGGGAAAAATGTCTAAACTTTAATGCACAGGGCAAGTCTCCACTTCATTCTCAAGATGTGATGGTCAGGGTCTTGGGTGGATTTAAGAAGGGATGCATACTTTCACAGGTGACAATTCTATCAATGGCTAACTAGCCACAATGACTAAATAAAATAGTCATATTTATGTGTGCCATTCACTACAGGGTAAAGGTAGGGACGGTTATTATCTTGTGTTCTGCTTTTGGGCTTTTCTGAGCTGTCTTCTTGGTTGCTATGGGAAGCAGGATTCTGGATTAGATGGTTCTGTGTCAGTCTTCACCAGACCTGGTGGTCTCCATATGTTTTGGGCCACAACACCCATCGCTCCTCCACTGACCCTGCCTGTTCTCCTTTCTACACCAGGCCTTGTTGTCCTGTGCTGCTGAGGCATTCAGTCAGATAGAAGCAGGTCTATCACTATGATGTCACATTTAAATGGCACTGAATTTAGTGCTGTGTTTCTCTTAACAATCTCACAGTGCCCATTCCCCATGGAAAAGGCAAAAGCAGGCAGCATGGTTGCACCAGCAGGAGTTTGGATGTTTGTCTCTTTTTAATTTAATTTTTCAAATGTTTGTGCTTTAGTGCAAAAAAAGAAAAGCAAAAAAGGAATGAACATTAAAAAAACAACAACCAGAAGAAGGTGAATGACAGCCTGTTTAAAAAATAACAAGGGAAGAGAGAGACTGCGTTGCAAGTAGGGATAAAAGAAAAAATTCAATTTTGTTTCTGTTTTGCCAAGAAACTACCCAGTGAACCAAAAGACAATTACTCTTTGAAATGTACATTTCTCTGAATTTTGCAATGCTGTTCCACACAACATGCACAAAAAGCATATATGGCAAACAAAAAATGCATTATATTAGGGGGAAATAGCTTGTACCAATATGTGTATTAGACAAAAATGCATCCAAAAATAAGTATTTTAGGAGAAATGTGCAAAATGAAGCTGACAGGTTTTTTCCACGAGGATTAAAAAATATATTCAGGTTGATGCAGAAACTAAATTTAAGATTGTAAAAATGAAAAACAGAGAGAATCCAAATTGGACAGTTTCATCCATCCTTAGCTGCTGGCCATGTAATGATGGAAGCGTAGGAAGCCAATGCAGGAAAAATCTTGCTAATGAGCAGCTTGATGAGGAAAAGGACGGGGGCTGAAATTAGTCTCCCTCTCTGGAGCTGATAATCTGCATCATTTCAACCTTTCTGAAAGGTCTCTGGAATTCAGGTACGAGTGGTAGGTAGTGACAGTGTAATGAAGGAATGCAGGGGCAAGTCATGCAGAGCTGAGGGGCTTCACCAACTCTGTCATCATGTGCATCGCAGATTGTAGGCCATGCCAGGTGGGTCCCAAGTGGATCTGGTGAGCTGGAAGGGACCCTGAGGATAATCTAGTCCAGGCATAGGCAAACTCGGCCCTCCAGATATTTTAGGACTACAACTCCCATCATCCTTGACCACTGGTCCTGTTAGGTAGGGATGATGGGAGCTGTAGTCCCAAAACATCTGGAGGGCTGAGTTTGCCTATGCCTGATCTATGCCTGCATATTCAATGCAGGAATATGCAGCTGCCCCACATGGGGATGGAACCTGCAACCTCAGTATATCAACACCATGCTCTAATCCACTGAGCTATCAATGATTCTGTTTAGGGTCAGAGATATCACCACAAGCCGTGACTCTATAAAACCAGAGCACCAACAAGGGATTTCCTCTCAGTACGAACAGGGCTTCAGAGGCTTGTTTAGGGCCACAGCAGGAGAGGGAAACAGCTAGTGTGGAAGGACCCTAATTTTGCTCTGTGGGGTGTGGCAGCATGAGCAGGAGGAAGAGGGCAGGGGGCGCAAGCACCTGCAGACCTCTGAGCGTTTAAAGGCTTTCTTTTTCTAGGCGAGAACCTGGGATCTTTGACTGCGCCTTGTGTGGGCAACATGGCAGCCTGTTTACTGTTATGTGGGTAGAGTGAGGAATTCTAGAGCAAGGAGAGAGCTTCATAACAGCAACAATATGTACTTGATTGCTGTTGGTGTCCTGCCCACTGTGACAGGCAAGATTGTGGTGGGTTTATAGACTGCAAGGGCCACATGGGGGAGGAGAGATGGGGCAGGTTTCCCCCTCACTGCACTTGTATCTCCAATGCTTAGGTTTTCTTTTGTAAGATGGCGTGCTTTCCCAGTTACATAGGAGAAAGCAAAGGGGCACACTCCAGATTAGGGACTAACCCTGCTCCCTGCCTCTGGTGACCCCACCCATTAAGAATCAAGCCTACTCCTCGCTCCATTGCTCCATTGTGTATTCTGTTTCTTGGGCACAAGTGTGGCTGAATGGTGGGACAGTGGGATGCAATGTTGGTGACTGGCTTTTAGAATATATCTATATAGACAGATTCTTTCATTGCTGCTCCAGCTGCCTTCCTCTCATCCTGTCTCATCAACTGAATCTCTCAGTCAACAGCTGCTAGGCCATACTATTGGATATTGGGTTGCTGCCAAGCTTGCAGCTTAAGTTTGGAATTGTCACCCTTTGTTTTAATTGTGTTTTACAGAGAATCCAGATATTATTGCCAGCTTGTTGCATTCCGGTGTTTTCTTCAGAACCGATTTGTATTATTTTTATTCATCTATGCAATAAAACTGCTGCGTCAGCCTGTCTGGTGTGGAGCAGGAAACCATTAAACTTTTCTGAGCTACTGTGCCTTTAGTTAGAAGCCTCTGTCTTGTGGCTTCTGCCTCTTAATTGCTTCCCATTCAGCATGGCTGGTGAATTGCCCTGTAATTAGCCAGCTTCTATTCCCTGTAAATGCCGAGGGATGGGGGGGGGTTGATTACTGGTATCCTCTCATATTTTCTTCCTCTTTTCTTATTGTGAAATAACTTTATTTTACAATACGGAAGACAAAATAATGAGGGAAATTAGTAATCAAACCCTCCCACCCCACAGGGTAGGAACTCACTAATTAAGAGCAATTAAGAGGATTCATAGTTAATACTGCTGACACATTACATAGGAAGCAACTAGAGGTAGAAGCTGCAAGGAGAATCATAGAATCGTAGAAGAGTTGGAAGGTACGCTTAGGGTCATCTAGTCCAACCCCCTGCGATGCAGGAAGCTTCCAAGTAAAGTTGCAGGGGGCGTCTGCTGAATCAAGCTTACATAACATTTTGCAACCATATTAGCCATGAGCAGAACCACCACCTGAATTTTCTTTCATGCTAAGTGGGGGAAAGCAGTGTCTCAGCAGTACTAAACAGCCCTTGTGTGTAGATACCTTTCATTTTTAATCAGCACTGAACTACAAAGATTTATGCTTTAGGACCTAGGCCCAATACTTTTCTCGCAAGTTCTTTCCACTAGTTTCATTTCCTCTTCTTCCAGCCTTTTCTCATGCTAGATGAATCGTACACTAAGGGCTTCTCCCTGGTTGCATCTTTGTTATTATTTGTTCCAGCTTGGTGTACTGTCCTACAATTCTCCTGCCTCCCTCTCCTTATTTTCCAGTGTTTTTCCCCTAAACTTGCTTTCCAGAGAGGGTGTTCAGGTTCCTGGCCAGTGGCCGCCCCTGAATCCTATCCCAGAACTTTATTGAATGGATTAACAACATTTGGACTGCGCCCCTCACCTTCTAAGCAGCATATCCTCCAGAGGCCTGAATGGGTGAGCCCTCCAGGATCTTTCTTGTCTTTCTGGGGGGTTTCCTCAGTAGATATGTTGGTGGTATTGCAGATGAAGGCACGGGCATAGAGCCAGTAATCTGTGCCAATGGCGATGATCATGAGGCCAAAGGCTGCAAAGGCCCCCACAGTGGTGAGCAGAATCTGGACACCTTTCTCACACCAGACCATCCTCTCCTCATTCCAGCGTTTAAGTGACTCCAGCTTGGCGGCAAGAAAGAAAACTGGGAGTGGTGAAGAAAAATAGTGGTGGTGATGCTTTCAAGGAAGCAGGTGATGAGTGCCTTGTCTATTGTGGTCGGCTTCCTCTTCCAGTGGGCAGAATCTAAAAGCACAAGAACTTTTGGAAAATGGTACCAGGAGAATATTGTCTTTCACCAAGTTCAATGTGTAGAAGAAACCGGGATATAAGATGGGCTGGGAAGGTTGTCCTACAGCTGTTGCAAAACCCTAGGGAATCCTGTGAAGAACACAAGCAGAGCTCCTTCTGAATTGCTTCTGACTATTAGATTCTCTTGGAAGTGCTCTCTTCAGATATTCTGTAGAATATCTAGTTGGACTTCAAGATAAGTTTTCAGAGAAGGTGCGATAATTTTTGGAGAATAGCTGGGAATTTTATGGATGGTTTCTGAGGAAATTCTGGAGATCCGTCAGACAAGTTCTCTGGAGGCCACAGTCAGAAGATGAAGGCTTGGGTAGCAGTTGGAAATAGCCAGGGGAGGATAACTGATGAGTTTCTGGATCACTGTTGTGCAAATCCTGAAGAGCAGGTAGAAAAACTTCTGGGAGGCTTCATCTGGATTGCATCTAGATGCCTATTGGTGGAGTACTGGAAGGCTACTATGGAATATCTAGGTACCTACTGGAGATTTTCTGGAAACTTGCAAGAGCCTTTCTGGAGGTGTACTAAATTACAACTGGAGAGCTACTAGAGATTTCTGGGGGGAAATCTGGATCGCCTCTAGGTTCTTCTTCTTCTTGGACTTTCAAATATATTTTGTGGTCAAATTCTGTTTCTTCTTAATATGCAGCTTCAGCAAGTTTCAGGGAAGCCTAGAAATGTTTCCCGTTTCTTTATGCCAAGTTTACTTGACTTCCTTTTTTAAAATGTGCTTGTCCTCTGTTTCTTCCTTTCGGGTTTCTCTGAGTTTGGGAGACTTTGAGTTTCAGCTTCTGCTCTTCAGTTTGAGGCACACGTTGGTTTATGTGGATCGCTTGATCTCTCTGACTCAACTTGACATGGAGCCAACTATCTGTGTGACTTAATGATTTCTGGGCAAAGGGGAGGAAATGAAGAGAGACAGAAAAAAAGAAGGAATTGAGTAAAGACATGCAGAGGGGGAAAGTTTTTAGCCCAATCCCTGATACCTTGATGTTCATTGCAGGTATTCTGGTCCTCAGATAAACTATTTATTTAATAAATTATTATTCATTAAATAAATCAATAGTTCATCTAGTGATCTGCACTCCTATCCTTATTGCTAGTGGACTTGGTGGTTTACAAGAACAAAACCAGCAACAACTGCAGAAGCAGGAGAAATTGAGTGTGAAAATAATGTAGGCACCTGTAAGCAGTGAAAGGCAATGAAAGGGCCTCAGCTATTAGTCAAAGCTATTAAAGGCATTTGATAACAAGACATTATTAATTTAAACAACACGGTTTAAAAGTATATAGTTTGATGAGGTGGTGCTTAAAATGATTCAAAACCAAATTTCCCAGCTCTGCGTCCCTCCTTTACAAACATGTACTTTCCCTCAGCACCATAGGCTAGTTGCCCTCTGATGGGTTCTTCTCAGACTTGTATTTACTTTCTTTCAAGATTTGCGATCATCCAGGGGTGGAGGAAAGGGGGTGGGGTGGGGGCGGCCGCCCTGGGTGTCACCACTGAGGGGGGTGACAAAATGCTGGGCAGCACTCACTGCGGGGCCTGCAGCGTGCCCAAGCTACGTGTCTCTCTTGGGAGTGATGTGGTGGCTTGGGCGCCTGCAGGCTCCGTGCTGCCCCAAACAGTCCGCCGGCTGCCTCCCCCTCAGCTGTAGGGTGGCTGAGTGGGAGGAGGCAGACAGACTCTCCGGAGGCCCCGCGGAGCATCCTACCCCGGCTCACCCTGCCCCACGCGTGACTGGCTCCATCCCTGGGCGCAGGGCATGCGCGCTGCCCCAGGTGCCCAGTCGTCATCCCCTTAATCAGGATTTTTCTGTGCCTCGTATAGAATCTTCTGTGAAAGGAAGATGCACTATCACCATGGCTGCGTAGACACATGCATTTAAAGCACACACACACACCAAGAATAGTGTGAACTGCAAGTTACCCCTCACAGAGCTATAATTCCCAGCACCCTCAAGAAAGTACAGTTCCTAGGATTATATGCAGGTGGGGGCATGTGCTTTAACTGTGTGGTATATTCGCAGCCCATATCTAATTTGGTCCACAGAGACCAGGTGAAGAGGCAGACTTCCTTCTGGGTGGTTCCATATCTCAGAGGTGGATTTAGGGGAGTGTGTTCAGTTTGCCTGAGCTGGGTGCCAGGCCCAGAGGGGGCCGCAGGGTCCCCTGTGACAGTGACTTACAACAGAAGGCAAGAGGCTGGGGAGGCACTGAATTTTGGCTTTGCACAAGACGTTGCTGAAATTTGAAAGCCCAAACTCCGCCACAGGATTTCTAATTGCAAATTGGCGTGTGTGTGTGTCACATGAATAACTGCTTCCCTCATACTGCATATACATCTGATTGTGGGAAATATGCCCACAGCCACACTGATTTTTATGGGGATATATGCAGATTAGTTTGAGAGATGGCTTAAACATGCAAACTCCTTTTCAGGCTTTAAGCCAAGAAACATAAAGCAACACTAAAAGGGTGCTTCTCTGTCTAGCATGTGCATAATGAAGATCCTTCACCACCGAATACGCAGGACTACCAATTAGAGTCCTTTCAGTTGCAGGTTGGCCAATTGCAAGGGAACATAATTATATTTTTCCAGCTATGTTTATGCAGTGCATACCCAAGCCACTATTTGTCAATGGAATAAAACAAAAAAATATATAACACATCAGGTGGGACCATTTATTTCTTCACTTGCTGGGTAACCAGACACAAGAGACTGCCTCTGATCATGTGCCGAATTCGCAACCATTGAATTGTCATAGCAAGCCCCTATGAATCAGAAGGGGCAGGGATTGGATTTCAGAGAAGAGGTCTGTGGCTTCTGCAGAAATTTAAGCTTATTTTAACTTTAAGTACTTAGTACATGTCTACACCACAGGTGTGAACTGGTTTCACAGTCATTCCCTTTCTGCAAGCCTGGATCTTAGGAGTCTGCGAGATCTCAAACAGAATACTCTGCCCTGTCGCCAGACTAAAATTCCCAGGATCCTTTGGGGGAAGCCATGAATGTTAAGCAGGTATAGAATTGATACAAATTTGAAGCGGACCCGTATCCTTGTTAGTTTTGTATGAAGATTGCTGTTCCACTGTGCCTCATCAACACATTGCACCCTTCGAGACTATTGCTGTTTTCAGGAGGGAATCAGTCAACATACCGGTACTAACCAATTCAGGTTGCAGCATGAAAGATGACTTGGTGCTCCTGTGAAACAAATCTGCTTCCCCCAAAACCACATTTTTTTGCAATAAAGAAAACGTCTGCACTGGAAAGTGTGGGATAACATTTGCTTGATGCAATAACATCTAAACTCTATGCAGACAAACCAGAATGAATGCTCAATAAATAGCAAATGTCATCTGACGTCCCCATCAACTTTGTGCAAATAGATCAAGGTGCGTGCTCAATAAACAGATTGTCTGGAAGCGAATATTGTGTGAGGATACACCATGCAGGTTTTAAACAAAACTTGGCTTATTTTCTTAATTCCTTTACAGCAGAGCACCCAGGCTTTCTCTTTCATCTTTCCTTCTTTCTTCAGTTTATTCCCACACCCGCCTCCACACCCTCAGTATCCTGGAAGGCCCAGTTAACAAAGTTTAAGGGGATGACTAAAAAGCAGTTAATGGCGAGAACTTGGGCACTGGGTGGTAAGTGATCATCCGGCTCCACCTGTAATGATACAGAAGGTATCGGCAAATTTGCAAATAGGCCACACATTTATGAAGCTGAAGTACTAAACAGATGAGATGTAAGGTCTTGCAAGCCGACTGTACAGAAGTGGCCTAAGGCTACACACCATATATGTAAAGCATATTCTTCTCCTACAAAGAATCCTGGCAGCTATAATTTTCTAAGGGTGCTGGGGATTGTAGCTCTGTGAGGTTCCCATGATTATTTCGGGGAAATCGTGTACTTTAACTGTATGGAATTCAGAATTTACCAAAAGAGAAGAGTGATCCCAAACATAGAATATGAGGCATCTTGTTTTAGCTTTTGCGCAAATTTAGTAACGTTGCAACCAAACAGAAAAGGGGAAAGCAATATATTCCACCCTTGTATACCTTGCAGTTCTTACTTTGGGTTCTTCCTCAGAAAAGCCCAAATCCCAACCACTGTGGAGTTTTGCCCAGACCCGTCAAAATTTCACAAGTAGCAATGGGAACACATTTAAATCTGAAATGCCTTGAGCAGTGCTATTTTTTCTGGGGGGGACGCAGGGGTACGCATACCCCTAAACGTTTTGTGAATCTTAAGTTTGGCCTCATTGAGGGGCAGTATTTCAATATGAGTAGGAAAATGAGAATACGCCTAAACATTTTTTAAAGAAAAAAAGCACTGGCCTTGTGTATATTTTAACAGCAGACAGAAAAGTGAAGAGAGAGCCTCCTCCAGGATGCATACACATAATACCTTATCAGTATTGTTATATATTTATTTATATCCCAACTTTTCCCCTCAAGGTGGCTTACAGATAAAACAAGAGCAGCTAAAAACATGGGGGGGTGGTGGTTTAAAAAACCAATTATATTTGCACACCACCCGTATCTCTGAGCAGTGTGAGATTCCAGGGGTTCCAAGCGCTTAGCCAGGGTTCGAACTTCTCGGAATGAGGGACAGCAGAGACAGCAGTGTCTTTAGGATATGTTATTTATTTATCCTACTACAGAACTGCAATTCCCAGCACCCACTACAAACTACAGTTCCTAGGGTTCTTTTGTGAAGGTGGGAATGAGTTCTGTATATGATTCAAAGGTATGCTTTGTACACAGTGCCAGACATATGCTGAGTTTAGCCAACCTAGTTTTTCATTTGAATTACACATTTGCAAGATTTGAGCACCAAAATACAGTAAGTGTCACTTATCAAATCAGCGCCCAGGTGTGTTTTTCTTTGCTTTGCTGTTTTTGGCCTCCTATAAATACTAATTTTGGCTGGCAGAGAGGTAACCTAATATTGGGGTCATCTTGTACCTGGTTTGACAGCCTTATTGATTTGCTGGGTGCTCCTTTCCATTGCAGAGAATCCGGGATTCTTATTCTCCAGATTTCCCACATCTACATCTCTTTATCACACCCTGTCTCTCACCCAGTCCCAAAATATTCCGCCCCCATCCCAGACATTCAGAAGACTGCAAGATACAGTTCCCAAGTGAAGATGGATGATAACAGCACCAGGGAAACAGACTGATTGGGAATGTGAGCTTCAGTGTTCTCTACCCCAGTAGCAGTCGGGTGTACATGGTTAGAAATCAACTACTGTACAGTAGAATAAAAGGGACGCGGGTGGCGCTGTGGGTTAAACCACAGAGCCTAGGACTTGCCGATCGGAAGGTTGGCGGTTCGAATCCCCGCGATGGGGTGAGCTCCCGTTACTCGGTCCCTGCTCCTGCCAACCTATCAGTTCGAAAGCACGTCAAAGTGCAAGCAGATAAATAGGTACCGCTCCAGAGGGAAGGTAAATGGCGTTTCCGTGCGCTGCTCTGGTTCACCAGAAGTGGCTTAGTCATGCTGGCCACATGACCTGGAAGCTATACGCCGGCTCCCTCAGCCAATAAAGCGAGATGAGCGCCGCAACCCCAGAGTCGGTCACGACTGGACCTAATGGTCAGGGGTCCCTTTACCTTTACTTACAGTAGAATAAGAATAATAAAAGAGAATAATAAACAGACAAACAAACAAACTACAACAATAATAAACTGGTTACACAATTCTGCACATGTCTGCTTAGAAGTAAGCCCCATTGAATTCACTGGGACATGGTGTTTCCAGATAACCTGTTTATTGAGCATTCATCCTGATTTGTCTGCAGGGAGACAGAAGATGTTGGCTACTTAATGAGCATTCATTCAGATATTTTTTGGGGGGGGAATAGAGTTGGATGACGAGTCAAAGCAAAGGTTATCTCACCTTTTCCACTGTATTTCCCGATCAACTTCCTTACTGCAAAAAGCCCGATCTTTGGGGAAGGGGGTTTGTTGCACAAGATCTCGCAATCAGCAATAATCATGCTACCTGGATTTGCCGGTACATGGTTGAATCCCACCTGGAAATAGGGATAAGTCTGGAAGCGCCTTTATTTTCAAGTAAGTGAAATTGGATCCTGGTCTTATATAAGAACCTAAGGTGGGCCTGCTGAATCAGGCCAGTGGCTCATCTTGTCCAGCATCCTGTACTCACAGCGGCTGACCAGATGGGAAACCTGCAAGCTGGACTCAAGCGTAACCGCAACTCTGCCTACCTGTGATTCCTAGCAACTGGTATTCAGAGGCAGCAGGCCTCTGGCAGAGGTGGTGGGACATGGCTGTCGGAGCTTGAAAGCCTCTTTTGCTCTCTGTGCCTTATTCCTTTCCTAAAAATTCTGGAAGCCTTGACTGCCTCCACTAGCCAATATTTTCTGAAAACTACACCAAGCTCGCTACAGCCCTGACGGAGAGAACCCAGGCGTCCTCCTGTCTCCAAGGACCTCTCCTGCTGTTTGAGTCTATGGTTCTCTGCTGCACAACTGTTGAATCCTAAGAGTGGTAGCTTATAGCCCCCAAGCCAACAGTGCCTATTCTCTTGCTAGAGTGCCCTTGATGGGTGGGAAGCCATCTATCCTAACAGTATCCATGGATACCATTTATAAAATATTGGTGAGAGCTTTAACTCCACCCCCCACCCCCCCCGCCACTAGCTGCCTTGAGGCCTAGAGATAGATAGGCAATGCCATCTTCAGTGACCTTGGAGCCAAATTTGTAAAATAAGGAGTGTGCTTTACCATGGTAGATAACTGAAACATGGAAAGGCTTCAGGAATGGTCTGGTT